CTCCTCTATAACTACATCATCGCCGTTGCTCGGGCCAACTGCAACATCATATCGCGGAAGATCACCGAGGTCAATTGTAATTGACTGAATCGGTATTTCGATTGAAGACACTCCTTGTATTTGAAATGGCTCTTGTATAACATTAGTATCTCGAAGTGTTTCCGCATCATTTTCCATTGAAGATTCTAAACGTTGGTCAGCTACATTGTTGACGTTGTTGTCAGTTGGGTCTAGTTCTGGTATAGCATACACGTTCCTGTGATCCATCTTTTGAACAACGTTCCAACCGCTTCCGGCTTTAGGGTCATCTAGATACACAATTTGTGTTGCCATGTTTGCCAAAATATAAGGGTCGTCATCATACCAAGTTCTGTTCATGTTCACAGATAGTAAGCCATGATCGATTTTAACACTTCCCGGCCTATTTGGGTTGGTGTCAAACCATCGACACTTAAACATGATCACTTGGTATCGATCTTTGTAAAGCAATTGCACGACAGTTGTGAGTTTGCCATAGAAATCAATGTCCGTACTTTCGCCTCCACCTGGGACATGGACACCGCTGTTTTGCGTACACAACTTGTCATCTCGTGCTTCGGCCAAAAATTTGACACCGTTGACATTACAACCCGAGAACAATTCAGCGCGAATCGGGCCAAACGCCAAGTTATATAACTCATCACTGTAAGTTGGGGAATTCGATGATTTCAACTTATTCACCTAATATTATACAAAACCATTCATATGTTAGTCTGACAAAATTTATTAAAAAAATTTATATTTCTCAAATAACAAACACTGATAACTTACAGAATCCAAAAACCATTGTGGAAACAATTCACGGTGTTTCTGGGCAACCAAATGTGATGGATGTTCTCGCTTCATCATCTCTTCATGCTCATATAAGTATCCCATGATCTCATCACAATTGTTCAGTACGAACCAATGCGCTACCTCCATGTCATTTCTAGAAAACGACTCTCCGCGTCCAGGATCTCCGAAGGGTCGTGCGCTTTGGGCAAAAACAGAAAGTTTTTCATTTCTCATACCTCCATCATGATTGCGCTGAGGACGATTGAAAACCGTCTCCACATCTTTTAAATACATTCCGCAGAAAGTAAGCGACTCATATTGAACCCAAGCCTCTACGATTGATCCTTCGGGCTTCGCCCTGTTGCGTACACTTTTTTTCAGCTCTCCGAGAAGCCTGCCAAAATAAAACGATATGATTGAAATTAGCAAGCATGTGATAATGATGCATACACAAATGATAAGGATTATATACCTTTCTATTGGATACATCCAGCGATAGTTGACAGGACCAGCAAGTAATGCCTCTTCTGGCAAGTGAACCATCACGTGCATCATACTTGTGAAGAAAGTTGGAGGAAATATCATCTCAAACTTGCATAGGACTTGGACAATGTCATGGCGCAACTGAAACATGTCCGTTTTTCGCAAAGTTTTCGCCGTCAGTTGGGAAAAAAATCTGGACAACAAAATGATTGGCTTCACTACATCTTCCGGCAATAGGTGTCGAATACCAACAGGAAGTAGGCGTTGCATAAACACATGGCAGTCATGGCTTTTAAGTCCAGTAAATTTACCCCCGTCAACATTCACACAACGTGCGATATTAGAAGCATACCCATCGGGAAACTTTACTGACGATACAAACTTTAGAAACTCTTTCTTGTCATTCGGTTTCATAGAAAAGAATGCAAGATCCCTTCTAGCTTTATCATTGTCCCTATTCATCCATAAACCCCTTCGTATGCCCATTCTTTCCAAATCAAGACGAGCTTTGATCGTGTCCTTTGTCTTCCCCTCGATATCTAGAATCGTGCCCACCAATGTGTCGAATACATTTTTCTCAACATGCATCACATCTAGATTGTGCCTCAATTTTAGTTTCGACCAATATGGGAGCTCAAAAAACATAGGTTTGTGCGTCCAGTTCATATGTGTAGAAGGTCTGATACGACTAACTGTTTTCCCGAAGGGAGCAAAATCCAACCGGTTAAGATGGTCCAATATCTCATCACCGGACCATTCTCTGGGTCTAGGGCGACGCTCAGTGTTCCCGTCGAACTCTTTATCTTTTCCCTCCACTCATGGTCCCATGGCAACCATCTCCGATGACCAAGGTAACAAACTTTTCCAGCATGCCAACCAGAAGTTACATCTTCCTTGCATACAGGACATGCCATATAACCTTTTGTGCTCCACCCAGAAACCATTGCATATGCTGGAAAATCATTCACAGTCCACATAACTGCTGCCCGCAAAGTGAACATCTTCCCAGTTGATTTATCGTACGTGCGAACACCGTTTGTCCACAAATCCTTCAGCTCATCAACCAGCGGCCTTAAGTAAACATCGATTGACCTCCCAGGATCCTCAGTTATCAAAACAGTCATCATCATGTATTCTTTTTTCATGCATTTCCAAGGCGGCAAATTATATGGGAATACGAAAATCGGCCAAGTGCTGTGGTGTTGGTTTAGAACCCCATACGGATTGAATCCGTCAGTGGCAAGTCCCAATCTAACATTTCGGGGATCAGCAGCAAACTCTGGGAACGTTCGATCGAACTCTTTCCATGCCTCCCCATCTGCAGGATGCCGCATCACATCATCGTCTACCCGTTTTTCCTGATGCCATCTCATGTCTGTGGCAGTATGCGTCGACATATACAATCGCTGCAACCTAGGTTTCAGGGGCAAATAACGCATGACTTTTTGTGGGATCTTAGTCGTCCTATTCTGAGATGTCATCTTGAACCTCGACTCATTGCATATAGGACATGTATCCAACGATTCATGCTCTTTGTAGAATAACATGCAATTGTTTTTGCAAGCATGGATTTTTTCATAACCCAATCCAAGACCATTCAACACCTTCTGCGCCTGTTTATGGTCTTTCGGCAAACAATTGTCCGTCGGAAGCATTCTCTTGAAAACCCCCAAAAAGTAATCGAAACACAGGTTCGACATACGATACTTTATTTTTCCGTGCATTAGCTCCACAATGGCCGTGAGAACGGAAAAGCTCTCGCACCCCGGGTATAACTCTTGGTTGGCATTTTTTAACAATTTCTCATATTGTTCAAACTCCGCACTGTCTATTGGTGTAGGCACATCATCTTGCTCTTCTTGATTCATGTTGGTCGATGCAAATGGAAAAACATCCTGTATAATATCCATGACTTCATCATTAGCATCCACAATAGGTTGAACATTGTCCACTCTTGTGGCATTTGAAGACGAAGCATGCTCTAATTGTTCCCCGTGAAGGTTCCAAATGCTATATGTCTCAATCATTCCATTTCTTACTAAATGAAATCCAACATTTTCAATTGTCTCCCATAACGTGTTGTTGCACCTCCTACAAGGACAACGGATTCTAGTTGCACCCGGGTTGTGTCTACGTGCAAACTCAATAAAATCCTCGATTCCATCCAAGTATTCGTCTGCGCATCTGTTCGGGTTTTGTATCCACCTTCTGTCCATAATTCCTGAAACCAGAATCACAACACAACAATCACAACAACTTCATACGAAGTTATAATGTCACCTTATGCCTCCGGTAAGGGTCCTATCCCATTCGGGAATGCATACTCCTGCCACGTAACCTACGACTACATGAGATTAGATTTCGACGTGGATGAATTTCGCCAGCATCTCGCTACAGTTCTTGAGGTGGCCATAGGTATAAATACCTATGTACCACCCAAAGAACGTACCGAGATGACAACGAAATATCCACAATCGAAACCTAATCATGTAGCCATAGATTACGTGACAACACTATGCATTACCAAACTGTCCAAATAATGGGACAATTCAAGAATTAATTGGACCGCAGTCATGCATTACGCATCCATGCACGAAATCCAACTAATCTCGAACGGGAAACTAAGTGTTACTAAACATAAAAATAAAAGCACGAAGTTAATTTCAATTAACTTCGTACATCACAACAGATTGTACTACGTTACGCACAACATAATATAAATATAACTTCACAAGAACATTTTAAACATATAGAAAACAAATAAAATACCTTCTCAATCGTTCTCCACCAATCACTAATTCAAATATCCCTAACGAAAACAAATTAAAAAACCTTAGTACGAACTTAAATTAATACTTTTAAACTAATGACGAAAAATACTTACCCAATCAATGTATTGAAATCCCAGCAGCAGCAGAGAGGTTGAGAGAGAGGCAGAGGCAGAATGCTTTGTTTTTGCATTCTGCATGCTTTGTTTTTGCCTCTGAAAAGAAGAAGGACTTTGCGCGACGAACATACTTATTCGTCGCGCAAACTCCCGTCGCAAAAAACCAAATTATTCGTCGCGCAAACCCATTTTTTCGTCGCGCAAACACCTGCCGACATCTAACTTTTGCATGACGCTGGTACTTTCCGTCGCGCAAACTTTCGTCGCGCAACATTGTCGCGCAAAAACAAAATTCCGTCGCGCAAAACAAGATATTCGTCGTGTAAACGTTGAACTTTACGCGACGAAACATAAGTACGTCGCGCAAAAAAAAATATCCCACCCAGGTCATTTTTGGCGCCAAAAAATAAAATATCTCTTGTTCTCTTACGCGACGAAACGTCTTTCCGTCGCGCTAAATCAGGGGACTGTCCTATTTGCGCGACGGAGAATGTGTTCGTCGCGCAATGTTGCCTTCAGCGACGATATTTCTCGTCGCGCAAATGTTTCGCGCTAAAAAAATTCCCCCCGCTTTTTTTAACTCTGTTTGCGCGACGAAAAATTGTTTTGTCGCGCATATACATTTTGCGCGACGAAAAAGTTTGGTGGCGCAAATTTTCAGTGGATTGCGCGACGAATATTTATTTTCGTCGCGCAAGTATGGTTTGCGCGACGAGTTGTTCTTCGTCGCGCAATATTTCGTCGCGCAAATAGTGAAACGTAGTAGTGTGAATGTCAGTTTGCTGCTAATATTTGGAGGTGTACCTCTATGATCCCCATGACCTCTCAACAGAATTTTGATGGTATCAAGTGGCTGGATATGCTCCTTCATTTAAAGGATATGGATGGCCCGAATAGTCTTTCAAAAGCTCTCCTTCTCTGCTGGCAAGTTTGGGAGGCTCGAAACAACTGTGTTTTTAAAGACATTGCCCCTCACCCAGTTAGAGCTCTCAATGTTGCTGGTCAGGTTGGTCTAGACTACTGGAAAATCAACTCCATCCCCAACATCAATTGCAAGGGATTTGGACGTACCTCTACACTTGAAGTCTAGGTTCGATTTCCCAATATCACTTGTATCAAATGAAAAAAAAGAAGTGAATAATTGATTATTTCTAGAATACAACATTAATAAACAATCTTAACCACTTGAGCTACGTCCAAATCCCTTGCAATTATTCTCTAATCCTTAATAACTTATGAAAATATTCAAAAACACATAACATATTTGTTTGAAAAAATAAGTCCCTCACTAAATATCAGAATATTCACGGAACATAAATCACATTTTAGCCATTCTCATGTCACAAATTCATATATTTTGAAATTAGGATACACACTATCCCATGCATATACCTAATTTCACACTAGTCCGATGTTCGGCCTGTTTGCATGAGAGAACCAAGCCAAAATCATTCAAATATACATGTGTATTTTTTTTTAGATAAGTGATAATATAAACTACAAGAAGAGTCTCATAAACACTATTATAAGGTGCTATGGGGGTTTGAATTTGAGACCAGTGATCTGCAAGTAAAGACCCTTTTCCACTAGATTAGACATCATTGGCAACAACTGTTGTTAAACATGGGTATTTGAATTATTCACATTTATGACTTACCATGCATTTACTAACACATAACAAAGCCAAAAGACACATCAGTTGTACATGACCCAATACTTGAAAAATCAGGAATTAGATGGATAATTTTAGCTAGGCTTATTATCACGAAATGTCTCTAAGGTTTAGAAACTATCAAATTGCATCCTTAATGTTTTTTTTTGTCACTCGTGATCCTCAAGGTTAGTATGTGCCATCACAAATGGTCCCTGCCGTTAGGTTCCGTCAAAAACTCCGCTACTTTGCTGATATGACATATATATATCACAAAACATCCCTGAAGTTTACGCACCTATCAAAAATGGTCACTACGAAATTTTTTAATTTTTTAATTTAAAATTCATAAAATTTTGGTTTTCTTTTTAAAATTATTTAGAAGGATTTTAATCTTGAGGACCATTTATGAACCCTAAACCCTTGGTTTTTTCATTTTTAAATTTTAAATTATTATTTTAAAACTCCATTAGTTTGTTGATGTGGCATATATATGGAGCCCACATCTACAATAATATTGTGTTACATGTATTTAAAATATAATATATATATTTTTAAATAATTTAAAATTCATAAAATTTTAAAAAGAAAACCAAAATTTTATGAATTGCAAATTTAAAAATTTAAAAATTTGCAGGAACCATTTGTGATAAGTGCATGAACCTCAGTTATGTTTTGTGATATATATATATATATATATATATATAACATCAACAAACTAACAGAGTTTTTGACGGAAACTAACGGTATGGACTATTTGTGATCACACATACTAACCTTGAGGACCACGAATGACACAAAAAAATATTAAGGATGCAATCTGATAGTTTTGTAAACCTTAGGGACATTTTGTGATAATAAGCCTTTTAGCAATTGTCTCTTTAAATCTTCCTTTTTTTTTCTTTTTTTTTTGTAAATAATTTTCTCATCTTTGATGTTATAATTTCACAACCAATTGATTAAAAAATTTGATGTTATCAATTGATAATATATCACGAAATTAGAAGCCCGTGAACTTTGACGATTTTTTTTAAAGCTAATGTTAAAGAAATTTAAAGAAATAAGGCAAACCACTCATAGCTGATTTTGTCTTCTACCCTTCCTTTCCTTTGATACTTGTTGTTACGAGCCACTTGAGTGGATGACAATAGTAAATGACTTTTTTTCTTTAATTTTTCCCTAGTTTCTGATACCATATGTGACTTGACCCATATAAGGCAATTGATATCTACTATTTGGTAGGTAGGATAGGATTAGTTTAATCTAATGTCATTTTCAATGCTCAAAAAAATATAGATAGGATAAAATTAAAGAAAGTCTCTTTCTTAGCAGGGTATATTCAATTAGGATTCTAGAGTGTTCAAAAAGATTTTAAAAATTTGGGTGTATTCAATTTGAATTTATACAAACTTTAAAAGAGGTTTTACAAGTTTGAATGTATTCAATTCAGACTTGTATGAACTTTTAAAAAGTCCATACAAATACGGGCATATTCAATTAGAATTATAAAAAAGTTGAATACTTAATCTCTCACTGCTCCGAACTCAAGACTTGGACCCGAATTCAGGATACTGAGACAATAAAGGATAATTATCCTCCCCAATTCAATATAAATTCAACGTAGTCAAATCCTATATTCTTTTGCTTCATATTTTATAATTCTTTTTCGATATATAAGATATTGAGAGAGAGAGGAATTGATCATAGAACCTTAGAGTGCATAATTCTGTTCATTGTTTTTCAAAGATATAGAATAAGAAGAATTAAGCATAGCTTCTATATTTATTAACCAACAGCAGCAGACACCATAACACCTCGAGTATCTAAGAAAACCCAATTAACTTTCTACCATAATATATTTATTCAGTAAACTGAAGTCTAAATATATATGAAACCAAGATAGATAATTAAGAGTGGCATTAAATGGCTGGGGTAGCGGCGGAGGAAGCAGCAGCAAGAGGAGGCGAAGCCGGGGCGGAGGAAGAAGCATTATCAGTAGAACCAGCAGCGGAAGCGGCATCACAGTAGCCTCGCAAAATGTTACCCTCCTCCGCCGTGAAGCCAAGCGACGTCAGCATGGCAGGCCAGCAGTGGTGCGTGATTGTGGCAATGGCTTTGCAACAGTCAGTCCCAATATCAGCCTGCCCGTTGAGGAAAAACAGAACCACTTCATTTGAACATGATTTCAGCTCCACAAGCGCATTCCAGCACTCCCCTAAGCCCCCTTGGCCCCCGCTGCCGCCTTCACCGCCTTGGCTGCCGGTTTTGATCCCCCCAGCAGCCATGTTCCTCGCATTGGCAATTGCATTGTTTGCACTCATTATGAGGCACATTGTGGTCATCAGGAGGAGGAAAGCAGCATTTTTGAAAGCCATGGTATTCTCTGTAACTGTTTGTAATATTTGTATGTGAATATTCAGAGCTTGAGTGAAGAACATGGGAGGGTGTGGGAGTAATTTATAGTGGTGATTTGAGTCCGGTGAGGAAGAGGAAGATGAGAGGGCTGCTAATAATTATTCATTAAGCTGTTAATTACTTTCATAATCATGGGGTTTGATCATAATTAATTAATTTATTCCAAACGCCTGACTTAAATTAAATGGGTAACAGAAAGAAAGAAGCTAATCCCTTAGCTGATGCCTGATGGAAGCGTTACTAGTTTGGCAACCACAAGGTCTGTGAATTACATCTCAAATTGCATTTTCGTCCATAATCTCCAAAAATCGGTATAGGCCTCCATAATATTGGTGTCCAATATTATTCCAAACGCTTGGCTTAAATTACATGGGTAACATAAAGAAAGAAGCTAATCCCTTGGCCAATGGGGGAAGCTTCAGTTCAATTAGCTGGGCTTCCTACCCAGTCCTAGTTATTAATTCAATTTTATTATTTATGGCACACTTGTGCACATGGCTTTTTGTTTGTTTTTATTTTAGTTTTTCGGTTTTCTACCTAATGGTCATACCCAATTTCATTTTGATCATTCAACTAATTTTTTTTAGTTTTACTCATCCTCTAACTCTCTCACACATGTCAAATTGGTCATTTCGTTAAATTCCGTCAATTTGAAGAATACAATTATCAATTTACTTGTTTATTTAAGGGGTAAATTAGACATACTTGACGTAAAGGATAAACGCTGCAATGCAAGACCCAATTGGAAGATACCTATTTTTGAAGTTGAAGGATGAAAATACAGCTTGGAGTATATTTCAGAAACCATAGCTACAATTTAACCTATATATAACATATTGAATATTTTGAGTCTTTTTTCAACCTTTAGAAATTCAAAATACTCGAGCCCCCTCTTGAATAGGGTCCTCTTGAACAATGTTTGGACTATTTTCCAGAATTTTGTCGGCCCAATCCATTCTTTGTTTTGGGTCCAGCCCAAACTCTTCCTCCATACCGGCAATAATCACCAGAAAATTCCCAAATAGAAGTTTTTGGCGCCCTAAAGATTGAAGAAGAGCAGCGTAAAGATGAGCGTGGCGGATCTGCCAAAGACAGAGGCGAACGTGCTGAGAGGCCACGAGGGGGCAGTATTAGCAGCGAGGTTCAATAGTGACGGCAATTACTGCCTCAGCGCCGGGAAAGACCGAACCATCAGACTCTGGAACCCACACCGCGGCATCCACATCAAGACCTACAAGTCCCATGGCCGCGAAGTACGTGACGTTCATGTCACCTCGTAAGTCCTCATATTTTATTCTTCTTTCTAATCTTTGAGCTGAACCCAGTTGACCAATTCAATGAATATATATATATATTTATAATGTGGAGTGTGGGTGGCCTTTGGATAATATGTTCTGTAGGGACAACTCGAAATTGTGTTATTAAGTCTTCATGTTTTCCTCTTCTTTCTAATCTTTCAGCTGAACCCAGGTAACCAGTTCAATGAATATATATGTATAATGTGGGTGGCCTTTGTATAATTTGTTCTTGTAGGGACAACTCGAAATTGTGTTCTTGCGGTGGTGACAGACAAATCTTTTATTGGGATGTGGCGACGGGGAAAGTCATTCGAAAGTTTCGAGGTCATGAAGGGGAGGCGAATGCTGTGAAGTTCAATGAGTATTCATCTGTTGTGGTCTCGGCAGGTTTTGATCAGTCCTTGCGTGCTTGGGACTGCAGGTCTCACAGCAATGAACCCATTCAGGTTAGCCTTGTTATTGCTTTTTTCCTTTTCTTCTTTTTGTTAGATTTCTTTAATTGTTTGTAATTTACTTGTTTTTTCATAGCTGTGCTTAACCTGCAGATAATCGACACGTTTACAGACAGTGTAATGTCTGTTTGTTTAACAAAGACCGAAATTATTGGTGGAAGTGTTGATGGAACTGTGAGAACTTTCGATATGCGTATCGGGAGGTATGTTGCTTTGTTCTGTATTTTTATCTCTTTACATAGTTATGTGTCACAAATCTCCTTGTATGCTAAACTTAGACACTCAAAACTTTGATTCGATGATTTTCCTGAGCTTTTGATGATGGATGTTTAATGTTGTATTACATAGAGAAGTATGCGATGACTTGGGACAACCTGTAAACTGCATCTCAATGTCAAACGATGGTAACTGCATACTAGCCAGTTGCTTAGATTCGACTTTACGTCTCATTGACAGGTAAATACATTTAAAATCACTTATTGTAGTAGTCATGCATCTGGCTTGAGTTGCACTCCCTTTCACTAATTTTTTCTTGTGATAGGTCTTCTGGTGAATTACTTCAACAATACAAAGGTCATACTTGTAAGGTCAGTGTGCTGATGTGCTATTATGGATTCTGGAACTCTGTCATGGTTCCTTTGCTATATTGTAATTCAGATATGCGTTGTGTTGTTGATGTTTTTTTGGCTGGAAATTGATTTGTTCGCTATTCAAACATTTTATATGACTTTGCATTTATTTTAATGTGTACTTTTATGGTTCTTTTTATTTCTTAACACATATCCTGTAGTCACCTTGAAGTATTTGGCACAGGCTTGCACTATTTGACTCTCATTATTCATGAGTTCTTATCATTCCCTTTGCTTGTTTCTGTATCAGTCTTACAAATTGGACTGCTGTATTACCAACACTGATGCCCATGTAACCGGTGGGTCTGAGGATGGCTTCATTTTCTTCTGGGATCTGGTAGATGCATCTGTGGCAACAAAGTTCAGAGCTCATTCGTCAGTGGTAAAGCCTAGTTTCCTCCATTCATTCTTGTTTTTCTATCAAAATTGTGTTGAATGCTCCCAATGCCCCTACTACTTACTTTGTGTTTCTTGTGTATGAAAAAAGAAAATGTTCCTGTGACTTATACAGGTTAATACAGTTCAAAAAGGTTGTTACTTCCATAATTTGGATAATCTTGTCAATAAATTTAAGAATAAGTGCTGCTCTTTCATTATAGCATTTAGTTCTGATGCATTTTCTGCTTTTCTAAGGCTTCTTTCTCTTATATGCTTTATTTTAATTCTTCTCTCTTTCTTTGTGTTCATTTTGGATAGGCTTTTAATTTTCATTATATTGCCAATTGATTCGTACTTATACATAAACCTCTTCGTATTTTGCTTGTATTGTTTTGCTCTTTCATTGTGTTAGTTTTGTATAAGCTTTTTTCTTTCATTATATTGCTAACTGATACATACTTGCATGTAGACCTTTTCATTCTGATGCATTGTCATAGGGATGGAGGTTAGTCTTCCTTCTTGCAAAATCCTCCCTTCCCCTGAATTTAACCAAATGCCTTTAGAACTTGGAGAGGTGTCACTTGAATAAAGTGGTTTTGTGGAGATCGTAAATTAGACAGACTTCCAACATGCGACTGGAAATAGTATCATGGGCAATAGTGCTCGGGGGACAACACCCAACTATTTCTATCAATTTCTGGGGATAATATGATTTTAATTCTCATCTATTTGTTTTTAATGTAAAATGGCAAGGAAGTTGGAAAATCACTTAAACTTGGTTTATGAACAAGGAGAAACAGAAACTGAAGAGACCCATTGTGATACAAAGTTCACATCTGCCTTAGAATTTTTTCATGGTTTTCTTTTTGGATGTCGATTGGAAATTGACCTGTTTCATTGAGGTGTTGTGTTACAACATTTATGATGATTGTCAGGGGATAGAGTAGTTTATGTCATGATTGCTGCATCTTGGTCCGTTCTTTGCTTCTGGCACAAGGACTAGTGTAAACCATCAAAAGAGGTTGCTTGGAAACCCTAAATGCTTATGGGATTTGTCTGTCTTTTTGTTTTCCTTCTCCTATTGGTAAATAAGGGCTTTTTGGATTTGGTTTGACAGGTAACAAGTGTGAGTTATCACCCAAAGGACAACTGCATGATAAGTTCCTCTGTTGATGGCACCATTAAGGTGTGGAAATCTTGAGAACTTTTCACAAGCAATGAAGTAAATCAACCTATGCTGTGCTGCAATTTGTACCTTCTCTGCTGAAATGCTGCCTTGTAATTATAGAATTGTTAGCTTTGCTTGTTCCAAGGCTCTTCACTTTCAGAGTTTTGTATCTGATTTTGCACAACATTTTACTGTATTGAATTTGGGCACACTGTAATTGATGTATGAAAAGTTAACAATGTTTTGTATTGAATTTGAGTACACTTAAACCTCCAAATCACACTCACTCCAGATAGATCAATATTCACAACAAAGATCCAACCTTTTATTTGAAGTACATAATCTACAAAATGAACAAAACATAAACAAAGATCATTACACTTTTACAATTAATGATGAGGATTTCAAATTTCAAATGTCAATCTTCAGCTGGTAGGTGGTGATGTAAACTGGTAGGAGGCATAAGAAAGAGCACCAAGATCCCAGCTCCCATGAATGAGCTTAGCCTTTGCATCTGAGCCAGCAGCTCCCGTGGCCACATGCAATGGGTAGAAGTGATCAGGCCAAGGGTGAGCCATTTTCGCATGAGGGGCCTTCTCCTCATACTGGTTCACGTCTTCGTACCTCCCTTCAAGCAGAGCATCCTTAAGCCACGTGTCGAACTCCAGAGCCCACGGAACAATGGATCCACGACCACCACCACCCCTGATCTCCCTCAGCGCCCTCAAGTTGTGAGTGGCACTGCCAGACCCCACCACAAGGACGCCCTCGTCCTTGAGTGGGGCCAGTGCCTTTCCCATGTTGTAGTGATAAGTGGCGTCCCTGTCTGTCTGGATAGACAGCTGACAGACAGGAATGTCCGCCTCCGGGTACATGAACATAAGTGGGACCCAGGCGCCGTGGTCGAGGCCACGTTTGGCATCGACATCGACTCGTGGGAAGCCGGAGGCGGTGAGGAGATCCTTGACACGGCCGGCGAGGTGGGGGGAGCCCGGGGCGGGGTACTTGAGCTGGTACATGGACTTGGGGAAGCCGTAGAAGTCGTAGATGGTGTCGTGGCGGCCGGAGATGGCGTTGACGGTGGGAACAGACGTCTCCCAGTGGCCGGAGATGATTAGAATGGAATTGGGTTTGTTTGGATACACGTTTTGCTTCCATGACTGGAGGAATTTTCTGGCTGGGATTGACTCGTCGATGCTCAGCGTAGGGGATCCATGGGATATGTAAAACGTGTCCTGAACTGCCATTGCAAAACACAGACAAGGAGAGCGAGAGAGAGATGACAAAGGAATTTGGAATTGGGAAATTGGGATTTTGATTTGTGTTCTTCTCTTTTTGGTTGAGAATTTGTTTGGTTGTTTTTCTATTTTATACCAAAAGGAAGTCGTAGTCTAGGTTTGGTGAAAACACGTTTCTCCTAATATACCACGTATGTGCTTCTGTCATTTTTCTTTTCTTATTAAAAAGCCTGTGCCATTGATACCGTGAAATGAAACTCGTCCTGTCCCACGTGAAATTTTTTAAATAATAAAATTTTTGGGCCAATGGGGGCTCCTCTTTGAGTTTCTAAATTCGAACCAAAATGAACCTAATTCTCAAAACTCATGAAGAAAGAAAAATGGCGGGTTTGAATCTAAACGACGACGCTTTGCATGGTCCGAAAGAATAAGTTAAAACAAAGGCACACATTTAACAAGAAACCGACCTTAGCTCAGTTGGTAGAGCGGAGGACTGTAGTGGGATAAATCCTTGTAGCTATCCTTAGGTCGCTGGTTCGAATCCGGCAGGTCGGATTTTTCTTCTTTTTTGTCTTTTTTGTAAACTCTGTTCGACACAAATCCAATCTCCATTGTTCTTTTTAGGTGTCATCACTTTAAGGCTCATCCTTGCTTTTAGCATGAGCTGGTGGGTGTATGAAGGAACTAATTACTAAAACTTGGAGCCCTCAAACACCAGGATCTTAATTTGAAGCTAATATTTCCCATCTATCTTTGTCGGACACGTTTTGTACACCTGTATTTATAAGATCTATTTGTACGATAAATCAATCTCCATGACCCCATTTCCTAGCTATTAGCCTTTTCACAAATTTGGTGTCATTTCGAAGGTTATCAATTGGACAGCACCTTCCACCAATTACAAATAATACAAATTTATAAATAAACCCAATCCTAGACATGTATTTATAAAAAAACCCAAGCACTATTTAAACATAGAAACACACCCAAAATCAACTCCAAAGTCAACTTTTTGGGTGTGTTTATAAATGGGTTTTGAGTGTGTGTAATGATGAGTTTTGGGTGTGTTTATATGTTTAAATAGTGCTTGGGTTTTTTTATAATTTCAACCCCCATTTTGGGTGTTTTAGTGAAACTCCCTACAAATAATTGGTTGCCGCCTTAGTATTACTATAAATAGGGACCTTTTCCTTTGTTGTTGAAAGTATCCAACCTTGCATGACAGTGTATGCGAATAGAAAGAAAAACGTAGAACAGGGAGAGAGAAAAAAAACAAGAGAGAGTGGTGATAAAATTCTCAAGGGGAGCTAGAGGCCATATGTAGCTTGTGTGTGTTTACTTAACTTGCAGCTAGTTTTGAAAACTAGGTAGGGAATTTCTTGGGGGCCTTTAGAGCTACTCCAGCGGTGAAGCTCAGCCCGAGGCTGGGGGAAAAAAAAACAAAAATTGCTTTCCAGCGGACAGCCCAAGCGGGCGGGGGGGGGGGGGGGGGGGGGGGGGGGGCTTGCTTGTGGGTGGGGGGGGGACTGGGACCAACCCGGGCTGGCCCCAAGGCTACTTCTGCTCGAGGTCCAAAACGCGGGGGGTGACGTCAGCTCGATGTTAGGCTGACGTCGAGCACATGGAAGATGTTTCTTTGTGTGAGGCTTGGCTCCGAGTTTGTCATTGTCCCGTGACGAGCAATGAGATGAAATTTTTCCATATGTGGAAAAAAATTCATGCTGAATTTTGCGAAAAAATTCCGGAGTCGCCTCGTACGGAAATGGCATTGTCGAGTAGGTGGAAACTTCTCAACAAAGAGATGGCCAAATGGAGAGATGCCTTGGCAAAAGCAATGAACTTGTATAGAAGTGGGGAAAATCGTACTAACGAGGTAAGTATTTTGTAATTTTCGTTTTATTAAGTTTAATGTCCTAATATATATATATGTTGTTAATATTTATTGCATTTTCAATATTTTGTTAATATTTCTTGCATTTTAAATATTTTGTTAATATTTCTTGCATTTTCAATATGTTGTTAATATTTCTTGCATTTCCAATTGTTTCTTCATATTTCTTGCATTTTCAATATGTTGTTAATATTTATTGCATTTCCAATTGTTTCTTCATATTTCTTTCACTTCCAATTTATTTGTAAGGTTAATTGCATTTTGCATATCCAATATATTTTAAATATTTCTTGCATTTCCATTTTTTTTGTTAAATAGCTTATTCAAGCACAGATGTGGTTCGGTGCAACCAGGGGTGGCAAAAAAAGTTTCACCCATCATGAATGTTGGGAGGTGGTGAAATATTGTAAACGCTTCATAATTATTCCAACGGGTCCCGATGTTGTGTTAAACGAGACGCCTCTCCGTGATTCAACGACATCGGATTCACCTCTTGATTGCCCTATGAGTGACTCACCCATCCAAAAGGAACCGAGGCCTATTGGCCGAAAGGCTGCGAAGGCAAAGAAAGCAGGTAATTCAAGCAATCATAATTCAAAGTTTTTGGAGGAAATTGCAAGGCAAAATGCCATAAGAATTGAAATGAAGCAGAAACGCCAAGATATGGAGGTGGCAATTCAAGCCGAGTGTGCACGAGAAAAGGAGTATTTGGGCAAAAAAGATATGGAGAAGACGGATCGGGAAACTATGGCGATGGATGATGGGGATCGGGATCAGGACACAGGTCACCAACCACATACACGAGCACCGAAATCTAAGGCTAGTGCAAACTCACATATATCGTAGCAAATCCATGCCACAAATAAACTATTTCATTAATCATCAATATTCAATTCGCTTACAACTATTACATTAGCCTTATTTATAGGCTTTACAAGACTTGGGCACCAAGACTGCTTGGTCCAAAAGTAAACCAATTAATTATAAAATCACACATAAATAATAAAAGATATCCTAAAACTACCTAAATAAGAAAATAACAATATATCAAGAAATAACTAATTAAATGGTAAATATCTATCTTGATCCACCCCTATGCTCCTGCATCAATGGATACAAGCCATATGTCCCCTGAAACAAAACAATATTGGAAGCTAGAACGAAGGGATGTTATGAGAAGAAGACTTTTCCAAGATGATGGGCCTAGCAACACGGATTGGTTAAATGATCAAAACCATTAAATTAGTTGGCATACCTTTTATGTATTTTTATTTTTCATGTTTTGTATTAAAGTTGGTGTACTTCATGTATTTTATTTTAGTAGTAGTAATTCTTAATGACTTGTATTGGATTTCTTTATTTAATAAACAAAGCATTCAATAAAAGACCATATTATTCAACATATTCCATACATCAAACAAAACATAATTCAAAATTTAAAAAAAAACTACAAACAAGGCACAATAATAAATAAAAAAACAACACAACCAAACCATAAGCAATAAAAAACAACACAACCAAACCATAAGCAATAAAAAACAACACAACCAAACCATAAGTAAATAAAACATAACCAAAGCTCCATCATTCATCTTCATTCCCTCTCACCGCCCATAGATGCTCCATCAAGTCAAGTTGACGCCTTTCATGAATATACGAAGATTGCATCTCTGTATATCGATCTATCATCCGGGTCATGAAACGATCGTCCCTCACCAACGGTTCCGGCTCAAACGGTTCTCCACTTGGCCCTATGGGCCTTTCATAAATCTGGGTCAAGGCCGTGTTCATTGGATCCGGTTCGTAGACCTCTCCAGCATCATAATCGTACTCATCCTCCACAATCATATTATGGAGGATGATGCAAGTCATCATAATGCTTCGGAGGATCTTCTCATCAAACATACGGGCCGCACCTCGAACAATCAACCACCGACCTTGAAGGATGCCAAAACACCTTTCGACATCTTTCTTGTATCCCTCTTGATAGGTAGCAAATAATTTTTGCTTATGGGATCGGGGATTCGGAATGGATTTGACAAATATGGTCCACCTTGGGTAGATACCATCAGCTAGATAATACCCCATCTGGTAGACTGTATTGTTGACTTGATAGGTAATATTGGGGCCTTGGCCTCTCAAAACATCGTTGAAGACCGGAGATTGACCCAGAACGTTGAGGTCATTTTGGGCTCCGGCAACTCCGAAGAAAGCATGCCAAACCCATGTGTCGAAGCCAGCAACGGCTTCCAGGATGATACTTTTTTGGCCTTTCTATTTCCGTAATCACCTTGCAAGGCAGTTGGGCAATTCTTCCATTGCCAATGCATGCAGTCAATGCTACCAATCATTCCTAGAAATCCTCGAGCTTCGGCTTTTTGTAGAAGCCGTTGGGGGTCCCTGGGAGTAGGTCTACGCAGGTAGTCCCTAGTGTACAGATTTTCAACTGCATCACAAAATCTTACCAAAGCCTCCAATGTAGTGGACTTCCCCATTCGGGCAAGCTCATCCACCTGATCAGCAGATGCTCCATACGCCAACATTCGTATAACAGCTGTAAGCTTTTGCTCTGGAAGAAGGCCCAAAACCCCAGCAGCATCACACTTTTGAACAAAGTATGCATCATAATTGCAAATATCATGCATGACTTTATTGAACAAATGGGGTTGAATTCTAAATCGCCTTCGAAAATCAACATCAGAGTACAAAGCAGTTGGGATAAAATAATCTTCCAAAAGATTCTTACCCCGAGAATGCCTATGTCTGTCCACATTCCGGCGACGGCTAACTTGTGAACCACGGCGGCGACCTTGGTTCTCTTCCTCTTCCATTGCCACTGCTATGAGAACTTGTTCATCGACTTGTCTCTGCAACTCATTGATTTCATCGGCTCTACGGTTTCTCTCCTTTCTTTCTTGCTCATGCCTCTCCAAGCATCTCCTATATTCTTCCATTGAGAATGAATGGAGTATGAATTCTAAACTCTAAGAAATGAAAATATAGAAAGATGTGGTGTGAGAGGTATGAGCTGAGCCTCTGGTTTTATAGAAAAATTTGGCAAGATAAAGATGCCACGTGGCTTGATTTGATTGGATGAAAATCTTATCTGAAATTTGAAATTCATCTGAAATTTGAACCCAAATTTATCTGAAATTTGAATTTTGAAATTCATTCGAAATTTGAACCCAAAAATCTTATTCGGAAATTTTATCCGATTATGAATAGTCTTGACACGTAGGAACCCGGAAATCTTATCCAAAAATATTATCCAAATTAATTATTGAGGTAAAAAAATTTGTGAATAAAACAAAAAGATGAATAGTAACTACCCTTAGCAAGGGCAACGGGTGGAAACACAAAATACTATTTGCAAGGGCAACCACTATTCACGTGAATAGTGGCTGCCCTAGCTCCCCCCTTGCCATGGCTAAGGGCTAATGGGTGGAATTGCTCTTATAAAGATTGATTTAATTAAATTTCAAGAGCACTATATTATGTGTGACATGATTATTTGGTTAATGTTCTTGTTACAAATGAATGGTTTCCCTTGAATGTTTATATGTTATTGATTGTTTGAATAATGTTGGCATAATTAAATACATTGGTGATATTTAAATGGTTACATTGTTTTCATATATATGAGATATGTGAAAAACATAATTATATCATGTCATGTCATGTCATGGAAATTGGTTGGAGTTGGTGGGTTGAGAAAATAATGAAAAAAAGGTCATGAGAATAATCTTTTGGGTAGTTGAGTCTTGGTAGGTATTAGATCTCTGGGATCCCACAGTGCACATGATTTTTATTGGGTGATGCGGGACTGGCGACAGGGAGTTAGACAATATGACTAACAAAAGGGGAATTAGGGGATGATAGAGATAAGTGTTAGTTCATATAAATGGGCATTCATGACCAAGTGGTATAAGCATGGTATGGGACGTGCAGGTCTGCTTGACCAGTTTTAAGAATTAACGGGAGTAGTTGAAGAGCATTCATGCACTATTATTATTATTATTATTATTATTATGATAATTGGGTGCGTGATTGCATGTCATTTAATTTAGCTATGTCAATTTACTGTGGAAAGGTTTATGTCTCTATTGAATGTGTTGTATGCATAGCTTATGGTTGAATAATGAGCTACTCGTTTAATAAACTCTTAAGTTGTTCTAACTTGTAAAATATTGTAGTGATGTAAGGGGCCATTCAGTAACGTTTTCAAAGCCCCATTTTCATTTTCTACCAAAAACGTGTTCGGTATGTCATTTTCATTTTCACTGGAATTATTTTCTGAAAACAAATTCAAACTCATGTACAAAAACTGAAAACATCAAATTATCGTTTTCATTTTCTTTGGGTATTGGTTTGATTGCTTTTTTTTTTTGGTTGGTCTGATTTTTCAATTTTTCAGTTTTCTTTTTCTTTTTTTTTTTTTTTTTTTTTTTTTCAATTTTTTTTTCTTGCTTCATTATTTTATTTTGTTACACCAGTGTATATTAATTTTATGAAAAATTATCATATATTAATCAATTTCATATTTATTTTTAAATATTTATTTTAAACTAAGATAATATTATTTTATCATCTAGGTTTTTCTAAAATTAGAATTTTAATTATACATTTCTCAAAGTATACATTTTCATTGTTTTGAATAATTTTAGCCTTTATAATCTCAGAATTTTTAAAAATTATTTTTTAGGATAGAAATTAGCAAAAAATATACTTGAAAAATAACTGACATATTATTACTCTCAAATTGTCCTACCAAACACATTTTTACTATTTTTATTTCCTGAATCTATTTTCCAATTAATCTACCTGATGCATTTTCGAATCCTGAAAATGCAAATTCGTTTTCTCATTTTCATTCTCTGAAAATATTCCCTTAAAATATTCTCTGAAAAAGTTACCGAACGGGCCCTAATATTCCGAATACTTCCGTTGGAAATTCTATTTGGGAGATGTTTATTTATTTATTTAGTGTTCTTCACATTTTAATTATAGTTTTCCTTAAATTCTATAATTGAGGTGTGAATCATGTCTTAATCCAAATCCCTGAGTTGGGGCGTGCCAGACTCTCATACTAACCAAAATCAATATCAATTAATTTAACTAAAATAAACATCAATTAATCAAATCAAAATTTATATCAAATTATAAATTAATCTAACTAATCATAATTGATCATATCGAGTCGTGTGTAGCATAGTCTCTTCATGCTCGAGTTTGATCTAGTTTAACAATGAATTACATTCTAACTTACTTTGAAAATTTGATCAATACATTATTTTCTTTCTTCACACAAGACTTGATCAATATAATTAATACAATTCATATTTTATAAAGACTTGGAGTTAGATTACATGTGATGGGATCAATGATCTTTTAGTGCATTAAAGTTGGTTTTTTTTAGCCACGCAGTAGCTTAGGTTAGGTTTTGTTTGTTTTTTTTTTTTTTTTTTTTTTTTTTTTAATTTTTTACGAATTTTTTTTTTTTTTTGTTACGCTAAGGACTAATGGATTATTTTGATGGATTTTAGGTAGGTAGGTAGTTTTTTTTTTTTTTTTTTTTTTTTTTTTTTTGAAATGACATTGTTTTGGTTGGGAATTAAAACAACAAAATTTCCGTGCGCAAGTAAAACACAAGTTTATTTTCGTTGAGTCTGAGTGAGACATTTTGTCAAACAGGTGGAGGGCACACCACAGATTGTGCGAAGGGGCAAATCTCCACCACCTCCATGGCTTGCTCCATTGAGGCACCTCCCCTACTCCTACACAAGTCCGCCACTACTTGTACTTTTGAATTCCAACCAACTATGTGTATTTTTCTTTCAAAATCTACGGATTAGAAAATTGTCACTCCTATATATACTTGCAATGAAAAACTCATTAAGCTAACATATTCATGCTCACCTCGACCCGACTAGAGCACGAAGACCAAAAAGTAAGTTAATCGTGGCGAAAGATGAGCTCATTGGAGGACTTGGTTTGGTCGAGGTTCTTATTATTATAATAGAAAGGTTACACACAACCCCAACCCACAAGGTGTGCGGGTTGGATGAAGGCATAGGGCCCTAAAAAAGGGGGGTCTCCTACACACCTCCAATCCAATAAGTATACTAGCAAAAATCGCTCAAACTATAATGAGTGGCAACTTATAAGGGGTTCACTTTATAGTCATTAGATCAATCCAAGGGCTGGGGAGAATTGGGATAAAGTTGTGTAATCGGGTAGGTGAGGAACCCAAACCCGAATTTAATATCTAGCAATGAAGTTGGTCCCAAAAAAAAAGAAAAAGAGGCAAGTTCGAAGAATGAACAGAAAAAACTCATTGATCTAAAACCCATAGCTCAGAGAAACCGCTAAGCTCTGAGAAACGGTTGAAGGCGACGGGCAACGACGGTTGAAGGCAAAGGTTAACGACGGTTGAAGGCAACGGTTGAACGCAACTCCATTATCTAAACCTTGAGTGGAAGGAGCAAAGGGGTGGATTCTGAAACAGTGAATAGACGAAGTAGTGGAAGGGGAAGGAGAGAAGCCATATTCGTTGGAAGTGATAGGTTCCATTTGTGGAGCAAAGCCACACAAAGACCTAGCACAGACACCTTGCGATTGTTCAATAACCAACATTTGGTGAGTAATTTATGGAATTTGAGTTTAGGGTTAGAGTAACCGTTTTCTCCAATTTGTACCATGAATGTTGTTGGATTTGGCATCTCTTCTTTGTGCTTCACTTGCATGTTAATTTTTTCTTGGGTATATGTTAAAAAACGAATGAAAATCAAGTCAATAACATGTCAATATTGATATGAATAAGGTAATGGTGTTGAATTGGAGGAGGCCCCCAAAACCTTCTACATTTGAAGCAATGCAGAATGCAGACTATCTCTCTGGCGCTAGAATATATATAATTTTTTAAATAAATATTATTTCCGTTGTTACTAAATTTTCCTGTGAAAAATGAGAACAGATAATAATAAACTCATGAATAAAAGTACAAAGCATTTGAAAAAAGGTTGATCTATGACGATTATGGCTGACTGAAGAAAAAACTAGAAAGAAAGAAGGATGTGGCAATGGCTTAGCAAGCAGATAGCAGAGCAGATGCTTTGCTTTGCTTCCTTCCACCATCTTTCTTATTTATTTATTTATTTTGTGTTGTGTATGAGATGACAATAATTGTCATGTGTGTGAAGTGCAGAACTTGCCTAGATTGCACTCACACTCACTCATGCATCAACCATTGATTGGAGTTTGGATCCATAAATAAAACACATGCTATTGCTTGTAATTCACAAAATCATTGCATTAACAGGTATTTGCACAAAATTTGTCATATTGCTTTAATGATGTTAAAGCCTGTGAACAGTAATCCCTATGCGCATGTACTTTGTAAAATTTGTAATGTGCTGGTTGACTAGTTGTGTAAATACCAATGTGATTGTGCAAATACGTGGTAGTATATGTGTTCACGTTATTTCATCTTGTATTTCAGGAAATGGGATCCAACGTGGAGCTGGTATGGCCAGAGTCAGAGGCATATTCCTCACGGGTGAACAACTGCTCACATGCAAATTCATCCCTAGCTGCAATTCGAGTGAAGTTGAGTGCCAAACAATTCAAGACATCATGCTTTGGCCATCTTCTGAATATAGATAAGATTCAGTTTAGCGGGCAGATTGTGCATGGGGTTGTGTTGCGTAGAGTAGCGGGACAGGGTGTGAAAGACTTGGATGGACTGAGTTTCTTAATAGGGTGCAACGTTGCTCAATTCACTCGTCAAGATTTCTGTTTGATCACAGGGCTTCGTTTTGGGGAAGTGCCTGAAGTTTCCAGTGGAGAAAGTGATGAAATTAGACTTCATAAAAGATATTTTATAGACGAAGGAATTACATGTAATGCTTTAAAAGAAGCATTTCTGAGGTGCATAGAGGAAGATGACATCTACAAGCTAGCTCTTGTTTACTTTGTTGAGTTAGTGGTTTTGGGAAGGGACAAGCATTTGAACATCAAAATAAATTACCAAACCCTTGCAGAGGACTTGGATGCGTTCAACAGGTATCCGTGGGGTTCGGTGTCCTTTGACAAAACCCAAGACAATTTGTCTTCTACACCAACAAAGTATGTGAAAAGCTTTGAAAATGAAGAGGGATAGGGAAAAGTAAGGTAACGGGAACAAGCCAGAGAAATGAGAAGGGCAAGAAGGATAAGCATGGTGAAGTGCAAAGGGGTGGCTGGAGTTTTAAAGGTTTCACGTATGCTTTCCAGATACATGGTAATAATGTTCATGTCAGTTATGTTTTGTGGACTTTAAAACTTAAATAATAACTTTTTTCCTGTGAATTGTGTAGATTTGGGAATATGAATTAATTTCTAGAATGGCGGACCTGAATTACTGCAAGGTTGTTGATCCGACAGTTCTCCCGTGTATTTTGCGATGGAGAACTATTACGTATGTTCTCGAGATGAGAAAGTTGAACAATTATTTTTTCCAGAGCAAAGAGGTTTGGTTTGCAGCCCTTGGAACTATTTATAAGATTCAATGAAATTATGAAGTAGAATGATTGCATATGACTCTTGTTTGTATTCTGAAACAGTCAGCTCAGTTGCGGGCGCTATGTTCGAGTGAAGAGGAAATGAGACAACCATATTGGAGTTGGCCACAGGATCGCCCTGCTGTTGTCTCGGCAGAGTCAATTCCTTCTTCATGTGCTGACCTTGATGAGTTGAACAAGGCGGTAAGCTTGTTGAGGTCCGAGTTGTTTCAAGTAAAGCGGGAAAAGGACGTCTTTGAGTTAAAGGTCATACGGATGGAAAAAATTTTGGACCACTGTTTAGGTCCTCATATTGAGCAGGAAGTGAGAAGGGACATAGCTTTACTGAAAGAGAGGACGAATCGTTGTGTCGTGTCACATCTATTTAAGGGATATAAGGAAGTGGATGGCATGCAATGGGATGAAGGGCCAAGTAACGGAAATGAGGGAGAGGAAAATGAAGAGGAGGACATTGAATGGGGTGAAGGGCCAAATAACAGAAATGAGAGAGAGGAAAAGGAAAAGGAGGGGATTGAAAGGGGTGAAGGGGCAAGTAAGAGAAATGAGGGAGAGGAAAAGGAAGAGGAGGGGATTGAAAGGGGTGAAGGGGCAAGTAAGAGAAAAGAGGGAGAGGAAAAGGAAGATGAGGGGATTGAAGGGGGTGAAGTGCAAAGAAAACCAAGTGAGGTAGAGGAAGCACAAAGGAAAAGAAGTGAGGGAGAGCAAGTGAAAATAAAAAGCAGCAAGGGAGAGGAAGTGCAAAGAAAGAGCATTAAGGGAGAGGAAGTGAAAAGAAAAAGCAATGAGGGAGAGGAACTGCAAAGAAAAAGCAGTGAGGGAGAGGATCGGCAAAAAAAAAAAGAAGGAAGGGCAAGGAAGTGAAAAGACAGAGAAGTGATGAAAAGGAAGTGCAAAGAAACCAATGTGAGGAAGAGGATGATAAAGTTATGTTGCTTGGCGATGACATTGGCGAGAGCACGGAGGGGACAAAGGTTGAGTTTACTCTCGGGGACATTGATTTGGATCAACCTACAGCTGTGCTATCTCAGTTGAACGTTTGGTTGAATGATGAAGGTAATGCTGTGGAACGAGGGGTCCAATTACGGAAGAGGAAGAGGATTATTACTATGTGGAAGATCTTTGAAGCTAGTGAATTGGTTCAAAAAAATTTGCCAGAGACAACCCGACTTCGGACGTTAGACCCAATGAAGGCGATTCCGCATGATGACATGGTGAAATTGCTGAAACTTTGTTGGGAATTGCGCCATAACCCAAAGTAAGTGCCTTGTTTTTTGAGATAGAAGGCATGAGTGTATATATTTTTTAATTGTTGTGTTCTAAAACTTTTTTATATTCATAGTTTGGTGATGCAATTTGGCAACGTAGAAGCTGAGATTGAATTCTTCGCTTCCCTCGTCAAAGCTGACGGTTGGCTGAAAGGAGATGTAAGTTTAATTGATTATGCATTTGTTTGAATGTACATAGATTATGAGATTGAGAAGAAAAACATGTGCAGCACATTGATTTGGGGTTGTATCTCATCCGGAAGCGACAACAAGAGTTGGAGGAAGTAGAAATATCGGACTGGACAACGACCGATGTATTTTTTATGGTATGTGATGCAGGATGCATAGGACCTAAATTATTTAGTTTCCTAATTTATTTGTTAGTTTCCTATATTCTTTAGTTTTCCAAATCCTAGTAGGATTTCTAAGTTAGTTTTCCAAATCCTAGTAGGATTTCTAAGTTAGTTTTCCAAATCCTATTAGGACTTTATTTTATTAGGAATAGGATTTTGTTTTAGCTGGGGATTTTAATTCTATTGTCTCTAGGTTTTAGTTTGCTATAAATACCCCTATGTAGTTTTTTACAATTCAGATTTGAATATTGATTAAACATTCCTTTAAACTCTCTGATTTCTGCCTGCCTTCTACCTTTTCTTCCCTTTAGATTTTCTTATCTTTTCATGGGACTGCTTGCTAGAGTCTCACAAGCAGTCCACTCCCTCGCATTTCTCTTCTCTCTGCAGTGCTCTCTCTCTTTCTCTCTTTGGTGCGACACAAGCACACACACATGCACACAGTGCACATTGAAAACACAAGTCAGCTGAAAGCACAATCTATCCATAAAGCTAATTAATATTGTCAATCACAACAGCAAATAGACAAGAATTATTGCTACCCATCAACACCAGCTACACCTTTTCACTCCACTAACGAGGGATATCCAATAGTTTGCACCCTAAAAACATTAGAGAAACAAGCTCAATTAAGCAGTAATATGCTCAAATTGTTTGTAAGGTACAACAAAATAGCAAAAGAACAGAAAAAGGGTTGCTCTTGCTATCCAAATTGTTTGTGTTTGAATAAACAGAGCAATTACTTAAATCATATGAAAGAAACAAAAAAATCTGTTAGGACATATAGAATTAACCAAATCGTTCCATTAACAATATACCCAAACCAAATTAACTTACTCATCACCTTGGAAACTGAGAAATAAAATCATGTATCAGTTGCAATAAGGAAATGCAAAAAAAATAAAACCCCAATCTGCAGGTTATGCTACGAAAAACAAATCCGCAAGCTATGCTACGAAAAACAAATCTAAATCAAACTCCTTCCATCTCACAAATCAAGACATTCCAAATAAAAATTGAAACAAAACCAAAACCCCAAAAGTGAAGCAAACCATGCCAAACATATAAAACAAAAAATTGCATTAAGATTCTAATTCGAAAAAAATTTGAAGAAACTTAAACCAAAAGACTACCATAAATAAATGAATACAGAGAGTCTAGTTGGAAAACTGGTGAGAAAATCTTATGAAATGGAAGGTAGCCTTACTTTCAAACTTGGAGAAGAGTAGTTGGAGCCTGGGATGAGATCTCACATAATTCTTCGTCCAAAACAAAATCGAGGAACTAACGAGGAAAAAAAAAGGAAATAGAGTGCAAAAATTGGAAAAGAAGAAGAAAAGATCTGCAAAAATGGGGAAACAAAATCAACAGAGATCGTAAGAGAAAGAGATCCATAGTTTTCTGGTTGAAAAAGGTGTTCTTTTTCTCTGAAATATTTTCTGAATGTTGGTGCAGATTCCAATGACAATTCACGTGTTAGGGTTACTTTGCTTGAAAGGAAGAAAAAGAAACAGAAAAGAGGAAGAGAGTAAAGAGCGTTAACATTTGTGCTAATGAAAACCGCTCTCTCTCTCTCTCTAATAACAGTAGTGCCAGATGTCATAATTCTATTGGTCCGTACTACCACCTGGCACTGCCATGTGGTAGTACCGTATCACTTTATAATTTCTCCAAATCTACAGCAAAAAAGGTGTGGACTCAATCAATGACGGCTAGAGATTTTGAACTTAGATCGAAGAACCCCTATTTTTTATTTTTTATTTTGTTGTGAAGGGTTCCCACATCTTCTTTCTGCTGACGATTCTATCTAATTTTGTTAGGCCCATGAAATAGAGACAACCCAAGATATTTTTTATGACAAAATGTGCAAGATGTTTGTCTAAGATATTGATGTATCTCTCTCTCCTTTTTCAATTTGAGTTGGAGATTTGAACTTACAACCACTTTCAAAATTAGAAACAAAAGTAGTATTAAAGGAAGAACTAGTTAGTCTATCTTTCTACTCCAGACAAATTAAATCCAGTTGCAACTTGTTAGAATTAAGTTATTCATGTATCTTTACCATAAGAAACCTATAAAGTATAAGTATAGGTGGTTTGCTCACCCGTAAAAACAAGGCACTAAGAAAGAAGAAGTATCTTCAAGCAAATTTCAGACCCAAAATATATATATATATATATATATCTTTAAGCAATAAATCAAATGTAGAAAAAAGAACTTGACTGGGCCATAGCCCAGTTGATACCACCAAAAAATTAAAAAGAACTCTAGAAAATTCATTTCTATAGCCTAGTTGAAAGAAAGGCCTTTTGTAAAATCAACCATAGCCCACTACCACTACCAAAAGGCCTAGTCCATCCCTGCCTTCTTGGCAGGCTCTCTCCCATCAAAAAGGCCTTTTGGGAATACCTCCTTCAAGTTGCAACCCTAAACTTTAAATCATAAAATATATAAATATAAATATATTTATTTATTTATAATATTATAATATTTTGTAATATTTGATCTTTGTTATCATAGTTAACCTCGTTTTAACATTTAGAAAACTCAAAGAAAGATCTTAACCCAAAGCTTGACTACTTGTCGTGTTTTAAGTGGATACATTGTTAGAGCACTTCCAACAGCTAAGGCTGGGCTCAGGCTGGAGGGTTTGGGCCAAAAAACGTTTCCAGCAGTAAGGGCTAGCCCTGGCTGGAGGTGGGCCCACGAAACCAGGCCAGCCCTCAAGTAAGATCTGCCATAGTTCAAGCTCGGGTTTGTTGACATAAGCGATGACGTCAGCAAAAAAAAAAATCAGATTTTTTTAAAAATAAATACTTAATCATAGTTTTCACTTTCCACACCAAAACTCCAAACAAATTTCTCACCTCATATCTCATGTGAATAGTTGTTGTCATGGCAATTGATGGAAACACCACAACCTTTTGCAAAGGCAGCCACTATTCACGTGAATAGTAGCTACCCTAGCCCTCCTCTTGCCATGGCAAGGGCAACTACTGGAAGTGCTCTTACAAATGTTGAGATTTAACGAAATGTGGATAAATGCACAGCCTCTAAATGCATAGGTTAGAGATCCGTATCTCTGCCATGGCAAAGCTACAAAATATATCTTCAAGTATGGGTGGTTGTGGTTCAGTTACCGCAACTTTTCAATGAAATCGTGAATCAACCGTATTACGATATGCTAAAAAGACAAACCATAAACCGACCACCAAAGTACTGTATATCGCATGTTGGTATATTGCGGTTGATATTTCCATGACACATAACCTTCATTGTCTAAGTAAAAAAACTACATTTAAAAACCACGACCATCATCATTAATCTTCACTTTAAGATACTGAAAAAACAATAACAAATACACCAAAGATGCTATAATTACCAAACCCATCAGACCCTTCAAAATCCATCATCACTTAGATTAACGAATTGATTCTAGCTCAAGTATGATTAAGCCATGGTGTAGGGTCCTAACCTTATATTCCTAATTCCCTAATTTGATCATCTGTTGTCTAACCTAAAATTAAGCATTAGGAATCCATTAAGCATAGAAGAACATTTTAAACAACCAAGTATGTATTTACAAGCTTGGAGAAACTCACTATTTATAGGCCTAAGGGAAGTGAAAATCTGAATTAAGTATTGCTTCTACCTACAACACTCACTTCACCAACTTACAACACTTAATTCACCAACTTCACCTAACACATAATTGCATTTGAAAACAATTCTTCTTCTCTTCAAGCTTAGTGTTGCAGCTCCCACTTCATCTTCTTTTACTTCATTTGGTTGCTGCAAAACTCCACTCAAATTATAAGTTTTGAATATGCTTTACCTAACCTTCCCACAATCAATAACACTTCATCATGCATGACAATGCATTGTAGTCAGTTTGTGGGCTCGTTTTGGGCTTGTTCATCCAGTTTGAAAAATCTGAAAAAATATGGATCTTAAAGCTCTTTGTCTTATCTTTCCAAGAATATACAGCCCAGCTCAAGGAAAAATCGAAAAGACCATCAAATGTCATTTTTGGCCCAGTAACGCAGATGCTACCGATTTCTGACCTTAAGCTGCCAAAATTTGTATAACTTTCTCTAGAAGACTCGGAATCATGAACCGTAAAATTCTCCAGAAACTAGACTTCCGCATCTTTCTAGTGATGTATGGCTCATTATCTGGTTCTTCTTGAGCAAGTACAGTCCAATCCGTGAATTTGACTGATCTGCAGACACCGTTTTGAGCTAACTTGTCTCCAAAATGTCTTTAATGAGTCTCAAGCTTATTACACTGAAACAAAGACAAAACTTATTAAAAACACAAGTTTAACTCAAAAACATAACCAAATCATAAGTTAGAATGGTACAAAATGATATGTAAATATGCACCGATCAAGTGGATCCAGGGCCGTGTAAAGAACTGTGTATCAACTAAACCATTTACCTCTAAATAATATAAATACAACCAGATTCTCACTCTACTAACTAATTTGGTAACTGCGATTTGATTGGATTATGATGTAAAATTGGATTGCATTGGCTTACAATGGAACTTCCGCTACAAGTCCCTACTACTCCAATTGGATTTTATATGCTAAAAAGTTAAACAAATTTTATTTAATTCATAGCATCAAGAACAAACAGAAACACCAAACATATTCATTCAAATAATGGTTCCAATCATGGAAGACTGGCTCCTTATTTTACTACAGGACTTGGGTAAGGGATATTCTGATTCTACTATGATATTTCTAAACACTGATTTGGGCATCTGTGTGTTCTCTTGCAGGTACTCCCTTCTCTCTCATTTGTGGCAAGTGAAGTATGGTGATCGGCTTCTCAACAAGGACATAAGATTACTTGTTGGAGGACTAGAAATTTTATGCTCCAACAAAGGACAAGTTCAAATTCTAGGCCTATAGGGGCACAGGTTCTACAAACAGAGAAACTACAGAATCCTTGAGAAAAATTCCAGCATCAGTAAAGCCATCACCATGCTTGTATAAAACTTCAACCACACGTGCAAGATTCAAAATTCGCAGTAACAGGGGCATGGGGATGGTGGTGTTCTGGATGCACGTTTCGTTTATGTCCTTCCATGCATTATTCACTTGCTTGCTTAGTTCGATATTTGCTTCTTCTTCTGTGGCACCATATTCTTTCATGTAGCATTTCACAGCTGAGGCAACATGTCCTCTCTTTTGCTCAAACAAAAGAGTCGAAAAAAACAAAATGTCTACATTAGAATTTTTTTTTAAAAAGTAATCTTATCTTATACAAGTAGGAGGCAAAGGACTTAGATCAACAATAACAAATGTGTGTGAACTAAACCCAACTTTTGGTTGAATTTTTGGATCTACTTGAAGTTAAAAGTTTGGTTTTGAGATCTATCTCAAGTTCTCTATAATTCAAATAAACTACTGTTATTTTAATTAGTACTTTTGATATATAAAAGTACCTGGTCGGATTTGATGTCATTCATGATTCTACCAATTAATGATGCAGCCTTTACCATCTTAGGGTCGTCGAAAACCCAATCCATGGAGTCTTTGGTAGCAATATCTCCCATTCCAACAAAGGATGTGGTTGCCAACATGAAGTTGGATGTATTAAGCGCTGCCGACATGTAGTCATCCATTGTTGGTGTGTATTTCTGATGGAACCATTTGGCTTCTCGGAAGTAAGCTCTAACTAGGACTTTCATCTGAAAGACCAAACCATGTAATTAATCTCTAATCTCTCTATAATTTCATCACACACAAAAAAAAACACGTAGGGGAAAAATACATTTTTAGTCACTGAGTTTTACACAAAAATTCAATTTCATCATTACAAAAAATAAATAAATAAATAAATAAATTAAGCCTAGTGACCAAATTGAAATTTCATGCCAAACAAGTGACAAAAAAAAAAAGTTTTTTACCCCATATAATCTATTTATAAAAAGAAAAAAGACAAAGAATGATAAAATATTCAAAATACCCAAAAATTCCCTTAGTTAAAAAATATATTAAGAAATGAACATATTTATTACATTTAGATTGACTTACTAATATTTTAAAATATATATATTTATATTTATTATAAATAAATTTTTTTTAAAAACTCTAATCAGTAATGGCATAATATTATGGGCACGAAAGGCTCACTGCTTCTCTTGCGTAGTGGATGCTATATAAGTTTCCCTCATTTGCAAGATTTTCTTCAATTTCAACGTAAACATCCAATAGTGCTTGATGGCAAACTTTCATGTACTCTGGCAGATGATCCATAGCAGAGATGTCCCACCTTTATCATATAAATAAGATGATATGAGACTATATGTCTTGTTACGGCTTATTCAGATATACTAGTATGAGGAGTTGTTATAGACACTCCAAAAAAGTTGTCTTTTCATAATTGTTTTGGATGAGTGCATGATAACTCTTTTGGAGTGTCGTCTGTAAAATTTTTTTTTACTAAAATACTATACGAAATAAGGACTATTATTTTGAACCTTTCAACAGCTTCAGTAAAGAGCTCTAGTTCCTCATGTGTGCCGTGCACATCATAGATGTCATCAATGATGGTTATCAAAGCAATAACTTTGCATAGTGTTATCCTAGCAGAGTAATATTGAGGCTCAAAGTGTACTCCAGAAGCCCAAAAGTAGCTCTCAACTACTCTGTCTCTTGCAAAAGGTAGCGTGTTTACAAAGTCTAAGTCCTTCCACCACCTGCATGAATTAATTACATTATGCTAATGTAAATAGGAGATTAAAACTGATTGACAACATATAATACATTAACCTTGAAATTTCACTTAGTTCTCTTTGATGAACTTGTTGCAGTAGATTGAAATCCAGCTTTGCGAAATTCAGGAGAGTCTCGTTCTGTGAATCGCGTTCCTGATAGAAAGACATGTAATGCCTTGTTTCTATCCTTGGCAAGCCCTTCCAGAATGGCTGGTACATGGCATGAGTGACTTGTTTCGAAAGTATGGGGCTTAAACGGTGCGTTGCAGATTCAAGATGAGTGGTGGTGAAGATTAAGGCCTCATCAAGTATATCCTCTCCGTGGTTCCTAAGATGTGTGGCTTCGTACAAGCTTAAAAGTCCTAATACGTCATTCACCAGAGATTCCTTAAATTTCCCATCACTGTCCTTGAAATTATTGAATATATCTACATCATGAGGCATTTTTAAAACAAGCCATGATCAGAGGAAGAAAATTAATCCATAATTATAAAACAAACCATGAGGGCTACGTACCGCACGAAATATTATAACCTTGTTGTCTGAGTAATCGAAATCGAAGCGCTGCAGTGTAAAGCTCATTATCAGTTTCTTGGTCCCCAGGCTCAGTACTATCATGGGAGCTGTTGTGAATTTTCTGCAAAAGTTCCTCAATCTCATTTTCAAAATGGTGAGAAACACCTAAGCGCTGAATGTCCTGAATCAAGTCCAATTTTTGTGAAGGCTTTTTAACTGGAGCCATTAAGATCATCTTCAACTTTTCTTTCAGTTCTTGGGCACGTTGCTTAGCTTTGATGCTTGTTTCCTACAAAAACAGATTGAAAGGCCATTAAAAAGATAGGAACTTCAGCATGGTTCATGCAAATTTAAACCATGAAGCTTTAGTAATATGAAAATATACATATTTATTCCCCCTTATTCATTAAAAAAAATATATATACATATTCAAAATAATTGTTGCAGATATGAAGCACCTATATAGTATTAGCCTACCACATAAGCATATGACAGAAAATGAGATCCCCAAACGCTCGGAGAAAAGTTAACAGAACGTCGATTAATATCATTATGAGTGACCTTAGGGGTTTGAGATTGATCCGATGCAAGTGAAACTTGAACGGACATTGTATTGCTAGTTAAGAATCTGGAAGAGATCGAAGGTAGAGAATATGATCTTAATTGTTCAAGGATTGGTGTGAGTTGAAGAGCTATGGTTCTTACCTATTTATAGTGAAAGCGTCTGTCTTTGTCTCTCGTTCACCCTCTCTAATCTAGCTGTTGTAAATTGGCTCAAATTTTTGGTTTGAATTAATTGTGTTTTTTTGATTTGTGACCCTTGGGAAAGTCAAGCTAAAAGGAAAGTCAGCCCTTGTCAAAAAGTAGGGAACAAAAGCCACGTGAAGCATCTGTAAAAGATAAAATTATGGGCCGCTGTTGGTGCATGGTTCGAGGCTTCTTTATGAGTTGTGTGTGTTGTAGGCCACACTAGATGGAGACAAGGTGTGGGCAGTTTGCCTTAAAAACCAATTGGATGGTGTGGCAATAGGTGAGAGAGAGGAATTTAGATTCTTTCTCATTTGTGTGTATCAAATACAAAATGCTTCTCCACATGTCTTTAACATATGAATGCATCATTCGACATATAAAATACTATTATAATTAAATCATATAGCCGTGCGGCTATACAAAAGTTTTTTAAAATTTGGTTTAATAATAGCATAGCCGTGCGGCTATACTACGAATTGAACTCTCAAATTGATTTAGTGTCAAATTTCTCTCTTCAATATCTGCTTTGGAGATGTCGAAACTTGCAATATCTATCAAATATAAACTAATGCCACTAAAAGGGTACTATTTTTTTTTCCAATAAATAGTATAGCCATGCGGAAATACTCATTGTAAATATAATATAATTAAATCGTATAGCCGGGTGACTATACAACTTTTTTTTAATTATTAAAAAATTGTATGGCAGTACACTTTTTTATTATTATTATTATTTATATATATATATATATATATAATTAGTTCAGATAATTAAAATACAAGAGTGTCCCTCAAATTGGTTTATTTGAGGGATATCTCAATGGACACTCTATATATATAAATACAAGTTAGAGAAACCAATCGAGAAACAATATGGCAGTTTGGATTGAGCCGGTTTATAAGCCTAAACAATTTTTTATTTAATTTAAAACAACTGTTATTTAGGCCCAAGTTTGGAAGGCTGTAGGAAGGAATTATTTGTACATATTACCTCAGAATTTATCATATATACTAGAAAAAGAAATTAATTAACTAAATGATTAATTTCTGGCCATGTAACGATGTTAATCGTGGCTAGCTCAAAACATATAAATCTCCCTCTTCTCCAAACTTTTCTTCAATTTCAGTGTAGAAATCCAACATTGCTTGACAACAGAATTTCATATACTCTGGCAGGTTGTCCATGGCTACGATGTCCCACCTGATGATAAAAATAAGTTAATAAGACTTGTGTCAAACTGATGATCATTATTCAGTATTTAGCTAAAACTTTTTGCAATAATTAAATTTAAAAAAAATTAATTCGGTTTATATGGATTTCAATAAACCTTTCCACATCTTCAGCAAAGAGCTCTAGTTCATCTGCTGTGCCATACACATCATAGATGTCATCAATGATGGTTATCAAAGCAATAACTTCGGCCAATATCATCCTAGCAAAGTAATATTCAGGCTAAAAGTAAACTCCCGAAGCCCCAAAGTAGCTCTCAACTATTCTGTCTCTTGCAAAGGGCAGCTTGTTTACAAAGTCCAAGTCCTTCCACAACCTGAATAAATATCAATTAATTACAATTAATAATCATTAATTTTGAATTAATTAGCATTTCACTTAATGTAGTTAATTAACCTTGTAATTTCACTTAGTTCTTTCTGATGGACTTGCTGCACAAGGTTAAAATCCAGCTTTGCCAAAGTTAATTAGGAGAGTTTGATTTTGTGAGTGGCCTTCCTCCTCATAGATGGACAAGTAAATCCTTGCTTCCAGCCTTGTGAAGCCCTTCCAGAATGGTTGTTACAAGGCATGAGTTACTTGTTTAGCAAGTGAGGGGCTTAAACGCTGCGTTTCAACCGCCGTAGTTAGATTTGTGGTGGTGAAGGCAAGCCCTCATCTAGTAATGCATCCTAAGATGTGTGGCTTCGTAAAAGCTTAGCAGCCCTACTACATACATCAGCACATGCATTAATATTATTACAAGATTAGAGGAAGAAATTAAAATTAATTAATCTAGCTAGGATTATAAAACAAACGTGTGACCGCAGACTAACCGCATGAAACCTTATTACCATGTTGCCTAAGCAACTGGAATCGGAGAGACAAACAATATCTATTGTTTTCAGCAATACTAACAATCTCTAACGGATCCAAAAAAATTCCTCGCAGGGGTCAACATCTAAGAGGTTAAAAAAAATTACACAAAAATGAACTTATAAAAATGAAACGATAATTTATAATTCATAATTAATAGAAAAAACCACAGTACAATTGTCCACGACGAGTTCTCAAATTTTCTTGCAACTCATTTCTTTCGAACTACCCAACACATCTCTTGAAATACCCATATCTCTTGAACTTGAACTATCCACATTATCCGAACTAGAAATAGTTGATGAGAACTTTCTCTTAAAGTATCGTTCCATAAACTGTATTGATAGAAATAATCAATAAAGCATACAAACAAAGAAATACAATCTATTAAAAAAATCCCTAATTTTTCCATACTAACCAAAATAAGGTTTTTTACCTAGATTGACCTTAGGTCCCTTAATGCATTCATTTCATACATAAAAAATCATTTTCTCAAGATAATTTTTGGCGGCTTTTATTCTTTACACATCAAATAAGAAAACTTGATTTTATGAGATTTTAGTATGAAGTATATATTGACTTAATGAGCCATCATTTTTAGCCTAAATCATATTTTGCAGTTAAACTAATTTTATTTTTTTTTCATATTTTGATTTGGTAGGAATTTGATTTTCTAGTATTTTTATTTGAATCCAAATGTTAGGGGGGGTACTTCCTTATTTACATTGTAAACTTAAGTAAATGGAGTAATATAAAAATAAATGAAAGTAAAATGACAAATATGACAGGACCTGACCCAAATTCCACTTTGGAATTTGCATCGAATCCTGTGCGTGTTCGACACCTAACAGGTGTCGAGCATGGCACATTTGACCAAATTGCCCATCTAACTAAGATTCGAAAGTAGAATTTGGCTCGGATCCTGTCAAAAGACATTTGCTCCTATGTGATCACTTGACCACCCTTGCTCCTATGTGAATCCATCCCATGTAAATTGTAAAGTAATCAATTGTCAGGCCAAACAGTATGCGCACCAAAATAATAATGCCAATATTCCTTTTCTATCGAGGGACATTGTGTGGGTTCATTATGAATTTTACTGTCTATTTTTTTAGCTTTCATTTAAAAGTTATTAATGTAAAATTTTAGACAAGTCGGAAATCATTAATGCACCTAGGGGTGGGCATCTCATCCGAATTATCCATGTACCGACCATACTGTACTGAAATGTTCGGTTTGGTTTGGTTAAATAATTATTTTTTAATTTTAATTATTCCGATCCGATTCATACCAAAATGTTTGGTTTGGTTAAAGGAAACAAAATTCTTAACCCGACGGAAACCCATACCGATCCGATATTTATACTCACTTTATTATTTAAATACAAAACAAGAAACCAAAGATAAATACAAACAACATTTGTATCACTCCTTTATCATTACTGTATCATTGCTTTATCACAATTTATCACGCTTTATCACCATTTTATCACCGCTTTATCACCACTATATCACCTCTTTATCACCATTGTATCACTTACCCGAGTACTGTAGCACTTTTTGGTCAGAGAGGAATTTATGAACTTCCTATGTTTTCCAGTTTCGACCTTTGTCCCTTTTTCACCTGTAACTTTCTAACTGTTGATCCAAATTTTATGTTCTTTGTATGGTTGGATTCAGCATGAAAAACTAAAGAATCCCAGCACAGAACAAGTGTCAAAATCATTTGCATAAATGTAGAGAATTCAATAAAAAGAACACTCAAAGGTTCAAACAACAAACACAAATGGCTTCTAGTACATCTTGAGTACATATCGAATGATATAGTCACTAAATTATTTAATTTCATACTTGGATGAATTAGACTATTGGATTTTTATATTTTACAAGGATAATTTGGTGTGTTTGTTCAAGAACTTATGTTATGTGAAAGTATTATAAATTGTATTTTTATTAGTATGTTTTTATGATGGTACTACCGGCATACTGGCTAATCTGAACTGAGTATTAGGTTAATCGATCCGAAGTCTACTGAAGTCTTTGGTTTGGTTAACAGAAGAGAAAATGGTCTACCAAAGACTTTGGTTTGGTTAACGGAAGAGCATTCTACCGTTCCGAACCGATCCGTGCCCAGGCCTAAATGCAACAAGTTGAGGAACAAAATAGGCAAACAAGTTATTTCAAGAAAATATTAAAATGACAACCATTGAATTTAGTGGTTAAATAGTTTCATATTCGAGTGATTTTTCGCACACAAGAAAATATTAATTGCCATTTTATTCAATTTAATGTCATTTTTTTAATATTTCTTGCATTTCCAATTTTATTTTTTTGATAGACTGTTCATGGCAAAACAAAAAAGAGGAAAACCATTACACATGGCTCATTAAGTGAACAATGCCCACAGTCTGTTTCATTGGTGCATCCGTGTCGGAAATAATGACACTATTACGTCCTCCGAAGGAAAATACTCCCCCATGTCGTGATCCAGTGGAACCACCTCTGCAAATGATTGAGTCGTCCTTGTACTCAATTGTGTCAGACTATGAGGACCATGAGTATTTCAATTGTTTGATGAGTGAGTAAGTATTTCAATTGTATGATGAGGAAGATGTGAACTTTATAATCAATATGGACACATGGCAACCGAAAATCTACCACATCTTTTGAATCATCCTCTGAATTAATGGTCTCCTTACTATGCTGAGATGATCTTCCCATAAGAGATTGAAATTGATCGTTCCACTTTAAGCAATATTTTAAGATGTTCCAAGCATGATACAACTCAAAAGATCTATTTGGAAGCCTATTATAATTCAAAAATATGAATTTGCTTGAAATTACTATTCTTGGGTTAAAGGAAAAATAAGTTAGTTCATAAATATAATTATGAATACAACATTAAGATATGAAGAATTGGCACTCACTGCATGACCAAGATTTAAGCCACTTATTGAGGTTTGAGTTGCCTTTTTCAAACATCTCTTTCATAGAGAGTATTGTTGGTTGATGGTCTTGATTTGAGATGCAATGGCTTGAGGTGTTCGAGATTCGGGGCAGCACTGTCAGGATCACTTTCTATAAACTTTTGATAGACAAAATTCCAAAATGTTTTTATTTGCTTGATTTTTTCCAATAACACCATCTTCACTAATCTACGCCCAACCTCTGCATAAAACCTGTATCTTCTTGTGTCTCTATCTTCAACAACAATGAAAGGAAAATGAAAAAGATTGAATCAATCTTTGTTAGTGATGGAGGAAGAAATTGATGTTGTGTGAAATATTAAACAAATAGATAGGCATTTATAGAGTTGTGGATGAGTAGAGAAGTAGAGTTTTTTTCAGTTTAGACAAATTTAAAAAAATTAAAGATTAATGGTAAAATGGAAGTTTTCTGAATTTTCTATATGGGTGCAGCGAATAAATGCGCGGTTGTGAATAAGAAAGCCCAACTAATGTCTTTCTAGAAAACGCGTTCAGGCAAAGCCCACAAACGGGAGAGAGAGCCCATTTAATAATTTTAGTGCTCAAGTCCCGATTCAACATCAAGTCAAATATGACGTGAAATGAAACAGCCTTAAGAAAAAGCACTTCTTTCAAGAGTGCTTTTAGCTGTTCACTCCGTACAAGCAAAGCACAAAAGACAAACGCTAGTGATAACTGGCGCTAGGTTGTAGTACACTGTCTGGGGGCAAAGTCCTCCTACCCTACTATCTGCCCGGCTTTTCTCACTAAATTCTCTCTTCTGTGGTTTCAGACTTCACTTTCCACCCAAGCAAACGACACGGAGCCAGCTGTACCTTCCTCTTTCTCACAAGTCTTTGTTATCCACCTAGTTAGTTTCCCAACGGGAGGAGACAACCTCAAATGGGGGTGGGGCCCCACCCTCTGGCCCTACACGGATTGGAACTTACTCAATTGTCTATGGACCCCACACTCACATTAGCTCACGTGGCATGTTGCCATTTGACTAGGCAGCAGTTGATGAATCAATGGAAAGTTTTATTAATTCCCCTCCCCCCACCACTAATGATAATATTATGCACTAAAATAAACCAAACTGTTAGTTACCAAATTATAACTTTGAGATGATCTCTCAAAGCAAACCCTAAATGTCATGTTTTTGTTGATTTGTGTTTGACCCTCAGTTTTTTTTGGGGTAAACAAGCAGTAGTCTAAACTCAGGGACGGACCCATTATCTCTCTAATTTGGACAATAGCTCATGTGAGTTTTTCTTCTTCTTATAATTAGTATATAAGTTTTCAAGTTTAGCTTAGCCTAAAATCTAACCGTCCACCCGGAAGGTAAATCTAGCTCACTACATTTTGAGATCCTGAGTTCGTCCCTATCTAAATTACTCTAAATTAATTTAATTTATACAAAAAGTATATTTAAACTTGACTACAAAGAGAAGGACTCAATGCCCTGATTAACTCGTCTAATCCATATATTCTAAATTTTTTTTTTCTTTCTCAGTAAATTAAAGTGAATATCATAATCATAATCATACTAGAAGGCGAATGCTAGAGTTTCACATGCACTCCATATGGGTTTCTTCCTTCGGATACACGTTGTGTAAAAGCAAGCAAGTTTGAAGGTTCCAATAAAAGAAGTAAAATGACAAAAAAAAATAATGAAGGATGGAGCGTCAAAGCGTATAGTTCGTTGACGTGTGCGATTAACAATCATTTACAATCAACTTTTGATAATGTAATTGTAATGTGTAGCCTATCACAGATTTACAACTTAAAAAGGTTATTGTAAAGGTATTAGAAAAATATAATAAATAAATACATGGTCATAATAACCCTTTTTTGTATTTTATATATTTTAGGGTTTTAGGTGTACGCATTTTACCCACCGACAATCCACGCCCATGTGGCATGGAGCATGGGAAGGAGGAAAAAGAAGAAAAGGAACAAACGTGTTATGTGGCAGCCGATTAAAAAATGGTTGTGCATGAATAGTTAATCAAATAAATTATTAGCTTTGGGTGTTAAACGTGCAAGGCATAGGAAATGAGAATATGTACTCTGGTAAAAGGTAGGAGGTCAATAAGAATTATTGGCTAAGAGGATAGCAACGCATAAAATTCAATTAAATAGTAAAATTTCATTTGCAATTGCGTGATTTAGTTCATTGCAATAAATGTAATTGCAATAGAGAGTGTTATGTGATGAACCATAACCATGAGACCCACATGCCAATAAATAATATAAAGAAAAAAAAACAACAATTAATACGTTATGTTGTTAAGAGTATCAACAATGGTTGTTTAATAGTTCAATGTAATAGAAAAAATACAGCAATTATATTTTATTTTATTTTCAAATATTTCAATGGTACAATTTTTTAGTGTTATTAAATTTATCCCTTTTATTTTATTTGAGTATGTACAAAATTATGTAAGTAAATATAACTATTGATCTGAAGCTATTGAACTTTACCATTGCAAGTAAAACTGCAGTTCAATTCAATAGATGCCAAAATAGTTTAATTTATATTGAACTATTAAACAACCATTGTGAATGCTCTGCGAAAACATTGTCCTCATTCATTGCATTTGGGATTTGGAACAGCGGCTCTATATTTATCTATTGATAAAAACATGCTCAAACCTCAAGATTTAGGGTTAAACATAATTTTAGTGTATGTGTTTGCTTGGATATCAAATTTCGGTCCCTTTGTTTTTAATTTTGAAAATTTAATCCATGGTTTTAATTTGTTTACAAGGTTGGCCCTTTTTGTTCAATTTCGTCAAATAGGTTCATTTGCTAAATTGTATATTTTCCCCTAATGAAGATAACTAAAGCTCTTAAGTAATTAAAAATATTGAATTAAAACAAATCTAACTCTAATTTCTCAAAATTTTATGAAAAGGACCAACATTATAAACATCTTAAATAAAAAAACTAAATTGCCTAAATTAGAAACACATGGATCAAAGTTAAAATTTGAGCAAAATAATAGGACAGAAAACATATTTAACCAAAATTAATTAGTAGCTCTATCCATATTTCAATCCTATAAAAAGGATTTTATAAATAATAATAAAAATTCCATTCACACCCAACAATTTTTTTTTTTTTTTTTTTTTTTTTTTTTTTTGAGAAGGAGAATTGAATATGGTATTATTAGTAAAAAATAAAACAAAAAAAACAAAATATGTAGCCAAGGATTAGGCAAGTCTCTCCATCTCTAATGGGTTTGGATGTCAGGCTAACAAAGTAATCGTACCTGCTCAACCGCAAGCAGCAGCAGTAACAAAATTCCTAGTTACAATCCTTAAATAAGAGATCAACGATAAAATCTGGTGGTTCCTCGAACCAGGTGATGGCTGTGCTAATATTCCGGCCAAAGCGTGCAAGCACATCAACCACCATGTTTGCAGTACGATGTATACGGGTAAAAACTTCTCCAGTGTTCTATGGCATCATACTCTTGGTGTCTTTCACTATAGGGCCGATAAAAGACCAATATGTAGTATTAGTTCTTAAAGCAGAGACGATATGGAGAGAATCGTTCTTAAAAACAAAATTAGTGGAACCTTTTTCCATCGCCAACATTGCACTCTCTCAGGCAGCTATTGCTTCAGCTTGTATGGAATAGATGTTGTCGACATGTAACGCCCTTCCTGTAACAAAGTAATCTTCAGAGTCACGTACCACAATGCCCACTCCACCCTCGATGCTGCCTGCTTCCCATAAGTGGTCAACATTGATCTTCAAGCACCCCCCGGCTTTGGTTTAGTCCATTTCTGGGCCTTTATGAGTGTGCAAGCATAACCATCCTGTTTGGCGTAGACTCGTGCAAAGTCAGACAATCTAACAGCAATGCCATGGATAATTAAGTCCGGGGACATGTTCTTGTTGTTCCACAACTTGTCATTTCTTGCCTCCCAAATTGCCCAGCCAATAGATATAAAGAGTTCGAAGACAGCATGAGGGAGATTCTCCGAACAACATAAAAACCAGTCATGTATTCCCTGATCCAGAGATTGTGCTCTAGAACCACCCGAAGAGGAGCTAGTCCAAACACCACGAGCAAAAAGGCAATCTTGCAGAATATGGATAGTAGATTTCATTTCATGTTAGCAAAAAACACAAGAGGTGTGACCTAACTATGTTTTTATAGTGCTGCTATTTTCATCCCCAATTCCTATTACTCACCTTATCTTCAAAGTTTTAAAGACAAAGTTACCCCTTTGCAAAATGACTTCTAAGAGCATCTCCAAGGGAGATGTCAAATGCAAAATGTTGAATTTGAATTTGATGGCTTATGTGGCAATTTGACACTTTGGAAAAAATTTAACTTCACCCGAAATGCCAAATATCATATTATTTTATTATATTTTTAAAAGCAAATGAGATGCATAAAGTTTTTAAAGAGAATAAATGATAGTGGGGTCTATGACTAGAAAAATATTAAAATACTATTTGACGTCAAGTTTTTTGATATATTATTTTTGAAATATCTCTTCCAATCTTCAAATTCATGTAGGATTTGACTCTCAATTAGAGCAATTTTAACCTTCAATTTTTGTCATTTCATGTTCATGTGGCAATTTGGCATATCGATTGGGGATGCTCACTTAACCGTTAGACAAAAATTGAGATGATGTTGACTTATAATTTTTTTATGTAAAATTTCAAACCTTTCACTTTAACTTCAACCCATGAAGTCCATCTCAATACGAGATGATGTTTGCAAATACCACAAACAAACTAATGGCCTTCTCCTTCTACTATCTAGACATAACCCAAATCAAAATGTGACCTATGTGCTCTCATGGGTGATTTTGTGTTTTGGTTTCTTTTTTGTTTTGTTCCTTTATTGTAGCGGTCTAAGTGACCTGAATCGGATTCTCTTGTTAGTTCATGATATGTGTGATACTCTTTCCTTCATTGGGGTTTGTCCCATGTGGTTTTCCTAAGAAGGTTTTAATGAGACCATTGTATCGTATCGCTCTATGTACGACTTTGATTCTATGAAATGAATTCTCTTTCTAAAAAGGATACCCATATTTTCTCTTTGTCAAATTAAATAAATTATTAATCATATATTTTTTTATTGTAATATAATTACAAATATAAAATGTTTAAACTTATGAGCCGACGAGTCGAACTAAAGCCTAACTCGAGTTGTCTCATGACAAAATACTAACAATTCATGAGCTTTATGAACTCAACATATCAAAGCCAGAGCTTGATAAACAAGTCGAGTTTGACTTGATTTGTTTGTTTTTATTTATTTAAAATTTTGGAGACAAGCTTGACTGAGCTAAAGACTACCCTGGCCTTCACAATCCTTGATATATTGCAATGAAAAATTAAGAGCAACCCATATTACTATCTTTTTTTTTCTTAATGAGAAAACCTGTTTGACTATCTTAACTTTGTTAATTCATGTCAAACTTGTGGTTATCCTTACTTTTATTTATTTATTTATAGAATCAGCGATAATATTTATTAATAATGAGGGTGAAGTAAACAAATATAGGAAATACCAGACTATGTCCTAGAGGATTAGGTGAGCCTCAAGTGGGAGCAAGAACCTAGTTACTAATAGAGCGCCCATCGTCCCCCTAGGATTCGTATCCGTAAAACCCTACTTGTTACAATCCTCAAAAAGTGCGTCCATCAGAAAATTCGGTGGCTCTTCAAACTATGAAACTGGCTCTCTCTATGCAATGCAACTCTTGCCAATTGGTGGGCTGCTCCGTTTGTTAATTCATGTCAAATTCATGGTTGTCCTTACTTTTTAATGTGAAAATTAGATATAGAAAGTAAAAAATCATTAATCACTCAATACCATGGATGTTGAAATAAATGTTGAAAATCTTAACACATGACATGTATTAAAAAGTGCATGAAATATGCCATAAAAGAAAAAAAGGTGAGCCATAACCAAGTGAAAAATGGTTGTAACCCCATATAATTAATGAAGCATGACATAACATTTGCAAAGTTCAAAGAATAAAGACCACCTTGTTATTGCAATTAAAAAAAGAAAGAAAGAAACAAAAATTTGCCATATTTGCAGAAATATGAAGTGGAATAGATTCAGTGGTTTGTGTGGTGGCAACATTTGTAAGATTTTCTCTCACTCACTCAAATGCATTATACATATAGGTGTTAGCTTGATTCCATTCTAGTACAATCATTCCTAGACTTCCTTATTAATTGCTTGCCAAACAAACCCAATTTGCTAGCCTGCAACAAAACCACAACCCATTGCCCTTTTGTTTTGCATTTATATATTTTTTCTTTCTTTGTTGCCACTGCCAGCCACAAGTTAGCTCTCATTAGCAGACACACATAGAGAATTTATCCACCAGTGAATTGTGGAAAAGTCACACATTTTCTACAAAAAAAAAAAAAAAAAAAAAAAAAAATAAAATTGTGAAATTGTGCCCGTTTGAGATTTGCTTTTGTTATCATTGCAATTTTGCTAATAAGAATGGTGGTATCTAGAAGTGCTTCTATTAGAATAATGGTAAAAGGTTTTATTAAAAATGAAAGTGCTTACCGTGCCAAGTACTTCTTCAGAAAATACTTTTATGACTGATAAATAATTTTAAATCTTTTTACTAAATAATATTAAAATTGCTTTTAATATTTTCAAAAACACTACCAAACATGTCCGTATTATTTGTTAGTACAAAATAGGGAGAATAGTTATTTAATTTACACTTAAAGCACAGTCAAGACATGATCTACGCCGCGTGAGCAGATCCTACTTCCTGGCTGTCTTTATTTTCTTCTTACCTTCCTCTCTCTCTCTCTCTCTTGATGTCTCCATCCATCGTCTACAGTAGTAGTAATAATAGTCACTGTCACTCCTTCTGTCCTCCATTTTCTCTATGGGGATTTTCTTTTTTTGATGCCAAAAATAAATGAACCCAAAAATATTTTTATTCATTTATTTTGAGGCAGTTCTTTTTTTTTATTTATTAAATACACCGAAAACGAACACCAACCCTGAAAAAAAAAACACTTGAAGAAGTTGAACCGAACAAAGTTATTAGTATTAGTAACTTACAAATCAGAAACACAGACTAATTATTCAGGAAGAGAAAAGAGAAAGGGACATGACATAATATTTGCTCTGTTTTTTTCATTAAAAATATTTTTGTTTCTGATTTCAGTTTTTGGGTTTTGGCAATTGTTTTTCTTACCAACTCCGGTGGGGGCACAACTCAGCCCCACCACCAAAATCTGGGCCCCACTCACCTCACTCACTATGCTTTTCTCAATCACATACATAATCATACATTACATTTGCTGATCTGCATTTTGCTGTAACATTTTCATCGCTCTCTCTCTTTCTATTTTCTCTCTCTAAACCATTCATTATCTCCTTCTCTCCTACGCTTCGTGATTTTCCACTTACAGAGTCCTCACACACCCTCTCTCTGTCTCCAAGATTGGTATATTTGGCAACACAGATTGAGACCACGCAGGTGACAGAGGAGACTTGGCTTGCGCAGGAATCAAATTACAAAAGCCCACGCGGAAGACTCTCTTTTTAGTGTTGCCTTATTATAAAAAGCATCTCGTATGTGGGTGGGGTTTGGGTTTCTTGTGATGGGAACTCACCATATTTGGTCTTCAGCGTAAAAGTGGATCTTTGGGCGAGTTGGGGCCAGCAGACTCAGTGAAAGATCTGTTCTTGACTTGGGTTTTCTAGATTTGAGCAGCTGGGCTTGTTGGATTCAACACTCGCCTTCTTCTTCCTTACTCTTGTGGTGGTGTTTTTTTTTTCTTCTGGTGAACGATGGATACAAGAGGTAGACTTGTTGCTGGTTCTCATAATAGGAATGAGTTTGTGCTGATCAATGCAGATGAGAATGCACGGGTAAGAGCCCTGGAACCCCTCAGTTTTATGTTTTTTCTTGGTTTTGAGGATACCCATTTGTGCATTTTGTTGTGTTCTAATCTGGGGTCTAATGCAAATGCTGTCAGTTAGGGTTTGTGATGGTGTTTGATGAATTTTGTAAACCTTTGCTTCTGATTTGAACTTATAAGTTTGGGGGTTGCACATTTTTTTCGTTATTATTGTTTTTTGTTTCTGTTATTGATAGAAAGATCGTTTTGGCTTATTATCTATTTATGCATATTTTGGTGTTCTATTTCCCCCTTAATTTTACTCATTTCCAAGATGAGTCCTTCAAGTTGAAATGCAGCAGCTTTGTGTGCTTTCTGACCGAACAAAACTGATTTGATAAGGGGATTTAGATTCAGCTTCTGTTGTGCGGTTTATCTCTATCTTCTAAATTTTTTGGTTAATTATTTAGAAATTGGTTATTTATTGACAGTGTAATTGGAAATGGCGTTGTACGTATATTGATGTTGGAATTTTGATGAACTTATGTAACAATTTATTTCTTTAAGACATTTCAGAAAATTATTCTTGAAGATCTTCATTACTGAGATCCAAGTCTTGTATGAAATCATTCACATTTATCTCTCTTTTCTCTACGCTAACCCATAGACAAAGGAAGGGACAAAGTAGGTAGTAGCCTTTTAACACAGTCAGGGAACCTGGGGTTAAGAAAGCAAACGTGAGCTAAAACAAATAAAGTTATTTATTCTTTATTTTAGAAAAAATGTTTTCAAGAAACAGTAGTATATAGTGGAATTATTGTTTTGATTGGATAAACTGGTTTAAAAGTGAAACAAAGTGTAGGAAATTTAGCTTAATTGGATGTTGTGGAATCATTTTGCAAAACTTTTAAACTTTTATCTGAAGGTGTTACTTGCTATTAATTTACTTTGGTTTTGAAAGTGACAAACTGATCATTCACCGCAATGATTAAGTTTACACATAACTGTGCTTAAAAGGGGGTTGGGAAGGTTCATAAATCCCCCACTAAAAAATATAATGTGCATTCGCCTCACCGTCTGTGTTACATGTTTGGTGGATCTATAGAGCTGATGGAAAGACGAGAATTTATATTACATCGTAAGCTGTCAACCTTATTATTGCCTTTTCTGTTTTACAGATAAAGTCTGTACAAGAATTGAGTGGGCAAATATGTCAAATTTGTGGGGACGAGATTGAGATTACAGTAGATGGAGAGCCCTTTGTGGCCTGCAACGAATGTGCTTTCCCTGTGTGCAGACCTTGTTATGAGTATGAGAGAAGAGAAGGAAATCAGGCTTGCCCTCAATGTAAAACCAGATACAAACGAATCAAAGGTGAGTCCATTTTTTTATATGCAGCTACTTCAATTTGCCACTGAATCTGAAACTTTTAACTTAACTAGTGACACAACTTGCAGGTAGTCCAAGGGTTGAAGGTGATGATGAAGAAGATGACATTGACGATTTGGACAATGAGTTCAATTATGGGAATCTTGATACTATGGGTCCACATCAAGTTGCGGAGGCTGTGCTGTCTTCACGCCTTAACATTGGCCGTGGTTCTGACTGCAATGTCAGAATTCCCACACACTCAGAACATGAATCTCCCCTGGGTTCTGAAGTCCCACTCTTAACCTATGGCGAGGAGGTAAATCAGCCAGAATTCGCAAGCCGTCTTTTTAATTAATTTATTTATGTGTGCATGCTTGTCAGTGTATGTCCTTATGGTTGTGTGCTGTGATTTGATTAAGCCTTATGGTGACACTTTTTGTTGTTTTAGGATTCTGAAATTTCTCCGGATCGACATGCTCTTATTGTTCCTCCCTATTTGGGTCATGGAAACAGAGTCCATCCGATGCCTTTTCCTGATCCATCTCCTTGTAAGTTATTTTTGTTGTCAAATTGCATGATGTTGTGTTGTGTTTATGTATGCTTGTAACTGTTTTTATCCCTCAAGTAGTAATCTTAGCACTTTGAATGTCTTAGTGCAACCTAGACCAATGGTCCCTAAGAAAGACATTGCAGTCTATGGGTATGGGAGTGTTGCGTGGAAAGACCGAATGGAAGAGTGGAAGAAAAAGCAGAATGACAAACTTCAGGTTGTAAAGCATGAAGGAGTTAACAATGGTGGAAACTTTGGTGGGAATGAACCGGATGATCCTGATTTACCCATGTAAGTGACCATCCAAAACTTGTACAAGGAAAAAATATTTATGCAGTTAATGTTGTGATAATTACATGACAAAGAAACGTGAGGATTATGGAACCGCATACAAACGCACACACACACACACACACACACGCACAGAGACAGAGCACTGTGTTCCTCTGAACTCCAATCCCCTCATTGTTCATAGGTTCTCGTTACCAATGATGTTAGTTGATTGTTTATACTTCATGATAGGGATTTTGTCAAGTATTTTTGGAAAAATGAATATGTTTTCCTGCATTATATCATGCAGCGTATATTTACAAGCTTCATTTGATATACATTATCAGGATGGATGAAGGCAGGCAGCCACTTTCAAGGAAGTTACCCATCCCTTCGAGCAGGATAAATCCATACAGAATGATAATAATACTCCGCCTTGTAATCCTTGGCTTATTTTTTCATTATAGAATTCTCCATCCAGTAAAGGATGCATATGGCTTGTGGTTGACATCAGTCATATGTGAAATATGGTTTGCTGTATCATGGATTCTGGATCAGTTCCCCAAATGGTATCCAATAGAGCGAGAAACATACCTAGATCGGCTATCACTCAGGTTGGTCAACTTATTTAGCGTTGTGTTGTCTTCATTTTTTGTCCTATTTTTGTGGAAGAAAGTTTTTCATTTTCCCACTTGCTTTGGGTATTCCCAAATAAGTAGGAATAAGTTTCTTCATCATTTGCTCCTTATATTCTCAGGTACGAAAAGGAAGGGAAACCATCTGAATTAGCCAGTGTAGATATCTTTGTTAGTACAGTTGACCCTATGAAAGAACCTCCGCTAATCACTGCAAACACGGTTCTATCCATCCTTGCGGTTGATTATCCAGTTGATAAAGTTGCGTGCTATGTATCGGATGATGGTGCTGCCATGCTTACTTTTGAAGCTCTTTCTGAGACATCTGAATTTGCCAGGAAATGGGTTCCTTTTTGTAAGAAATATAGTATTGAGCCCCGGGCCCCAGAATGGTACTTCTGTCAAAAGATTGACTATTTGAAAAATAAAGTTCATCCAGCATTTGTTAGGGAAAGACGTGCAATGAAGGTTTGTGACTTTTTTCATGCAGTTTCTTGTAAAGAATTGAATTGATTGTTTTTCAAAAAATCGTTTTCGGGTTTTTTTCTTTTCTCTAATAGTTCTGGTAAAATACCTTGGTTGCATAAATAATTTTATTCTAATGTTTGTGCAGAGAGAATATGAAGAATTTAAAGTTAGAATTAATGGCTTGGTAGCCATGGCACAAAAGGTTCCTGAGGATGGCTGGACAATGCAGGATGGGACTCCTTGGCCTGGGAACAATGTACGAGACCATCCTGGCATGATTCAGGTGGGATTATATTTCTTTTTATTGACTGCTATTTTTGATAACACACTAAAAAAGATGTAGCATTTTTTGTTTCTCATATTTTCTTTTTGGAAGAATTGTGTCAGTTCCAATGTAATTCTTCTCCTGAATGCTGTTTTTTAGAATTCTTGGTTAATATTCTTTGAGAGTCAATGTGCCTTTGGATTGCCGAGGATGATTATGTGTAATTGATATACGCACATATATATATATATATATATGTGTGTGTGTGTATATTATTTATTTATGTTTTAAGGTAGTATTGCTGTACCATATATCAAGAGCATACACAAATTCGAGCTTCTTGCAGAATTTTCAGTTAGTTGTACCTTTTATTTGCTTTTTGGTAATTGCTTTTTTTGTAGTTAGGGAGGTTTTTTCACGTAATTTTATCATAGATGTTTGACACCTGTGCTGCAATGGATAAGTGTGTGGGATTAGGCATGATACAATATATTGATGGTCTGAAGAGTACCAAATAAAGATTATATTCATTTACAGGTCTTTCTTGGTAATAATGGTGTTCGTGACGTTGATGGATGTGAGTTACCTCGTCTGGTTTATGTTTCTCGTGAAAAGAGACCAGGGTTTGATCACCATAAAAAGGCCGGTGCCATGAATGCTCTGGTAGGCCTTAACTTTTTTCCTTTTATATCTGTATTACCTAAAGTTGACTCCTTTTCCTTATTTTTCTCCGTTCTTTGGTTATTTTTTTTGGCAATCCTTTTTTATTAGGATGTTTATGGCTCATAATTTACAACTTTTTTCCCTTATTTTATATCTAAAGATACGGGTCTCAGCAATTATCTCAAATGCTCCTTATCTTTTGAATGTGGACTGTGATCACTACATCAACATAGCAAGGCAATCAGAGAATCCATGTGTTTCATGATGGACCCTACATCGGGGAAGAAAATTTGCTATGTGCAGTTCCCTCAAAGATTTGATGGGATTGATCGTCATGATAGATACTCCAATCGGAATGTTGTATTCTTTGATGTAAGTATATGATTTCTTTTGATTTGATATTTTATCCTCTTTTGCTACTGGAAAGGCTAATTTTGGTACTGAAAACAGATCAACATGAAAGGATTAGACGGTATACAAGGACAATATATGTTGGAACTGGGTGTGTTTTCAGAAGGCAAGCTCTTTATGGATACGATGCACCTACCAAAAAGAAACCCCCCAGCAGAACCTGCAATTGCTGGCCAAAGTGGTGCTGCCTCTGGTGTGGGTCTAGAAAAAACAAGAATGCAAAGTCAAAGAAAGATAAAAAGAAGAAATCGAAACAGAGGGAAGCATCAAAGCAGATACATGCACTTGAAAATATTGAAGAGGGAATTGAAGGTATTGGTAGCACCAAAGAAAGCGACTTTCATTCTTGTATTGGTGTTTCTTTATTTCTTTATCTATTTAAAGTTTTAAGTTTACCCATCTGATGACTAAGTTGTGCTCATATTGCAGAGCCAAACACCAATAAATCATCCAATATGTCCCAACTGAAATTGGAGAAGAAATTTGGGCAGTCTCCGGTCTTTGTAGCCTCTGCAGTTCTGGAGAATGGTGGAATACCTCATGATGTCAGTCCTGCATCTCTCCTGAAAGAAGCCATCCAAGTCATAAGCTGTGGTTATGAAGATAAAACAGAATGGGGAAAGGAAGTAAGTAATTCGGAAAGAAGTTTAAAGTTTTGTGAACTTATTATCCTCAAACCATTTTTATTCACTTATTGAATCTAATTTTGAATCTCAAACAGGTTGGCTGGATATATGGTTCTGTAACTGAGGATATTCTGACAGGATTTAAGATGCACTGCCATGGATGGCGGTCCGTCTACTGCATACCCAAGCTTCCTGCTTTCAAAGGATCTGCTCCTATTAACCTCTCTGATCGTTTACACCAAGTTCTTCGGTGGGCCCTTGGATCTGTTGAGATTTTCTTGAGTAGGCATTGTCCAATCTGGTATGGATATGGGAGTGGATTGAAATGGTTGGAACGATTTTCCTATATAAACTCAGTTGTGTATCCGTGGACCTCCCTTCCCTTGATCGTCTACTGTAGCCTGCCAGCCATCTGTCTTCTGACTGGGAAATTCATTGTCCCTGAGGTAAGTCCATTCTCTCCTTTTCCTGTTCCATGCGGGAAAGATGCCTAAATGTAACAAATATGTGGTATGAGGGTTTGAGCTGCATATAGGTCTCAAATACGAAGTTTTGGGGTCTCTAGCAACATATTGAGCTGGTTGAATGTGCTAATATGGTTTTTGATTATTAGAACCAAAATTCCATGTATTATGCTGTTAACTATACTTGACTTTTAAAACTTGGTGGCATTCTGCTTAAAGGAATTTCTCATGGTAGAATGGCTAAACCGGAAAAAACTTTGTTGGGTTGTGATCTTTTTATTGTGAGTTGTGTGCAAAAGTTAAGTGTCTATCATTATCAAGCTTAAACCACTTCTTCAAGTTCCTCTGGAGTATGAAGTATGTGAACAAAATTTACTATATTGGATTAAGAATAATAAAAACATGTGAGCTAAGAGTGCTTTTAGTTGTTACTGTATTTATTCTTGCTGAATCACTTTAACTGGAAGGTTGTTACACTTGCAATGCCTACCATTGTATTATTTCCCTCCCCCTTTAATCCCTATGTTTTTAGTCCAAAATTACATCGTTGACACAGCTGATATAACTCGATTATGTTAATCATGCCTGTTCTAACTCTTGGCTTCTTAACTTGAATATGTAGATAAGCAACTATGCCAGTATTATTTTCATGGCTCTCTTCATATCCATTGCTGCAACTGGTATCCTTGAGATGCAATGGGGTGGTGTTGGGATAGATGACTGGTGGAGAAATGAGCAGTTCTGGGTAATTGGAGGTGCTTCATCACATCTGTTTGCTCTCTTCCAGGGTCTACTCAAAGTTTTGGCTGGTGTTAACACAAACTTCACAGTTACATCCAAGGCAGCAGATGATGGAGCATTTTCAGAACTTTACATCTTCAAGTGGACATCATTGTTGATCCCTCCCATGACTTTATTAATAATAAATATAGTCGGGGTTGTCGTTGGTATTTCAGACGCCATCAATAACGGCTATGATTCATGGGGTCCATTGTTTGGTCGGCTATTTTTCGCCTTCTGGGTCATTATGCATCTCTACCCCTTCCTCAAGGGATTACTGGGTAAACAAGATAGGATGCCCACCATTATTTTGGTTTGGTCCATTCTGCTGGCCTCAATATTAACTCTTATGTGGGTTCGAGTCAATCCATTTGTGTCAAAAGGTGGCCCTGTGTTGGAGGTTTGCGGGTTAAATTGTGATTAGATACATGAATAAAGTCTTAGAGGTGGTTTTCAGTTCCAGTTAATTATCTTTCTGGAGTTGCAGAAGTATTTGTTCCTCCGATTACAGACATTTCATACTGTCTTCCACATTACCAAGAGGAAATTTTGAGGGATGAAGTCTATAGTTTAGGGGGGTGTGTAGATAAAGAGGGCCGGGGGACGACACATTGTTATTTGTTCTATTAATTCTTTTATTACATTCCTGTGGGTTTTAGGGTTTTTACTTTTTTCTTTTTTGGGTCCTCACTCGTTCTTGCTTGTATTCTAATTCCTAAGAGAGCATTGCATTATCATTTGTTATATTCCCTTGCAAACTTTGGGGGTTTCATACAAGTGTCTTAAAACGAATTTCTTGTTCACTTTAGTTGTTTTGAGGTGGAGTTATTAACGTGATGCGAGTTTTTTACTTTTCTCCTGCCTAAATTTTGTCATGCCATCTTCTCATTCTGTGGGTGTAGGCCATAAATTTTATTGGTTGAAAATCCATTAAAACCTGTTTGAACATCACTGCCACAAACATGGCTGCTACAGCGATTTTTAGTTTCGTGATAAAGTGCCAAGCAGAATCAGACGTGATCGCCAGTTCTCCAGATTAATCCCTTCCACGTGACTTTAGCCCAAGCAATAGTGGACCAAGTACTATAGGTCCTTTTGGAATTTGGTCCTTCACACACAGCTAGCAACTGCTCCTGACTGAGATGAGAGTTATTTCTGCAAATGGGGCGCACAACTGCTGGTCCTGCTGACGGATCTCTTAACTAGCCTCGGCAAGCATGCATTGCCTAGTTTCTCTCTTTTATTTTATTATTATTTTAATTTAGGGTTAACTACATAAAATCCTCAAATTTTCGGGGTCATTTCAAACCCATAAATTATCATTATCAGTAAATATTAGATAGAAACGACAAAAAATGGGAGAAAACAAGAAAATTTTTAGTGAAATTTTAGAAGATGTTCATTCAGTCAATCATCTATTATTTTCAGAAACAAGCATTCAAATGAAATTTACCGCATAGCACTAGGATCCCACCCAAACCCCACCACCACCTTACCACTAGCAGCCCCGGCACCAGCATCACACATGAGGTTACTGGTACCACCACCATCATTAACACATTTACCAACCACCATCACTCATTTATAGATTGATGCCTCTAAAAAGATTGACATCAAATTCTCTGTTATAAATTTCATACTTTGCTTAGGGCTCGTTTGTGAATGCTTATTTAGGAATCACTTTTTCTCATAAGCACTTCTAAAAAAATGCTTTTATTGTAAAAACGTTAAAATTTTCGTAAGATATCCAAATGCTTCTTGAAAAAGCATTTGGGATTGCTTCTTGAAGAGGCACATAGCATGTGCTTTTCTGGAAAATGCTTCTATGACTCAAAAGCACTTCTAAATTTTTTTTGCCAAACGTTATTAGAAGTGCTTTTGGCTATCATAATGCGTTTTTAGCCCTTTCAGTTTCAAAAGCACACCCAAACCTGCCCTAGCCAAAGATGAAACTGCACAAATTCTAAAACATTAATTTTCATAATTTTAAATTCCATCATTTTGGACATAGTATTTCCTCATAAAAATGCAGGGTAATAGAGGGTTGTTGTAGCATGACAGCACTTGCCCTCGAATTCCCCCTTAGAACCCGAGAGGGAACTTGTGCATGTCTGACATCTGGCAGATTTCAGGCCCAAATACTCTTAGTTTTGTTAAAAACAACTTAAACCATTGGACTTTTGCCAAAAATCCAGTAGTCTCCCCTTGAACCTGTAATCGTGAACCTGTAGGAAAAACACAATACTAAACTCCCTTGAACCTGTAGGGGAAAACACAATACTAAACTCCCAAACTTTCAGCATGCACAATATTAAATCACACAATCCCAACAAGAATCTACCAAGTCTCTAGCCCCTTACACAACCCTACATGAGCAAATCAGAGCAAATAAATCTAAAGTTAAGTTTAGAACAAGGAAAGGGAGTTTACACCCATTAATTCTTTTATTTCCTTTCTTTCTTAATAAAAGCTTCCTTTCTTTTTCATCTAAATCCAAAGAAAGTGTCATGAATGAGAAGGTTGAGAGAGAGCGAGAGAGAAAATAGTTAGAAAAGTCAGAGAAGAAGAAATCTGGTTGAAATGCGAATGATGGCTTGGAGAGTGACGCAGAAACAGACTTTGGTTACCTAAATGCTAAAACCAAGCAGAAATCAAGGAGAGAGAAGAAAAAAAATTGAAAAGATTTGAAAGGTTCTGCCATTTTCAATGTGTATTAATTACTTTTAAGAAGTGAATTTTTTTTTTCTAAATGTAATCCTAGCCATTCAAAATTCTTTAATCTAATGTTTTAAAATATGTGTTATAATGTGTGTCAAATCAATAAAACAATTGAAGTTGAAACTAACAAACTGAAGTCGATGCTAACAAACTAAAGCTGACGCTAACACGTTCAACATACCCTTTGATAATAAACTCATAACTGTACCTAAAACCTCACCAAACTCGTACTCAGGGAAGAGCTGACCAACCCACATGTACATAGTAATCTCGATGTATATGTGCGGTTGAGGGATTGGGGATGGGGATAAGCTATCCAACCACATAGGGGCGGAGCTAGGATTCAATGTTTAGGGGGCCATAAGCTGAAATTTTATCCTTTTTCTTTATCTCCTTCCATATGCTATAGATATACCAAAGAACAAGGCCACTTCTGGCCTAGCCTCCCTTTCGCCTTTGCAGCCACACAGGTTGTGGTGGGGGATCAGGGATGGGGGATGAGATGTCCAACCACATAGGATGGGGGATAAGCTGACTGAACTAGTTGGTCATTACGCGAGTAGATGACGCCTAAAAGGCAAGACATCCTGACACATCTCCCAAAGAGTATATGTGTATCTTGCTGGATCCCAAAGACTTGAGTATATATCACTATAATTGGGGCAGGGTACTCATAAGGTGAATTGGAAACTACTTTCTCAATTCCAAAGTATAAATATATACATAAGCTTATTTGAGGGACACCCTTTAGGGTCCCCTATGAATTTTTTTTCCAATGATCTCCAAACTTTCTACTTTTCAAGTCTTCATTCATAGATCATCCTTACAGAAAATTAGGCAAATTGAAAATCATTAAGGTATCTAGTTGGGACCAACAAAATAGATGAACACGATGATTCAAGAAAAGACTATAATAACAACCATCTAATTGAATGATCAAGTCATTTCGGATTCAAGTGATTTTTTGTAGAGATGATCTTTGAGGGAATATCTAAGACTGTTTGAGCCTAATTTAACACAGAGCCCAAGGAAAACAAAAGCTCATGACAATTTTTGGACAGTCACCTGCATTCCCTGAAATTGGGCCAAAACACACACTCAGCCCAGCATTGGAGGCCCAGAAGGATGAGACAAAAACAAAACCAGACAGTTTAGGACCCAAATTATAATCAAGGGCCCACATCTAAAAGAAGCCCAACTCAGGAGGTATCTAAGAACGCAAAACCTGGGCCTCGAAGAAATAGAGAAAAGAAAGGAATCAGTTCATGGTTCAACTCGAATTTGGGTTTGCCATTATTAAAAGAAAGAAAACCAAAACAGGAACAGACCCACGTGATGTTTCTGACTTAGAAAAGTCAATATTTTCAACTGGGATTAACAAAAGCAGACGGCTAGGAGAAGACTTCTCTGAATCTCTGCCATCAGAAGATCAGATCCTTTTTTACATATTTGGAAATAATATTTTTTCTCCAAAGAGGGTGATTCTCCCAAGAGATAAGCAGACCATGTTCTCAAAAGGAGATAAGCAGGAGGACAGAGAGTTGTTCAAATGGAAGATCAAACTAACCATCACAGTTTGAAAAATATAGGGAAGTGATCTCAAGAACTGACTATTGAGAGCTTATCTACCAGAAATTGATCAAAACCCCATTTCTTTACAATTAAAAATGAAAGATATTTTTAAAGAAAATTGCCGCCCATTATTTAAAAGAATTACCCTACTCCAGATAACATCTCTTATAAATACAAGAAGGAGTAAACAGGGCAAAGGACAATCAATCCAACACTCAAGTCATCAATCAAATAAACAACTCAAAATCAACCAGAAGCTCACTTGAATTCCAAGTGAAAACCAACTTTAGATCAGAATTCCCAAGGTTCAGACAAATAAGCGTTCAAAACGAGATTTCTCTCATTACAAATTTGGTTCAGCAAAAAACCAAGACAGGTAGAGCTTGAGCTTTTCCCAAATATGAAAACCTTAACAAATTTTACAGTGCAGTCTCTAGCCCACTGAAGTCCTCGAGAACAACCACTTCTACCTTTACAGACTGAAGAAGCCGCAGTTCTGCCAACTCAGAAGCCTCACAAAAACTTGAAGTGTATTAAAGCTCTGCCAAAATTAACCTTTGGTATCGATCTACAGCTGAAGCTTAGCAGCTGAAGTTGTTAACAGTCCAGTCCAGCCCGGATCAGAACCTCCTATCCAGGCAGAAATGGAGATCCAACTGTCCTTTCTTATTTCTAGCTTGGATATTTATGTTTATAATTTTGTAAAAGGCAGTTCTGCCTAAGACAGCTTAAATTCCATCAACCATTTTGGCCAGAACAACCTCTTTATACTGAGATAAATTGTTAAAGTCCTCACCAGTTTGAGGCAAGAAAAGAACTTACTTGGGAGACATTCCTCACCCAAATTCACAATCGCTTGTTTATGGAAATCAGTAACTTGGGGCGCAAGTTATCTATTCTAGAATAAGTATGCTAGAATCTTCATTTCTAGCAGTGGCACGCTCATACACCAAAGAAAGCTAACTTGCTGACCAGTCAATGGTTCACAAGGCAGTGGGGAACTTTGCCCTTCCACCACAGGAGTGATCACAAAACGGGTGAACAATTTGGCACCCCCAGTGGGACTTCTCAGTATACATATTCTCACAGAATTCATCTCAAGTTTATGAATATTGGAAGCTCTAGCCAGAACCCACACCACGCCATGGAGATAAACCAGGTGGCTTTCAGGGAAGGACTGGAGTTAGAGGAAAGTGATGCCAGGCACTCAGCCCACGGCAGCACAGGGAGTAGAAGGTCCAGGACTGGCTCCAGAAGGATGAACTGATTCAGGAATCTATGTTCGACAAGAAGTCACAACACAAAGGAGCAGGACACTCTCAATAATATGACAGCCATGATGCAATGGCAGGTCAACAGGCAGTTCAGGAAGGACTGTGAGGCTGCCATAGCCAGAATTCCAAATCCGGATGCTGTAGTCCAGCAGCTAGACCTTCCTTATGGTCCCCTCACCAGGATTGGCATGGCCATATCAAGAGAATCCCTCTATTGCACAGATAGTTGGAATGCCAGAAGTGGGGAAATTCAGGCTGGACAAAGGGGAGGAGCCCTTCCTGTCCAAGAACGTGAGGCCCCAGCTCGCCAGAAGGCCCTGCACCAGTTCAGATTCAACAGAACCAGCCAGAACCTCACCCTATTCCACAGGATCAACCTTTGGCACTTCTGCCTGAGCCACCAGCAGTGTTGCCTTATAGACCCAGAAGGATGGATCCCAATCCATTCCCTCCACCTGCAAGAGGCAGAAGAGGCGGAAAGGGGGTAAAACCTTTTTGCCAACAATGACAGGAACAAGCTGGGGGCAAACTGGAGGAATCATCCAGATCTGGAAGAACAGGAAGAACACAGGGAGGAAGTTCTGCCCAGACCATACAGAGCGGAGCCCAGGATTGATCACGCCCAACCAGAACAGGGCGAAATCACCACCCTGTCAATGCTCTGAATGACGTGGGGGCATTACAAAGAATGATCAGAGAGATGATGTGCCTGAAGCCAGAAGAAGAGAAAGGCCCACCTATAGGAAGCCATATCCGGCTTATATCGATCAAATACCTCTATCCCCGGGGTTTTAAGGTGCCAAACTTCACCTTATTCAACGGAGAGGATCCCCATGCTTCATCAGTTGAGCACATAGGCAGGTTCTCTGTCCAGTGCATAGCCATAGAGAAAATCCTCTTTGAAGTTGAGGCTTTTTGGAAATTCTCTCTCGGACAAGCTTTTACTTGGTACACCAGTCTACTAGCCAATTCTGTTCAACTTGGGAGCAGATGGAAAGTGTTTTCCATGACTATTATTACAGGATTCAGCCAGAAGTCACCATCAGTGACCTTGCTGCCCTCAAGCAGGGTGAAGATGAACTTGCTCAAGACTTCATAACCAGGTTCAGGAAGCTCAAATGAAGTGCCGAATCCTTATGGAAGAAAGACACTTCATCCAGATGGCTCAAGCTGCCCTCAAAATATCTCTGAGAAAAAGATTTGATGGGATGTTTGTTTGGAGACCTGGCAGAACTGGCAGATAAAGCATCCAAGTATGAGGAACTGCTTAGGGAAGAATAGCAGAAGAGGAACTCATCCAAAGGCACGTATTACAAGTCCCTTCTCCCTTCAATACATTGGTTCAGGTAGAATCAGAAGAGGAAGCAGAATGCTCAGAGGAGGGAGAAGTTGCAGTAGCAGAAATGACAAAATTGAAACATTCCCATCAGCTGCAAGGCCCTTACTAAGCCACCAAAGGATCAGAAGCCACCACCTTTCACAGGAGGGTTTGTTCCGAGCAAACCAACATAGAACATGGTTTATTCCTTTGATCTAACCAAGGTGGATGCTTTATTTGATGAAATGTTGCTGCAAAAGGCAATAGAGACACCTCACAGGATACCCAAGCCAGAAGAGCTCAAGGGCAGGCAGTATTGCAGGTGGCACAACTCTTGGAACCATTCTACCAACAGTTGTGTTGTTTTCAGAGATGTTATACATGAAGGAATAACAGCAGGAAGGTTGAAACTGGCGGAGAAATCTCCTTCAGTCACAACAGATCCTTTTCCCCAACCACAAGTCAACATAGTCAACTTAAATTGGCCAGAACAGAAGAGAAGCAGGCCAACGACAGAAGCCAGTTCCAGCAGAGGCATAATGGTTTCAAGGGAAACTATTGAAAGGCCAAAAGCAACTATCTCAGCTGGAGTAGTGCTCTGCAGCAAGTGCAAATGTGAAGCTGAGCTAGAAGTGGTCCTGGACAGGCAGAGTCAGCCCATCCGAGTGTTTTTTGACAGGATTGGAACCTCATCCCGAGATAGAGCCTGCAGAAGGAGTATCCCAGACCAGCCCAGCACAGCAGGAGGATGACAGAGCACCCAAGAAGGAAATATCAAACAAGATGCCCGGGAATGAGAAACCTCTGGCTGCTATCATAGAAGGATGGTATGCTGTCCGGAAAAGTGCAGACCAACTATGGAATTACCAGAACTCAGAAGAGGAGGGTCCAAAGGCAGTACTGCATATTCCTCAAGAACAAAAGTGATGCACAGGCACTTCCGGAGACCACTTCTGGCAGAAAAAGGGAAAATCTATAAGTACTTCCTCGGCAGAACAAACAACCTTTTAACCACAAAAATGCTGGAAAGCAGAGTCTCCAGCAAGCCTTTCATCCATCCTCCTCATCCTCAGTCAATCATCTTAACCTGCACAAGCACAAGGGTGAATCCACCTTATTCCAAGTAGAAGGCCAAAAGACTGGAATGAGGAATATGAAGAGGAGCACTGGACTATGAACCATCTGCAGATGACCAGAATAAACTCCTCAAAGCAGGAGAACATGAAGACTGGACAGAATATGGGGAAGAACAGATGGATATGATGGAGAATAGATGAAGAAACTGAGGCTTTTGGTGTAGAATTAGAAACCTTGTTACAAGGTGATCTAGGCATTAACATGGTGTTCATTCTGCCAGAGAAGTTCAGGGCAGAAAGGACAGAAAGCACTTTGGAGGGAGATGTGTTCTCTCAGGAAAGTTTTGAGTGCAGGTTGGCAAAGGCAGAATAGGCATCAGAACAGCAACAGGCACTCCCAAGACAGACGGAATGAGACAGCGACTAGAACAGCTTTGCTTCTCCAACCAAACCAAGGAGATGGCCAATCATCTCAACCCTTTTTTCATAACAACAAACTTTGGGGGTATTCCTATTCCCAAGGTCATGGTAGATGGAGGTGCAGCCATTAATCTTCTGCCTCACAGATTGCTGAGCAAGATGGGCAGAACAGAGAAAGATTTGATCCCAACACGCTTAACCGTCACCAACTTCGCTGGGGGCATCACCAAAACTCATGGGATCTTGGATGTGGATGTCATAGTTGGAAGCAAAGAGGTGAAGATTGCATTCTTTGTGGTAGACCCCACTTCTACCACTATAATGCACTACTTGGCAGGGACTGGATTCACCAAGCTATGTGATCTTTCCCTCTCCATCAGCAATTAGCTCTGTGGAATGAAGAGGGTTACATGGAGATAGTAGAGGCCGATCCACGACCATTCTGCCCTCTGCCATGTGTTTTGAGGCAAGGTATTACCATGATGACCTTGGTCCTTTCACTTCCTTGGAGTCAACCAAAACGGCCGCCCCATGATGTCACAGCCCAGAGGCTCATTGAAGATGGTCTAGCCAGTTCCCTAGAGGATGGAATAGACCTTTTTTTCTAAACCTCCAGAACTCTGATGTTTAGTTCCTATCAACAGAAAAGGATCGAGCTGCAACAATCCGATCCATTACAAAAAGATTGTTGATATATTGGGAGGAAAGGAAGCTCTTCATGCAGGAATCCAGCCATCAATATGCAGAATTCCACTCATGAGAGCACGGAAGACCAGGAGGAAGAAGAGTTACAGGAGGAAGTGTTAGATTTTGCTCCAGGGGCAGAGCACTGGTGACTCTTTGCAAGATGTGGAAGATCCTTTTACAGGAATAAACTTAGGGACAGAAGAGGATCCAAGGCCTACTTTTATTAGCGCACTATTGAAAGAACACGCTCAAGAGTGAGCTCTTGCACTGTTGCAGGAGTTCAGATATTGTTTTGCTTGGCATTATCATGAAATGCCAGTCTATAGACAGGGAATTAGTGAGCAGGACAAGCTGCCAATCAAAGAGGGATACCTTCGCAGTCCAACAGGCCCAAAGAAATGAACCTAGGACCGCAGAACTGAAGGTTAAAAAGAAGAAATCGAAAGGTTGGGCTCACAGGAAGCAGATTTCATCAAACCAACCATCTATGCTGATTGTCTAGGCTCAATATTGTATCCAGTTCTGAAAAGTACAACTGGGGTCATGAAATCTATGTGGATTACAGAAATCGAAATGAAGCTTCTCGGGCCGAAGGAGAGTAGCCACTATGCCTAATGGTAGCGCATGCTAGTAGATGGAGCTGGCTCACCAACGACCAGATGCTATCTTTATGGATGGCAATAAGCAGTTACAATCAGTATCATGGTGCGGGGCGAAGAAGAGACATCGCACTAAGACATCCTTTTTTTTCCAGGATCCCATATAGGTGTGCCTTTGTGTGAGTAGACTCCCTAAATGACTGTGCACTTTAATTAAATGCAGGGGGGGCTACTTATCGATTTGCAAGAATTCTCTCTTGCCAGATATTGTCAGGACATTCTTTGGAGAGTTTTATTATTAGGGGTAGAAATGTGGTATTAATTGCCGCCAAAGAGGGAACCGCAAACCCAATCTAAGGAGGGTGCAGTCTCCTAACAGAGAGGCACACAAAACTAAAGATGGAACCCAAAGACATGTGTTTTTTGGGAGTTTCAGCAGGAAATTTTCCTAGGATTCCTTGGTCCTCCAGAGAGGCATAGAAACGACACAAACAAAGCAAAGTCCATCATAGAAGCTTTGCCTGCCGTCCTAGGAATAGAAAGAATTTCAGAGTCCTCTTATGAAAATTACTTTTTAAGGGGATCTAACCAATTTCGCATAAAAGATCCGCCTTTCTCCTCTTTGTTTAAGATTGAAACAGGAAGAGCCCTTCAAGTGGAAGAACAACACCAACAATTTTTTGAGGAAATCAGAGCATTACCTCTAAAATCCACCACCAGTTCCTGTCCCCACCACGAGAGGCAGACCACTCAAGCTTATGTATAATGCAGCATAAGAATCCCTTCGGGATCTGTTGTTCAAGATAACAAGGACGAGAATGGGGGGGGAAGTGGGAACAGCATTCTACTACCTGAGCAAAACTCTGACATTATGTTGGATAGAAAAATTCTGTTCAATTGAAATGACTTTGGGCCATAGGCTCTTTACTTCAACTGTTGGTGAACTCAGACATCATCTACATGCTGCCTATACACCATCTCATCATTGCGCGAAGACTATCTGATCAAGTACATGCTACGCCAGGCAATTTGAGAGGCAGAATTGTACAATGGACATTGACCTTGACAGAATTGCCTCAGGTATTTTTTTTTTTTTTTTTTTTTTTTTTTTTTTTTTTTTTTTTTTTTTTTTTTTTTTTTTTTTTTTTTTTTTTTTTTTTTTTTTTTTTTTTTTTTTTTTTTTTTTTTTTTTTTTTTTTTTTTTTTTTTTTTTTTTTTTTTTTTTTTTTTTTTTTTTTTTTTTTTTTTTTTTTTTTTTTTTTTTTTTTTTTTTTTTTTTTTTTTTTTTTTTTTTTTTTTTTTTTTTTTTTTTTTTTTTTTTTTTTTTTTTTTTTTTTTTTTTTTTTTTTTTTTTTTTTTTTTTTTTTTTTTTTTTTTTTTTTTTTTTTTTTTTTTTTTTTTTTTTTTTTTTTTTTTTTTTTTTTTTTTTTTTTTTTTTTTTTTTTTTTTTTTTTTTTTTTTTTTTTTTTTTTTTTTTAAGTAAGGAATGGGGTGTTTTGTGAGGAATTTTGGCTAGAGAAAGAGAAAAAGAGAGACAGGGTTCTTCCAGCAGCTACCAGAAGAACAAATTGGAGAAGAAGATGAACAGTGCACGAATCTAAGTTTTGCAAGATAGAGAGAAAAGCTTGCTCTCTGCAGGTTGTGAGTTGTGTTTGTTGGGTAGGGGAAGGCTTAATTTATAGCTGCCGGAAATCACCATTTTTCAAGAAACCCTAATGGCTCCTTCTTACTTTGGCTGAGATTTTCTTCCTTTCTCCTCCCCTTCTCTGACTTCCCTTTCTTGGCAAAGATGGCTTCTGTCTATCTTCATGAATTTAGGAGATTTTGGGGGCTCAACATCCCTCTTTCCCGCGGCTACGCAGTGAGGGCTTCCACTCTTAGTTTGCTGTTTTTCTTCCTTTTCTTTCCTCTTCCTTGGCTGAATCTGATGAAGGAAAGGAGGTGCAAATGTATGCTGGTCCAAGGGATGCTTCTGACAGCATGCAGGATGGTATTCATCGGTTCTTTGGATGTCTCTGGCTTGGGACTGGTTTCCAGCAGCTTACTTAAGGAGCCTGCCATCTACTCCTTCACGTGTTCTCTGTTTTTCAAAAAAAGGCTGAAGCTCTTGTGGGCCTTTTTGGGTTTTTCTAAGGGCCAAGATGGCTTTCTAAGCGAATGGGCTTATTGGGCTTGATTTGGGCTTATTATTATTTTTGGTTGGGTTATCTCTTGGCTAGGTTATTTTGCTTGGGCTTTTGGGCTATTTTTTCTCTCTTGTGCCTACCCACATGTTTGGGCCTAAGAAATGGGCTGAGTCTCGAGGCTCCCAAGCAACCCGAGACTTTCCATTTCTTGGTCCATCAATGGGCCTCATGTTGATTTATCACCATCCATGCCACAACCCACTCAAGCAAGCCCCGGGTCTTTTTTGAGTGGCTTGGGCCCACCTAGGCTTGTAGCGTGGTTGGGTGCGAGATAACGGCATGGCATGTTGCTCGGCATATTTTACCTTATCGCCCTTGGGAAGGATTGTTTTAATTTTTTAGCATGATTATATTTTATCATAGCATGATAATTTGTTTATTTAGCGTGGCGTGTGGGTTATAACTTGCATGCGATAGATCCCTTTTTTCTTTTCCCTTATGGAATATTGTATTGGGCTGATAATTGTTCGGGCCCAATCCATGGATTTTTTGGGCCTCAACATTAGCCCCCTTAATTATAAGGGCCATGAACAGGTGCTGGAATGGGCCGAATAATTAAACCCAACCCAAAAAATCAGATTTGTATTTGCATAGGACTCTTCTTCTTCCCGCGTGCAAAATGACGGCGTGCCATGATTGGTCCCGGTGGTTACTTGCAGTTTCCAACGCCAACTGCCTTCCTCTCCTTATTTTATTATTTTCCTCCCTTTTCTTTCTCTTTTCTTGCATCAGACATCGGTTTCCAAAATTTCCTTCTCCTTTCCACGCTCCAGACCAAAACTTCCCTCTAACTCTCCTCCCTTCGTTCTTCTTCTTTCTTCTCCATAAATTCAAATATACTGAAAGAGTGAAGTCAGGCCAAAATTGTTTACCTCCAGCCGCTGAGAAGAAGACCCAAGTCGAACCCGACCCCGTCGTTCCATCTTCGTTCCAAAGGAGCCCGTTCGTCGCTGCTGGAAAGGTCCTCCTTTGTGCGAATTTTGCCTTCAAATCCCTGGTTTTCTTCTATTTTTGGTGCATCCAACGTCATCCCTTGGAAGATTTAACAAGGTATCCTCTCTTTCTTCCAATTTTCCCTTAGATTGATTGGAGAATTTGTTGGGTTTCTCATACCCATAGATGTTGTCTTTTGTTTTGGCAGCCAAATACCCAAAACCCCTTTTCTACCCATCTTGTTTCCACTGCACCAATAGTGCTCACGGAGTGGGTGCTAGCAAGGAAGGGTCTGCGCCATTGTCTAGGTTTCTTCCTTCGTTGATTTTGCTCGAGCTGCCGGAAAGGTAATTTTTTTTTCTTTCTTGTTGGCTTGGGTTTCTCCCCCTTCTTTTCGTTTTTATTTTGCACGGGCTTCTCCTTTTGTGTGTAAAGGGCTGATTTGGCATGACGTGCTTTCCCTTTGTTTTTTTTTGTGCAGGTACACGCATTTTGGGCATAGGTAGGTGCTGGAAACCCTTGACATTTTGCTGCTGGAACCTTCAAACCCTTCAGTCTTCTAACTTAGACTTTGGCAATAACTCTGCTAACTCTGAGTATTTTAGAATAGGTGTAGACTGATGCTTGGCCTAGGCTCTCTTTTTTTTCTTTTCTTGAGAACACATGCTTGATCGATTATGGAATTCTGCGTGTGTTGCCTGTGGAGGAAAATAATTGACAGAGTGCATGTTTTGTACTGCCTGGCTGAATTTTTTTATTTTTATTTTTATTCTGAGAAGGGACTTGCTTGTCCTGCTTGTTGATCACAAAGCGAGACTCTTACTTGTCATGAGCTTGAATTTTAAATTGCATGTTTGCTTGGATAAACTCAACTAGCCACGTATTTTACGTGTGCTGATTCTATTTTGCTTCTTTCCATATTTCTATGCGCAGGTACCCATTATGGCATCCGGTAATCCACCATTTATCATAAGGGATCATCTTTACTCCGTAGATGACAGGTTGAAGAGAGGGAGACCTCCTCCTTTGCTCAAGGGTGCCGACGAGGATGTAATCATTGATGAAGAACCAGCGCCAGAAGCTACTTCAGTGATTGATCCTGCATCCGTATCAAGGTGCTGCATAGAAAGGGGTCTGTTTCCGGCAGTTCCTTTGTTCTTTCAATATCCCTGCAGCATCAGCAAGGGTTGGTCGGAGTGGGTTGATGCTGAACTGAAGAGCCCATCTACCCGTGATATCCTAAGCCGGGCAGGCGTGTTGGAAGCCATCTTTGCTTCTAAGGCTTGCGACATCCATATTGAAGCCAAGACGCTTCGACACTTGGTTAGACGGTGGAGCACTGAGACGCACACTTTTATTTGTTCGTGGGGAGAGTTCACTCCCACGCTTGAGGATGTAGCTAATATTTTCCATCTCCCACTTTGCGGCAGCCAAGACCCTTTCCATATTGCATTAACCCCGGAAGATGGGCTAAAGCTTGAAACTTTGCGGAAGGGTGCTCCGACCTCTCCTAGTACCTCTCTGAGATTCAGTAATTGGATTCAGTTTTTCGGGAACAGTGATCGAGACGAGCCGTGTCGCCTTGCTGCGTTCGTGTCCTTGTGGCTCGGGAGGTTCCTCTTTTGTGATTTTTCTCAAGACTGCTTGCATGGGAGAGTGTTTCCGTTGGCTTTGGCAATAGCACGAGGTAGCATGATCCCTTTAGCCCCCATGTTCTTGGGGCACTTATATCGCTTGCTTGACCAGATTCAATTTCTTGAGAAGGGGGCGGCCGGAACCATGGCTGTGGAGACTTTTGTAAATTCCAGTTTTCTGCAGATCTTTTTATGGGAACGCTTCAAAGGGATAGAGGTATCTCCACTCCCTTATTCAAAGGCTGAGTCACTGGTTGCTTCGGACGAGGATTCCTACGTGCCGGGTAGTCTTCCTCTGATCTGTAGATGGTTCCGTCGCATGCAACGGAAGGGCCAAAATTTTTTAGAGCTGCTGGACGATGTTGAGCAATTTATTTTTCGCCCCTATTGTGCCTCATCAGAGGGCTTTAGAAGTATGCCCTTCTATGCTGATTCTGCTGCTTTAATGGAGGCCCTGGCCATGCCAACACAAGGTTGTCGGTTACGCAGAGAGGCATTGTTGAGTGCCGCATGCCTCCCTCTGCCCACATTCGGTGATGACCACTTGGAGACTTCTGTGCATTATTCCCCTTACCGGGTTAGACGACAGCTTGGGTTTGACCAAGGTGTGCCCTCTCGTCCCAACCATGGAGATTCCTTGAGCTTGCACAGGGTTTTCTGGACTGGTGACAGCGTGCCGGGAGACGGCAGGCCTCTTGCCCTTGCTCTGGCCAGCCGGAAGCGCGTTGGTGGTCTCTCAAAGGCCTACCAAAATTATTGGAACCGCTGCTTTGCCTCGTTCAGCCGATTCCATGCTGCCCATTGTGATAGCTTGATTCCCACCGTCATTCATCATGCCCGTTTAGTGTCGGAAGAGAAAGCCATTTCCTTGAGCGAGAAGCGAAATCTGCCCTTTATCTCCAAGAGTGGAGAAATTGTTGGTGATTTTTCGAAGCTAAAGCGGAAGTTGGAAAAGTCGGGTTCTCATAGTGCCGGGAAGAGTGTTGCACATGGGAAACGGAAGCGTGAGGAAAGCTGCAGCGCCGAGAAAAGGCAAGCTGTGAAAGAACCGAAAAGGTTCATCCCCAAGGTAGCGGCAGGTGGTCCTCCCAGCTCAAGAAAGGTTGCCTTGCCCGAGTCCTTACAGCAGCAGCCTACAGCTTCCGGCAGCAGCGAGCGAGCAGCTCTAAAGCTTCATCTCCTCACAGTAAGTATTGCTATTTGTTTGCTCCCTTTGTTCCCCGCTCTTTGCGTATATATAAGTATCCCTTTCATCTTATTTTGCAGGTACTTCCCAAAGTAAAGGCAAGGGTAAGGGGTTTTCCGTGACCCCGAAACGTCGAAGCATGCGTATTCTTGAAACGCGGTTTGCTAATACCCGAAAGAATAAGGGTGAAGACTCGGGACCCAAAGTAGTGGTGACGGTTGATGATAACAGTGATGATGATAGTGATGGCGATGGCGCTGCGGGAACTGAGGCTAACATTCATGAGCAAGAGAGTGCTCACGATACGAGTGGCATGGACGAGGACTTTGATGAAGGCCAATACGATAGTCACGACGAAGACACCTATCCGGCTTTCGGCACTAGCTTGGGGGAGTTCGATGACCCAGATACGACTCCTGCTTTGACTGGCGATCATGGACAGCGTGTCGATATTGAACTGGTATCAAATATCCCTCTTGCTTGTTTTGCTTTGGAATATTGACATTGCATGCTGCCCGTTGTGTCCTCTAGCTCATACTCCGTCTTTCTTCTGCAGGTCGTGCCCGCCATTGAAGGCACGATAGGTGCTTCATCGGAGGCTGATTTTGCCCTTCCCACTACTGTCGCTGAAGTTGTCCTGAGCCTTCCGGCAGTGCAACCTCCTCCTTCTCCTGACCCATGTACCTCTGACATGGCTGCTGATGCCTCTCCACTACTTCCAACAGTTCCTCCTCCTATTTCTCCAATTCCGAACGTACCTGCCATAGCTTCCGGCACTGCTCTACTTCTTCCAGCAGCACATCCCCTTACTCTCCCAATCTCGAGCACACCTGACATAGCTTCCGGCACCACTCCACCTCTTCCAGCAGCACATCTCTGTGATAAGAATGTTGGTGCTTTTATCGCAGGTTCCTCAAAAGGGCCTTCATTCGAGAAAGGCATGTCTTGGCAAGATTGGGAGAATTCCTACACGGCATTCAAAGCCTTCTTTGATGGTGGTGTCACCATTCTTAGATCCATTGATGAACTTCTTCCGCTTTGCCACAGATTCGATGGTTATGCAACATTCCAAGGCGCCCTTGTGTATCCAGAGACGGTTGGAGCCTTGAAAAAGTTCATGGACAAATACGGGAGTTTGCTGGAAGCTACAGATGTCACCTCCTCTTTCTCAAGGGGTACTGCCCTTCGAGCGCTTGGCTTAGTACTTCATGGGATGGACACCATGCAACTCCTTGATATTACAGATCATAAACTGCTCTGTTGGCGAGATGCAATATGCGAGGCCATGATTCTGGGCTTTCCCTGTGGAATTTCTCCTTAAACTCGTGAAGAGCTTAGCACGTGCCGTTTTTGGAGCACGGGCCATTCGTAGTATGCAATTATCGCATGATTCCGATGAAGTAAAAGCCGCTGCAGACGCCTTGAATATTAAACAGCAAGAGTTGGAAAACCAGCGCCGGGAGATGCATGCCCTTCTTCTTGCTAAGGGAGTTTCTGTTGACAGCGCTGAGTGCGTGACGGAGGCAGCAGCCAGATTATCTCCTGGGGCTTCCTTTGTTCTTTTCGGACATTCCCCATAGCCTACAGGTACTCAGCTCATCCATTATATTTTTTTATATTACGTATTCCAGCAGCAGCTATTTTTTGACACACATTTTCTTTTATCTTTTGCAGATTGCCCATCCTTGGCTTAGTGACCATTTAGCTTGGCTCGTGATCCTGCTTTTCTTCGTGACTTAAGGGCGCGTGAACCTTCAGCAGATGCAGCTTTATTTTGCTTTGTTTGTAGTGTTGTTTTTTTTTCTTTTGAGACTCTAACGACTACGTCGTTATGCCTTTGTAATTTTGATATTAAACTACCGAAGCTTGTATGAATTTCTGAATGCTTGAGGCATGTTGCATATTTCCGGTGTAGATATGTATATATACTGCTTTGTTGGCCAGAATTGTCTTTATGGACTGCTTGACATTTTGACAGGTTGGATATCATTGAAAACAGGGTATATGCTGTCAAAATTTTTTTTTAGAAACCGAGTCTTCGAAAGCTTCTTTTGCATGGCTTATCTAGATTCTAAGCTTGACAAAATAGCTTCCCACCTTTCCCAAAGGGTCGAACCAACATGTGCATGATTTCTAGCCGAGCTCTATAAAGCTTCCAGGTGTTATATCGTATCGTTCCAGCATCTCAGAATTGCATGTTTCTATGCCTTATGCTATTAATTTTTTTTTTTTTTGCTTAAGCGTGATGCTTGGGGACCCCATCTAAATGACTTTGCCCGGCATGTTTTACTGCTAAGTAGCATGTTTATATATATATATATATATATATGGAAAATTTGATAAAGGGTTAATAATAGTAAAGTTTTGGAGACACAATATATATTTTTCAAAATATTCCTTCATTTTCATTGCAAAAGCCCTTGCTACCATAATGGTGCATCATACAAAAGTGTCTTTTTTTTCAAAACGTGAAAATAAGACAGAAGGAGTTTATTTTTTTTTGACAGAGAGAGAATACAAAAGTACTAGGCATAAAGTTAACTTAGCAGTAATAGAGCTTGAGCCACTTCCCATTGACGGGGTCGGTTAGCGTGCCTTCTTTGACAGAGACCAAGCGATAATAGCCGCTGCTGTGAACCTCTTTGACTGCAAACGGGCCTTCCCATTGTGGCGCAAACTTGGAAGGTCCCGACACTTGTCTTCTCACATGCTCCGCAACTTTTAGCACGAGGTCTCCTTGCTTGAAGGCGCGAGGCTTGACTGTCCTGTTATAGGCTTGAGCTACGGTTCTGTGGTACAATGCTGTCTTCTTTTCGGCTACCGCTCTTTTTTCATCCAAAGCTTCAAGGTCCAGCAGGCGCCATTCCGAGCATGACTTTGTATCCCATTCGAGGTCGTTAACAGCTGCTGTTCTGGCAGTGGGGATGGTAATCTCTACTGGTGAAATGGCATCGGACCCGTACACGAGTGAATATGGCGAGAAACCTGTGGCACTTCTTGAAGAGGTGCGGTAGGCCCATAAAGCATCCGGCAGGTGAACACTCCAACCTCCTTCATACTCATAAACCATTTTGCTTAGGATCCTCAATAAAGTCTTGTTTGTGGCTTCCGCTTGACCATTTCCTTGTGGATAATAAGGCGTGGAGCGGCGATGCTTGATACCATAACCACTAAGTGTCGAGCTTACTTGCTTATTGACAAACGGGGTGCCATTGTCAGTGACAATCTTGTATGGGATCCCAAATCTGCATACAATATTTTCACGGATGAAATTGGCAACGGCAGCTCCCGTGGCCTTCCGCAAGGGAACCGCTTCTACCCACTTTGTAAAATATTCGGTGGCCGTGATGATCCATATGTAGCTGTCGGATGGTGGATGAATAGTCCCGATCAAATCAAGCCCCCAAGTATGGAAGGGCCAAGGGGTGCGCATGTCTTGCAGCAGCGTGGGAGGCTTATGACTTAAATTGGCATGAACTTGACATGTGTGACACCTCTTCACAAAGTCGTATGCATCATTCTTCATTGTAGGCCAATAATACCCAACACTCAGCAGCTGCCGGTAAAGCTTCTTCATTCCTTGGTGTTCACCACATTCTCCAGCATGAATTTCTTGCATGACTTGCTGTGCCTCTGACTTTCCCAAGCATTTTAATGGCTCACCATTAAACCCCTTACGGTAAAGAGTTGACCCATCTATGAAGTATCTTTTCATTGTCCTTTTGAGCTTGCGTGCATGCTTGGGATTGGTTGGCAAGACTCCATTGATGAAGGATGCCAAGTATGGAGCCCTCCAATCCTCCGCAAATGAGACGGTGAATGATTCCTCGGTGGAAGGTATTTTTGCACACTTGGGACAATTGGCTTGTATTTCAGCTGCTTGTTTCCTCATTTCTGGCCAGTAATAACCCTTGCGCTGCAGGCGCCGGTACAGGCTGATTATTGGCTCCAAATTGCAAGTGACCTCATGTACCTCTTGAAGCTTCTCCTGTGCTTCTGTTATCCCTATGCAGCGTGTCAAAATACCTCCCGGAAGGCGTCTGTACAATTCCCCAAAGATGATCGCATAATCCTTCAATTCTTTGATGTTGCTTCCTTTGCCTATTTTTTCTTTCACAAGCTTCCTCCAGTCATCCTCTTCCAGCTGCTCCTCTTGAGCCATTGCTTCAACAACTGGTATGTCCTTCTTGATTACTGCAATATTGGGCTGTTCGTCAATAAATGAGAGCCTCGACCCCAAAGTGGCCAACGCATCAGCATATCTATTGGTGACTCCCGGGATATGTTCCAACACAACTTGTTTGAACGAACGAACAAGCCTTTCAGCAGCTGTACGATATGGTGCCAATGCTGGTTCCTTCACGGCGAAATTTCCTTGTAATTGACTCAGCACCAAGTTTGAATCCCCAATAATTTTAATTCTTTCGACACCCATTTCCCTTGCTGTAGACATCCCTGCAATAAAAGCTTCGTACTCTGCCGTATTATTCGTGCATGGGAAATTTAGCTTAAACGAGAGGGCCGTAGCTTGCCCCTCGGGATTGACAAGCACCACACCTGCCCCTCCACTCTTTGATGTAGAAGACCCATCGAAGTAGAGGGTCCATGGTTCTGCCTCCGTGACAACAGCAACCATTTCCGGCAGCTCCCCCAGAACTTCCTTAGAGATTGTTGATTCTTCAACTTCGGGAAATAGAGCCAACATGTCAATAACAGCCTGCCCTTTGATGGCTTTTGGAGTGGTGCAGGTGATATCGAACTCGGACAGCTGTAGCAACCAACGTGCAAGGCGCCCGGATAATATTGGCCTTGTAAGCAAATATCTTACGGGATCAGACTTCACCATGAGATGTAGCTTGTGAGCAAGGAAGTAATGCCGCAAGCGCTGTGCAGCATAGACAAGAGCAAGGCACAAAAGTTCAGTTTTCGGATATCTTACTTCAGACCCCCTTAGTTGCCTACTTACGTAATAAATAGGACTTTCTTCCCCACTATGATCATCTTGAGCAAGTAAGGCCCCAACCGCTGTGTTTGTTGCAGCCAAATAAAGCTTGAGAGGCAGCCCCGGAATAGGTGCTTTCATAGTGGGCAGCTTGGCGATTATTTGTTGCACCTTCTTGTAAGCTTCTTGGCACTTCTCACTCCATTCATACCTCTTGCCTTTCTTGAGCAATGGAGTAAAAGCACTCATGGTGGCAGCAAGACCTGGGATAAAGCGCCGAATATACGATAATCTTCCCATAAAGCTTTTCAATTCTTTTGGGCTTTTAGGCGGTGCAAGAGAATTTATGGCTTTAGTCTTTTCAGGATCCACGTCTATGCCACGCTGGTGTACTTGAAACCCCAAGAATTTACCAGATGAAACCCCGAACGCACACTTCTTTGGATTCATCTTCAAACTGTACAGCCGACACCTTTCCAGCACTCTTCTTAAAACTTCTTGATGGCCTTCTCTGGTTTTGGACTTCACCACAAGGTCATCCACATAATCTTCAACTTCTTTTCCCATCATGTCGTGAAACACCGCTGTCATAGCTCTTTGGTAGGTGGCGCCAGCATTTTTGAGGCCGAATGGCATGACCGTATAATAAAAATTCCCATACGGTGTTCGAAAGGCTGTCTTTTCAGCATCCTTGGGAGACATCTTGATCTGATTGTAGCCACTAAACCCATCCATGAATGACAACAAGCCTTGACCCGAGGTCGAATCAATTAAGATATCCATGTTTGGCAGCGGGAACTCATCCTTTGGGCAAGCTCGGTTGAGATCTCGATAATCCGTGCATATTCTGATCACACCGGTTTTCTTCTTCACAGGGACAATATTTGCTAGCCACGTAGGATGCTTGATTGGTTTAATAAATCCGGCAGCTAACAACTTTTCAATTTCTACCTTGATTTGCTTCTCAACTTCAGGATGAAAATTCCTTCTTGCCTGCACGACAGGTTTTGTACCAAGCTCAATATTCAGAGTATGACTTACTAAGCTTGGGTTCAGACCAGGCATTTCCTCATAGCTCCAAGCGAACACATCTCGAAATTCCTTTAGCAAAGATATCAAGGCCGCCCTCTCCTCATTTGTTAAATGAACACTTATGGAAATGGGCCTCGGGGCAGAGGGATCCTCACTCAAATCAATTGTTTCCAGCTGCTCAGCTACTGCTGACGATCCATCTTGCATGTGTCTGGGTGCTGCCATTGGCTCCTGGAAAGCACAAGGCAAGGGTGCCTTGTCGTTGGAACTCCCACAGCTATTGTTTGCATTACTTTTCCTCCATACTCGGGGCTTTCCCGTAAGACACGGTCAAGCCCCCAACCCCGTCATAAGCGGTACACGATACGTCCATCGGGCAGCGTCACCTTTGAGCATTGGGGATGATCATAGGCATGGTTGTTGACTTCCGAGTGCCTCTTTCTCTCTCGATCGACAATGGTGATGAGCTCCTCATTGCTTAAATCACGAATTTCAGTCCATGAAGGAAGGTAGGTCCCGAAATCCTTGGATGGATTGCTTCCAGCACCTGTGCATTCAGTGTAGAATTCTGCTTCAGAGTAGTGAGCTTCATCTTTGTTGAAAGGTGCTTGGTTTCCAGGTATGCGTAGCGGCCTCAGCCCAATCCTTCCTTTTACGCATTGATGATAGGTAGAGACCACAAGCTTATGCTTGTTGAGCCATGGCCTTCCAAGCAAAGCATGGTAAGCCACATCCACATCCACGACATAGAACTTAGTAAGTGACCGAATTGGCCCAACCTTCAAGTGTACTTGTAGATGCCCGACTGTGACCTCACTCTTATTCCCGAAACCACTGATGTTTGTTTGTGATTGGACAATTTTGGACAATGGGATACCAGCTGCCGTAAGCACAGACAGAGGTAATATGTTGACAGAGGAACCCGTGTCCACCAAAGCTCTTCTTATGAACACATCATTGATCTGTCCCTCCAAGTAAAGCGGCCTCCTATGGTCCGGGTATGGAACTTCCATGTCTTCGTCCGTAAAGACAATAGCATTGTCATTTCCCAAGAATGACCTTTGTGGTTGAGTTGTAAAGCATTGAGAATTAGACTCCTCAGAGATATTCATCAAGGCTACAGCAGCTGCTTCCCTTGCTTGTGGCCCGAAGCCAAGTTGGTCAAAGAGTGATTTGAACTTTGGGTTTCTTTGAAGGACCTGTGAAGCTGTGGGCCCCTGTTTCATGCTTAAATAACGTTCCATCACACTTGTTTCAGCTTCCGTGATATTATGAAATGTCACGGCAGCTGCTTCCTGCTGCTCCGATAAAGCCCCCGAGTAGCGTTCTTCCGGCATGTCCAAAACAAAAATTTCGCTGCCCTGAGTTGTCACCCCATCCATCAGCGAGTGGCCATGGTGTGTTGTAACTTGAAGGCCTCGAATATTTACACCAATATGCCTTTTCCATGTTTCCGCAAGGTTCCCATATGGCTTCCGGCGGCTTTGGGTCATTCCTCCAAGGGTGGCACAATTCATCATCATCAAGCAAATCATCAGAACATGTAATGACAGCGGCTACCTCCTTTCCCCTTCGTTTTGGCAAGGGGTCTTCATCAATGGTTTGCTTCCTAGAGGGAAGTTCAAGGACTCCCTCATGTATTTTGGCGTGTAAAATCCTCCTCAGGCTCTGACAGGCAGTGGTTGGATGCCCCACAAATTGATGATAACGGCAGTACCTAGGATCATTCTTTTCCTCTCGAGTAGGAACCTTGTAGGGTCTGACAGGTTTGATTACGCCATCAGCAATCATTGTGTCAAGGATAGCATGAAATTCTTCATCTTTGCATGGTAGTGGTGGATACGTCTCTCTATCCTTGCGTTTGCGTGAATTGTAGTCGCTGGATGGCTTGTCATCTATTGCTAATGTCTGATGCGCTTCCTTCTTCTCATTTCTCCAAGTCCTTTGTCCTGGTGGCCTGACGGACATGCTCGTCTTCCTCACAGCTTCCAGCAGCCGAGAAAATTGACTAATGCCAATATTCTCCAAATACACTCTATAATCTGCCACGATATTGCTGATGCAAATTTCAACAAGCGCCTCCTCGTCTTTCTCATCATAGCAATCCAATGCCAGGTCCCGGAACCTGCGTACAAAGTCCACGGGATCCTCACCATGCTTTTGGCGGGTGTTGTTGAGTTGAGTGGTGGTGACTCGTTCTTCATGCTGGAAATACTTCTTACAGAACCTGCTTGCCAGACTTTCCCAGGAATGAATAGAGCCTGGTGCCAACGTTGTATACCATGTGTAAGCACGATCGGTGAGACTCTTTGAAAATTCTCTAAGTCGAAGATTATGATCACCAGCATACGGTCCCAAGGCATCGATGAAGCGATTGACATGCTCCTTCGGGCTCCCCTTTCGTCCATCAAAGAGGACAAAGGTCGGTGCTTCATAGCCTTTAGGATATGGCTGCTGGAGTAAGCTTGATGGATACGGCGGCTGAGGAAGATACTTCCAATCTTCCTGACTTCGACTCAGCTCCTTTTCCAGCATGGCAACAACGTCCTCCTGAGTGACAAAAGATGGTCCCTTCTGCTCAGACTCCTTTCCGGCAGCAGCAGATTCCTCCTGTGGGTGCTTCTCATTCACTTCACTTGGCTTTGGAGCCGAATTTTTGAGTTCTTTTATCATCTCTGCCATCTCCCTCTGGGTGTCACCCATAGCACGAATGGCTGCAACAAGATCTGTGAGGGTAAAAGTTCCCTCACTTGCACGTTCTTCTTCTCTAGAAGAGGCATGTTGCCTTGACTCTGAGTCAGCATGGCTTGGCCCATCCTGGGAAGTTATGTTGTTGCTTCTGGTCTTCTTTCTTGGAGGCATTGATGAAGATAATGGCTTAATCCCCAGCAGAGTCGCCAATTTATGTAGGGGACTTTTTCTTCCTGCAGCTAACGGGCTGGGCTGCTGCAAAAGGTGGACTGAGGAGATTGCCCCTTTTTCGTTTAGGTTCGAAAATTAAGCCTCAAAATACCTCGAAAGGGCAGCGAAACCTTAGGAGATATTTTGAGTAATCTTCACCAATGAGAATAATAGTGACTTACAGATAATTTTGGCATGCTTTCAGATGGTTTTTAGGCTCAGCATGAGTGGCATGAGGCATGGAGAGCAAAACCAACATGGGTTTAGCACTAAGAGAGAAATTAGGCTTGGTTTATGAGGAATGAAAGTGTTTAAGTAAGGAATGGGGTGTTTTGTGAGGAATTTTGGCTAGAGAAAGAGAAAAAGAGAGACAGGGTTCTTCCAGCAGCTACCAGAAGAACAAATTGGAGAAGAAGATGAACAGTGCACGAATCTAAGTTTTGCAAGATAGAGAGAAAAGCTTGCTCTCTGCAGGTTGTGAGTTGTGTTTGTTGGGTAGGGGAAGGCTCAATTTATAGCTGCCGGAAATCACCATTTTTCAAGAAACCCTAATGGCTCCTTCTTACTTTGGCTGAGATTTTCTTCCTTTCTCCTCCCCTTCTCTGACTTCCCTTTCTTGGCAAAGATGGCTTCTGTCTATCTTCATGAATTTAGGAGATTTGGGGGCTCAACATCCCTCTTTCCCGCGGCTGTGCAATGAGGGCTTCCACTCTTAGTTTGCTGTTTTTCTTCCTTTTCTTTCCTCTTCCTTGGCTGAATCTGATGAAGGAAAGGAGGTGCAAATGTATGCTGGTCCAAGGGATGCTTCTGACAGCATGCAGGATGGTATTCATCGGTTCTTTGGATGTCTCTGGCTTGGGACTGGTTTCCAGCAGCTTACTTAAGGAGCCTGCCATCTACTCCTTCACGTGTTCTCTGTTTTTCAAAAAAGGCTGAAGCTCTTGTGGGCCTTTTTTGGGTTTTTCTAAGGGCCAAGATGGCTTTCTAAGCAAATGGGCTTATTGGGCTTGATTTGGGCTTATTATTATTTTTGGTTGGGTTATCTCTTGGCTAGGTTATTTTGCTTGGGCTTTTGGGCTATTTTTCTCTCTTGTGCTTACCCACATGTTTGGACCTAAGAAATGGGCTTGAGTCTCGAGGCTCCCAAGCAACCCGAGACTTTCCATTTCTTGGTCCATCAATGGGCCTCATGTTGATTTATCACCATCCATGCCACAACCCACTCAAGCAAGCCCCGGGTCTTTTTTGAGTGGCTTGGGCCCACCTAGGCTTGTAGCGTGGTTGGGTGCGAGATAACGGCATGGCATATTGCTCGGCATATTTTACCTTATCGCCCTTGGGAAGGATTGTTTTAATTTTTAGCATGAGTTAATTATATTTTATCGCGAATCATAGCATGATAATTTGTTTGTTTAGCGTGGCATGTGGATTATAACTCGCATGCGATAGATCTTTTTTTTTCCTTTTCCCTCATGGAAATATTGTATTGGGCTGATAGTTGCTTGGGCCCGATCCATAGATAAAGCAAAATTATACAACCATGAAAAATTAACTGCCATCATGTTGCTAGCATTTATGAACATAAATTTCTGAAAACAAGAAAAAAAAAATCGCACCTGACTACCATGTTTGAAACCTTCATGCAGCACTTAACCTAGCTCATAGGGCACTCACAACAACGGCTAAAATTTCATATGAACTTGCCATAAATAAAGAAACACTTCATTAATAACGTGTAGTTTCGTCCATATTTAACTCTGATTTTCCTACTAGGTGGTTGTTCAGATAAAATAATTGGGATTGTATCGGCCATGGAGTTTATTCATTCCTATCCTGTAATAGCTAAGATATCTCGACAACACACTGTGGCGCACTCTCAAACCAGTAAAAGATTTTGCAAGCTTCCTTCCCCTTTAGGGCAATTCAGCCTTCAAGAACTTCAATACAGAGACCTCTATTATTCTATGACCTGGACCTTGTCTGCCTCTGATATCATTACTGGAATTTGAACCATAAATGATAATTAAGGGTTTAGGGTTTACAGAAATAAAAAAAATACAACTTTACAAATTTTTAAAAATAATAATAATTTGGAATTCAATCTCATCTGTGTTTCGGGGGTGGGAGGAGTTATAGCGTGATCTAGCTTGCGAAATTAATGATGTACACATATATCCACCTGAAACCAAGTTGACAACAGCCTGACAGTGCCAAACTCAATAATCGCATCGGTTGGAATTGGATTTTCCAGCTGAAAACGAAAGAGAATCAGATTAAATTTTGTTATTTTTTTAATTGAATATAATAATTTTGAAAGAAATTCAGAATTCAGTACACAAGAGAGGGGCAACCCTCCCTATACACACATGTATCAAAATTTAGTCCACATGAAATTTGAACCTTAAACTTAATATAACGAAGTAGAGATAAATACCACTAACATGAGCCGCCGCCATTCGACAAACGTTCCAAGTTTGAAATTTAAACCTAGCTACTGGTCCCTTGGTCAGCACCTTCTTATAAGTAGAGAGCAATCATTCAATGTTTCAAGTCCAAGCACAAATCTAATTTGTTTGGCCATAAATTTGGGTGCTTCTAGGGAAGGGACAAACAAAACACCCCCCCCAAAAAAACACACCCTGGATGAGTCGAGGATATGCTTCCTTGATTTGCTATTTTGCCAAACAGAAATCCCACTATGAATATTGTCCAAAGACTACTAGAATTCGGAATTAAAATGCCACTAGCTAGGTAAGAATGTTATAGCTAGTTCACTCGATTCACACTAGGTCAAGTCACAATTTTGTTGCAACCGAAAATGTGTCACAATTTGGGCAATCTCTCAACGGTAAAGAGTTGAGTTGCGTAGGAGTTATGCTAGTCAGCTGTAGGTAGGCAGGCATTAGTTTTGCATGGGGGAATCTCTCCGGAAAAGCTGGGTGGCTTGCTCTTTTATATATTTTGTTAATTTTCTTTATTTATTCTCTCATTAATTTAAGCGTATAAATGGCTTCGCAATCTCTTTCACAATGGATTTCCCTTCTCAGGCTCAGGGCTTGATCTCTTCTCTCCTTTCTTAACTGCATGCTGTCTTTCAGAATGTTTGGTGTTAAAGACTTCATGAATATCTTCAAGTTCTTGTTCCGAGTAGTCTTTGGTGGGGTGTTTTCAGTTCCTTTTTTTCTTCTCTTCAACCTTAGATTGTTCCTCGGATTTTGTTTATCGATTAATGCCTCTTTACTTTGATGCAGGAAATGGGATCGCTTTCTTCCTCTTCTTGGTGCCAATGTATGCACTACGGACGCTCAGATATTGTCAAAGCTTAAAATCATTTATGCAAAATCATGTTTTAATTTGAATTAAGGATTTTGGTTTAATACTAATAGGACTACATTGAAGAGGATCATGAAAAAGAATAAGTTCACAGAGCAGTACCTCTCGGGCATTCCTTACCTCATGACTTTGCTCCTTTCAGCGGCTTGGTATGTCTTTTTGTTTCTTGGGCTTTGATCAGTGCATGGTACTTTTATTGAATACTTTGGTCTCTAAGCAATACAAAGTTTAATCTCTTATTCATTGGCTTCATCTCTTCTTCCAAATAATACAGAAGGTGACTTATTCATATGGAATGAATACGAGACATTGATTAAGTTCATTTTCGCACGTCACATTCTAAGCATAAATTTGATAAGAGAACATTAATTACTGTATTTGTGTATGCATCAATAAATTTTCATGACCTACATAGTTTAGTGAATTAACAAATTTGTATTTGCAACAATCCAACAGGTACGGCCTGCCACTTGTGTCTCCAAAGAACATTTTTGGTGTCGACCATCAACACTATCGGAGCAGCAATTGAAGCCATATACTTGTTGATCGTCTTCCTACTGGCTCCCAAGATGGAAAAGGATAAATTCTTGAGCTCCTCACTTATGCGCTGTCATTTAAGCAAAGCGAGAACCCAAAGAAAATCAAAGAAACCCTAAGCACATAATTAGGGAATTAAATTTGACAAATATAATGAAGGTAATTGGTTTTGTAAATAACTTTTCTTTGGGCCACAAATGATGATCTCTAACTTGAACTACAAGTGGAGAACTAATCCATATGAATGTATTCAATTGGGATTTGAAAAGACTATTTAGGAATAGAAAAAGTCTAGTGAATTCGATTGGTAATCTCACCTAAACTGCTTAATTCTAAAATTAATTCCAATTAATGCATAATCCCATGTTGCAACTTGCGTGCCATTTGTTAATCTCTTTTTTTTTTTGGTCAAGACCACTTGTTAATCTCAAGTTGCAACTTGCATGCCTAAACCCAAGTAGCAACTAGCATGCCAAATCTCACCTATAATTGTCGTTTGTTAAAATCTGAAATTGTGAGTTGGTTATATACATTGCTTACAACTTCCATCTTTCGAATTCCCTCGTTCATGATGGATTAGCAATTCCTAACATCCTTATCCTAGCCAAAGCTTGGATTCTTCTTTCGAATTCCCTTGCTCATTTGCCACCGTTCTATCATTTGTGTACCTATAATTATGTCTACACAATATTTTATCTTTTTTTTTCCTCGTTGTTAAGTAATTATTGTGTGGTACTGGATACGATATTATGTGAATAATCAATCCACGTATATGAGTTAATGTTTCCTCATTCTAATAGTCAAAAATATCAATCACGTCATGGACAATAGTTAATTAATTATTTACAAATGTGTTTGATATCATCTTCTATCTTAGAATCTTCTCAGTCATTGAATTGATCGTTTTTTTACTATTTATTTTCACATTAAATAAAATCAACCAAAAAAAAAAAAAAAAAAAAAAAAAATTAAACTTCTGACTACCTACTTGACTTGAAGAGTTAAAAAAAAACAGTGAATAAGTACTAGCAACAAAAAAATGGTTTATTTAAGGTTTTAAACTAGTTCAAGATCATCAAGTTATCAACTCTCAAATTCTTATATTTAGGAAGAAATCTTGGTAACCCATCAAGTTTCCAATTTCTATATATATATATATATATATATATATATATATATACTTTGGAATATATTGTAAGAAATATCTTGCTAGCTCATTACTCTCTCTCTCCTACACAAGTTGCTAACTCATACAGCAAAATTCAGTTCTGCTGATTTATATTCCACTAAACCATCATGACATTATTATTTCAGACAATACAGGTTTTTTGTCGACTCATGATTTTCCAAGAAAACTTCACCAAATTGACGACTTCCGATACTTCGTGATAGATGACAGTCGATAATACTTTGTGCTGTAATAGATGACAGTCAATAAGGAAACGATCGTAACCCTAACCCACATAAGACAAAGTGCTATGGGACAACTTGCTGTACTATTTAAAAGCCAAATCTGTTGGCCTTATCGACCCTTTTCTCTATAATAAGCCGGTAAAATTATAAGAGAGTGCATATTCATAAGATGAAATGGTTGTAATATACAAGCCCTTTTTTTGTCTAATTCTCCAGATATATGTAGCTGGATATAGCTGTTTCAGCTTAACATCTTTGCTTCAAGGATGATGGCTAATCAATACATTCTCCTCAAGAGAAAATATCAATGAAAAGGAGACTGAAAAATGGTTTTAGTAATATATATATTTTTACACAAACGATATCAAAAACAGAAAAAAGCGAACTTAGAATCTCGGGTGGAGTGATAAATACTATAAATATAATCTTTTTTTATTATAAAGAAGAAATAAAAAACAAAAACAAAAAGGTCCTGGTCAGCGGGACATGACGTGTGACAGTAACTAATAGGGTTCAGTTAGAGATGGCATACATTGGGCACCGTCCTCTAGGAACCATAGGATGGACTAAACAACAAACCTGCCTTGAAGTGGCACCGTCCATCCAAAAACAACCAAAGTGAATAAAACCCCATAGTCCTAATCTCTTGGATTACATATGTTTAAGAGATTTGTGATCACTTAAAAACCTATTTTAGATGTGGGGTATATATATATAAAACTTAAAAACCTATTTTAGATGTGGGGTATATATATATAAAACAGAAGGCAAATAATGATGAAACATTCAAAATATTAGAAAATATCCTTAGTTAATACAAATATTAAGAATTGAAATTATTAATTAAATGAGGATAAAATAATAAATTCACACTTTTTCATATTAAAAAAAAATTAAATTAAAAGAAAAATAAGATAAAAGATCGTATTTTATGGAACACAACTACCCATTATCTTTTTTTAATTCTAAAATAAATTAAAAAAAATAATAATAATCTTATCGCACGCACTTTCGCGCGTGTAGAGAGACTAGTATATATAAAGTAAAATGTAGAGAATAGTGAAATATTTAAAATATCAAAAAATGTCATTGGTTAATTCAAACATTAAGAATTGAAATTATTAATTAAATGAGGATAATACGGTAAATTCACATTTTTTCATATTAAAACAAAATTAGATAATATGTCATATTTGTATGGAACACAATAATTATTATTTTTTAAAAAATAATTTATTATAAAAAAAAAAAAAAAAAAAAAAAATCTTAAGAGCAGAAGCGTGTGCAGAAGAGGCTAGGTAAATGTGAATATCCTAAGTTCAATTATTTGTCATTGAAAGCATGTGTTATATAATCTTATGAAATATATTGATTGGTCATTTTACACATCACAATCTGTCAAATATATTGTATGATGGAGCATGCAAATACAAATTTTGTATTGGTGGTCGCTAAAAACTATTCTTTTGCTTAAAAGCTGATGTTGTCTTTGACTTCCTTGAAGACTTTAGGTCACAATTTTGTGGAAGGACATTTGATTTGCTATAGGACTCGCTAATATTCAGCCGATTCCGTGGAGCATTTTGTTGCAAGCAAGTGAATAAATCAAAACCTCATATTTAGCCTTCTTTGTCTTATTGTCAAGTTGCAATTTAGTCCTTTTACTTTGGTTCTACCTCGTACCAGTTATTGAAGAATAAATCTACGTCGTACATGTCTCCTCTCAAGGAAAGAGAAAGGGAGGAGAGGAGAAGAGGAGGAGGAGCCTCCTCCCGTTAAAAGGCAAAATAAAGAGACAAAGAAGTGGAAAAAGATGCACAAGAATTACTCATCCAAAGTATTTTACGCAAGAATTACGAGGTTATTAGTCAACATGCAAACAACCAAAATGCAACCAATCATAGTACTGCTTTCAACTTCACACTATTTTATAAGAAAAAGCAAATAACAATAATATTGATGCCAACGACTCTCTCGATCACAAGGACAGACACACGCTAGCGTCAGGGTTTCAACTATGCATCGTCATCTTCTCTCCAACCCTCGTATGCCTAAGAAATCTGAAAGGGTGATAGTGTAAATAACTATTCAAATTTTTCACTGTTTTTATTATCTCGATATCATTGATATTATAGTGATATTATACAGATATTTTAATCAAATGTTGTTAAAGTGTGAGAGAAATTATCAACATCGATATTTTCTAATATTATCGATATTTATATGATATATGTATGAATATATTCCAAATTGTCAGCTTTATGCGATTGTAAGAGCACTTCCACCCATTTGTCATGGCAAAGGGCAAGGAGAGGCAAAGGCTATTACTATTCACATAAATAGTGTCAGTCTTTACAAAAGGCAAAGTGTGTTTCCACTTATTACCATGGCAGATGGTAATTATTATTCACTTTAAATTATTTTTATTTTTTATACATAAAGGATTTTTTTTATTTTATAGGATTTAGAGTTTTGGTGTGAAGAAGTGAAAAAATTATTATTTTTTTTTTTTTTTTTTTTTTTTTTTTTTTTTTTTTTTTTTTTGGTCTGATTATGTAATAGTCCTTGCCTCCCCTTGCCTTTTGCCATGACAAATGGGTGGAAGTACTCTTAAGTAAAAAAATATGGTTATGTATTTATAAATAAAAAATTCTAATTCTTTTTTTCAATTTTTTTTATTTTAATTGGCCCCACCCTGAGTTGGTGGGCCCCACGCCTTACCCAGGCTTTCCCCTGCATGCTAGAACCGTCACGCAGGCCTAGGCCCTTTCCTGCCCGGGCTTCCCCTTGCAGCTGGAAGTGCTCAAAGATGTAGACAAGAGCCTCTTCGCCAAAGAAAAAATTAAGAATTCGTACATTTCAGTATTTACTGCAACGGAGATACCATTTAGTTACACTTCAATTTTCTGTTGAGATTTTCTATTTAAACCCCACACTTCTCTTAGTTCACCCCAACTTTTAATTTAAATTTTCACAATTTCTAAGTAAACCCCACTATCTTCCTAAACTACCCTTAAATACACCCCAAGCTAAAAAAATAAGAAATAAAAGATATTTTCTATTTAAACCTCACAAAGAAGGACCACTGTTCTTTTTTGCTGTTGGTTTGGCGCACTACATAGTTTTATTCGTAACGCTCTATCAGCGACTTCCAACTAATGAGACAATAATCCCAAAGGACCTCCATCCTGTATTCTTTCTGTTTGTTGCAGCACCAAGTGTAGCTTCCATGGCATGGGCAAAAATCCAAGCGCTTCTCGTCCCTCTCTCAAAGCCCCATTTGCCATTTTCTGAAGAAACAACTTGCTCTTCTTTCGATAATCTTCTCTCTCTTTTCTTTTTCAGTCCAGTTTTTGGTTCTCCAAGTGCTTTTCCTCATCTGGCTGGGTTCCTCTTCTTTTCTTTCTTTCTTTTCAAGATTTGGTGTGAAAGAGATCGGAAAACAATGCATATTCCCAAGGTCTTCTTTGGAGTTGTTGGTGAGTTTTCTCAACTGGGTTTCTTTCATATCAATTCTTTTTGAGGTATGTGTGTCTAGTTGCTCTGTTTATGGTTTCCTCTTCTTTTCTACAGGAAATGCCACTGCTCTGTTCCTCTTCTTGGCTCCCATGTATCTCTCTCTCTCTCTCTCTCTCTCTCTCTCAAATGGACTTGCTTTTTGGGTCTAAAGATCATTGCTTTAGATGGGTTTTCCGTACAATCTGCATAGTTCAAAAAGCTGGAATCTTTACTGTGTTTCTTGAATTTTCTCTGGAATTTATGGAGTGATTTTGGTTTTATAATAGCATCACATTCAAGAGGATCATACAGAAGAGAAGCACAGAGCAGTTCTCAGGCATTCCGTATGTCATGACTTTGCTCAACTGCCTCCTCTCCGCTTGGTATAATGCTTCTCGCTCCTTCAACCGCTTTCTATAAATTTTCTCTCTTTCAATTTCTTTCTTCACCTTTTTACCCCTCACTTTGCGGCTTAATCACAATGGTTTTCTGTCTCTTCGTTACTAACATGGGATTAAATGACACTTTTGCCCCTGTTTCTGCTCTGTTTTCTTCATTGGTCCTATTGTTTTTGGTTTGATCTTTCTTTCATTTGCCTTCATCTTCTTGGAATCGATCAAATGTTGGTTCTTGGAATTAATTTTGTTCAATAAAACTAACGAATGCTTGATCTGCATGATATTAATTAAAAAAATAGGTATGGCCTGCCCTTTGTGTCCCCCAACAACATCTTGGCCTCAACCATCAATGGTACTGGTGCAGCCATTGAAGCAATATATGTGTTGATCTTCATCATATTTGCCCCCAAGAGAGAGAAGTTCAAGATTCTTTGCCTCTTCACCTTTGTGCTTGCTATCTTCTCCACTGTGGCTTTGGAAAAGCTGGTACCTAGCACCGGCAACTCTTTCGAGTGTTTGGCGTTGATACTGGCACATGTTGTCAATGGAAGAGTGGGCAATGTAGAGGCCCAAGAAGTTGTTCATGAGCCGCTGGTCGGCTACCAGCTTCAGGTTGAGCTTCTCGGCGTCTTGGACGGACTGGATCAAAGGGTCGGTTGGGCTGTACTGGACCTTCTGATTCTGGCTCTGGAATTTGAGGGTGGGGACAGAGCGAAGCCCCGCCCATAAGGCTTGCTTGAGGCCCCGATCAGAGACGTCGAGATTGAAGGAGGAAAGAGAGGGCTGGAGCCTGGAACAGAGGGATTTGAGAGGGGGACCGTTTCGGCCTTCCGAACAGATTTCTTCCAAGGACGAGTTCAGAATCGAGTCCATGGCCATGGGCATTAGCCAAGTTAAATTAGACTGAAACGTAAAGAGAAGAGAATAGTATCGGTATCGTATTATCTGAAGCGGGAAGAAGATGAAATCAGTAGGAAACGCACGTGCGGAGATTTGCATAATACTTATTCTTTTCGCAACCTCAGTTCGATTCCCAGTCTGATCACCGAAAAGATTACAGAAGTATAATACCTTAAAAATCTTCTTGAAGTGGGTTAGGGCCGTGAGCCCGTTCTCTTCTACCAAAATTTGCATTCTATTTCTAATTGTACTAGCCTCTTGGTACACGCTCTACCAATTGGTTTTTTTTTTAATTTCTATTTTATTTTAAAATTAAAAAGGATAATGGGTAGTTGTGTTTTATAAAAATATTAGTCTCTTCGTATGGGCTTCCGAGCTTGCAAGATGCCTGCCTTTTTTAAAAAAATTTAAATTTATTTTAGAATTAAAAAGATAATGGGTAGTTGTGTTCTATAAAAATAGGATCCATTATCTAATTTTTCTGTTTTTTATTTTTATTTTTTATAAATATGAAAAGTGTGAATTTACCATATTATCCTCATTTAATTACTAATTTCAATTCTTAATGTTTGCATTAATCAAAGGCATTTTTTTTGTATTTTGAATGTTTCACCATTAAAAAAAAAAATTCACACTTCATCATATTTAAAAAATAATAAAAAATAATAATGGATCTTATTTTTATGGAACACAACTACCCATTATCCTTTTTAATTCTAAAATAAATTTTAATTTTTTTTAAAAAAGTCTCTCGCAGGAGCGGAAGCGATTGCGGAGAAGCTAGTAGATAGATAAATAGATAAGTTAGATTAATTTAATTTTAAAAATTTTAGATTATTGTTTGTATGAAAAGAAATCTGTCAACAGAGTCTAATCCAATAAAAAATGACATTGACTTGCAAAGAGGCTAGTCTTGCTAAAGACTCGAGCCAAGGAGCCAGGGCTTATTTGTATGAGCCTTTTCTTTCTTTTTAATGAAAGAATTGGGCCAAGTTATAAGTTTTGTTAAGATTTCACGAAATGTATAAGTAGGCCTTATTATTGGTTTCTAAGGCCCAATGCTTCCATTACACAAAACCGAAAAGCCACAACATCCTCTTCCATTACCAAAAAAGGCCCAACCCATAAGAGATTGTGAAATAGCCCGCCAAAAAAGCTTGCTGCGAACGCTAGAGAAAGAGAAGCCAAGCCACTCCTCCCTCCACATTCCAAACTCCCGCTACAAAATCCCCCCTTCCTTCCCCTTCTCTTTACAGTTTCAAACGCATTTCTCCAAATTCCAATGGCAAGCAAGCTTAAAGTAGAAGAGCTCCGAAATCAATTGGCCCAACGTGGTCTCACCACCACCGGAAACAAACCCACTCTGGCCAGTCTGACAACAACCGCTATCTTCCTCTCTCTCTTCTCTAGGTAGAAGAGACTTTGACCAACTATTAATTTTGAGTTCCTGCAAGTTCAGAGGCTTGAGGCCGCTCTTTGCCAAGAAAACAAGCAACTCACCGACGCAAGTGATGTTAGTTTATAAGTGCAGCTGCTGAGATAGTTTATTATTTTCCATTTGAAAATGTAGCCGTTGGATAACAGTCCAACTGTGCAGTCAGGATGTAACTGTGCATGCCAGGTGTCTCTATCTCATAGGGTAGTGAATGAATGGCTGATTTGTAAATGATGTAATAGGAATGTTCCAATTCCTAACGGTTTTGTCAGAAGCAATATACGTATGATTTGTGTGGGAGCTGAGCTAATATTCTGCTAGCTCTTCTTCTTCCCTAAGCTCTCTCTCTCTCTCATTTTTCTTCAGATCACATTTTCTCATCTAAGAGTTAAAATACAAGATAATAGTCTCTGTATTCTAACATGGCCTCAGAGCCAGGTTGGATTGTTTAGCTGGGCGTTTTGAATCTGTGAAGAAAGGAAGCTGCGTTTTGAAGCTGTGTGTGAAGGTCTGCGTCTACCATGGCTGGATCTGGATCTGGAGGCGAGGTGAGAGCGCCAATCTTCAATGGAAATAATTATGAGTTTTGGAGCATAAAGATGAGAACCATCTTCAGGTCTCATGGATTATGGGATCTGGTTGAAAAGGGCTTAGAGTGGTCAGATTCGAAGGGAGCTGATGAATCTGGTGAAAAGAAGAAGGAAAAGGAAGAATCAAAGGGAGCTGGTGAATCTGCTGAGCAGAAGATGAAAAGAGATGTTTCAAGTGGTTCTGAAACAGAGAAGCTGATGAAAGATGCAAAGGCATTGGGGCTGATTCAAGGGGCAGTATCTGATGAGATTTTTCCCCGGATCTCTCATGAAGAAACTTCTAAAGGAGCTTGGGATCTCTTGATGCAGGAATTTCGAGGTGACAAACAGGTAAGAAGTGTGAAATTACAGAGTCTGCGTAGGGAGTTTGAGTACACTAGAATGAGAGATGATGAATCCTTGTCTGTCTATATTACCAAACTATTTGATGTGATTAATCAAATGCGTAGCTATGGAGAAATACTGCCTAAAGAAAGAGTAGTACAGAAATTGTTGATTAGCCTACCATCTGCTTATGATTCTATCTGCTCAGTTATTGAACACTCAAGAGACTTGAATGAGATTGAGGTGCAGGAGGTTGTAGCCTCACTAAAGAGTTTTGAGTTGAGATTAGATAGACACTCTGAAAACAAAACAGAGAAGGCATTTGCTAGCCTTAGTGTGGATGCTAAATCGGTTAAAACTGGAGATCAGAACAATAAGCAACATAAGAATTGGAAGTCCAAAGGCAAGAAATGGGATAACAAGACAAGTGAAGGCACTAAAACTCCCTGCAAGCACTGTGGTAAGTTACACTTTGGTGAGTGTTGATTCAAGGGCAAACCAAAGTGTTATAACTGTGATAAACTTGGACACATTGCAAAGGATTGCTATAGCAAGAAAACACCACAGCAGGTTAACTATGCTACTCAAGTGGAAGCTGCACCAACTATGTTCTATGCTGGAAATGCAATTGGTGCTGGTATAACAAGGGATGAAGAAATTTGGTATTTGGACAGTGGGTGTAGTAATCACATGACAGGAAAAGAGGACTTGTTGGTGGATATTGACAGAAAGGTGACTGCAAAGGTTGAAATGGGAACTGGACAGCTTGTAGATGTAACTGGAAAGGGCACTCTTGTGGTTGAAACCAAAGTAGGCAAGAGATATATCAAAGAAATAATGCTGGTACCTGGACTGAAAGAGAACTTACTCAGTGTGGGTCAGATGATAGAGCATGGCTACTATTTGGTATTTGGAGATCACAAGGTGGAAATCTACAATGACAGCTCTTATTCAAATCTGGTTGCAAAGGTACAAATGAGAGGTAATAGAAGCTTTCCCTTGAAACTGCAGGCTGAAATGCACTTAGCTTATAGAGCAAGTGTAGATCATTCCACTGAACTTTGGCATAGAAGATTTGGACATCTCAATATGAGTAGTCTGAAATTGTTGAAAGAAGAAGATATGGTAGTAGGACTACCAGAAATTAAAGGGATTAAAGAGGTGTGTGAGGGGTGTGTTCTAGGCAAGCAGTGTAGAGAAGCATTTCCAAAAGAGGCTACCACTAGAGCACTAACTCCACTAGAACTCATTCACAGTGACATCTGTGGTCCTATGCAGACAGTTACCAAAGCTGGAAATCGGTTTTTTCTCACTTTCATAGACGATTGCACAAGGATGTGTTGGGTTTATTTCTTAAGACACAAGTCTGAAGCTCTAACTGTGTTTAAGAAATTCAAGGCCACTGTGGAATTGCAAAGTGGTTATAAACTGAAAAAGTTGAGAAGTGATAGAGGGGGAGAATACACTTCAGTGGAGTTTGACAGTTTCTGTGAAGATGTAGGAATTGAAAGACAGCTTACAACCCCATACACACCACAACAAAATGGTGTGGCAGAGAGAAAAAATAGAACCATAGTAGAAATGGCCAAGTGTTTGATGTTGGAGAAGAAAATTCCATTTGATTTTTGGGCTGAGGCAGTCAACATATCTGTGTATATTTTGAATAGGTGTCCAACTAAAGCTTTGAGCAAAAAGACACCATTTGAAGCCTATAGTGGAAGGAAGCCAGGGATTAAGCATCTAAAGGTATTTGGCTCACTATGTTATGCTCATGTACCAAAACAACAAAGACAGAAATTAGATCTTGCAAGCAAGAGGTGTATCTTCTTGGGGTATGGCAACTGTGAGAAAGGTTACAGGCTGTACAACATTGAAACTGAGAAGGTGATTGTTTCAAGAGATGTAATATTTAATGAAAATGAGTGTTGGGATTGGAATGCAAAGAAGGAAACTAGTGTGAACATTCAGCTCACTGGAATCCGAGAAGAAGCACAAGGAGAAGAAGGGAGTTCTTGTGAACTTGAAGAACAATTGGAAGTGAATGAGGTGCCTAGTTTAAACACTGAAAACAATGATCAAGAAATGGTCATAGGTCTGCAGGATGTTGATCATACTCCTCTCAAATACAAGAGCATTGCAGAAATTTATGAAAAATGCAATATGTGCATTATAGAACCAGAAAGTTTTGAAGAGGCAGCCAAGGATGACTCTTGGAAGAAAGCAATGGAAGATGAAATCACCATGATTGAAAAGAACAATACATGGGAGCTTGTAGCTAGACCATTTGATAAACCAATCATTGGAGTCAAATGGGTCTATAAGACTAAACTAAACCTAGATGGATCTGTGCAGAAGAATAAGGCTCGGCTGGTTGCAAAGGGATATTCTCAAAAGCCTGGAATAGACTTCAATGAGACCTTTGCACCAGTGGCTCGTCTTGACACTGTGAGAGCTTTGGTAGCATTGGCTGCACAGAAAAATTGGAAGCTTTTCCAGTTAGATGTGAAATCTGCCTTTCTCAATGGAGTACTAAGTGAAGAGGTGTATGTGGATCAACCATCTGGTTTTGTGATTCAAGGAAGTGAAGATAAGGTGTATAGGCTTAAGAAGGCTTTGTATGGCTTGAAGCAAGCTCCAAGAGCTTGGTATGAAGAGATAAATTCCTATTTTACTAGAGCTGGTTTTCATAGGAGCTTAAGTGAAGCTACCTTATACACTAAAAGGTCTTCAAGTGGTATTCTCATTGTGTCACTCTATGTAGATGACATTATCTATACAGGAAGCTCAAAGGAGATGATGCTTGAATTTAAGGATGAGATGATGAGACAATATGAAATGACAGACCTTGGATTGCTTCATCATTTTCTCGGCCTTGGGGTTTTACAAACAGACACTTGCATTTTCTTGCATCAGAAGAAATATGCAAAGACTTTGCTAGACAAGTTTGGACTCAAGGACTGCAAATCGGTTGCAACACCATTGGCAGTGAATGAAAAGTTGTCTAAAGTGGATGGGAGTGACCTAGCAGATGAGACTTTGTATAGACAAATGGTAGGAAGCTTGCTCTACCTAACTGCAACAAGACCAGACATTATGTTTGCATCTAGTCTTTTGGCCAGATTTATGCACAATCCTACCAAGAAGCACATGGGAACAGCGAAAAGGGTGCTAAGATATATACAAGGTACTATAAGCTATGGCATTGCTTATGAGAAAGGAAAAGGAGCTGTGTTAATTGGCTATTGTGACAGCGATTGGAGTGGTAGCGAAGATGATATGCGGAGCACATCAGGCTATGCATTTAATTTGGGGTCAGGAGTGTTTTCTTGGGCCTCAATTAAGCAGAGCAGTGTGGCTCTCTCCACTGCAGAGGCAGAATACATGAGCGCAGCAGAGGCAACCACTCAAGCTGTTTGGCTCAGATTTGTGCTATCAGATTTTGGTGAAGAACAGGTAGAACCAACTCAGTTGTTGTGTGACAACACTTCGGCTATTGCTATATCAAAGAATCCTGTTCATCATCACAAAACTAGACACATCAATCGCAGGTTTCATTTCATTTGAGATGCTCTTCACAATGGTGAGATTGATTTGCTTTATTGCAAAACTGAAGAACAGGTTGCTGATATATTCACCAAGCCTCTAGCAAGGGATCGGTATGAGTATCTAAGGAAGGCTTTAGGTGTTATCTCAGCACAACACTTAGAAGGGAGTGTTAGTTTATAAGTGCAGCTGCTGAGATAGTTTATTATTTTCCATTTGAAAATGTAGCCGTTGGATAACAGTCCAACTGTGCAGTCAGGATGTAACTGTGCATGCCAGGTGTCTCTATCTCATAGGGTAGTGAATGAATGGCTGATTTGTAAATGATGTAATAGGAATGTTCCAATTCCTAACGGTTTTGTCAGAAGCAATATACGTATGATTTGTGTGGGAGCTGAGCTAATATTCTGCTAGCTCTTCTTCTTCCCTAAGCTCTCTCTCTCTCATTTTTCTTCAGATCACATTTTCTCATCTAAGAGTTAAAATACAAGATAATAGTCTCTGTATTCTAACAAGTGATGTTTCAGCTTCAATTGTTAGTAGAAAGAGGGGAAGACAATCAAATGAAGATGGAGAGTCAACTGGGTCCGAGAAAATCAAGGCCACCGACGAGTTCCAGGAGTAAAGCAATTGCGCGAACAAGCCACTCTTCGTGGAATTTCGGCAACTGGGTCTAAAAAAGAACTGCTGGAGAGGCTTTCTGAAGATTCAGATGACATTCCTCTAGGTGGAGGTATGAGCTTTCAAACTCTGATTGGTTGCCAATACAATATTGTAGGCCAGGGCTAGAAATCGATGTCTTAGTCTTTATCTGCATTGAAAAATGTTATTTCTTCAATTAGAACTGGGTAACTTATTTTTTATGATGTGGCCTGGTGATAGCTAATGAAGATGGAAATGGCAGCAAGGAGAAGATCGTAACTGCTACCAAAAAGGGTGCAGCGGTATTGGATCAGTGGCTACCAGATCACATAAAGGCACATTATCATGTTTTGCAACTGGCAAGTCTATATACTATCAATAGGGCCACTTAATGAGTTAATTGCATTTCGTGCTTAGTGGAAGGTAATTGATGTTAGTTTGATTCGTTTCAAATTCGGACTGACCAATGATCTTTTTGAATGTAGGGTGATGATGTATATGATGCCATGTTGAACCAGACAAATGTTGGTTACAACAATAACAAGTTCTATGTGATTCAAGTTCTTGGTAAAACTCTTTCTCCCTTCAACAAATTTCACTGAATATATATTTCTAAATTAATTAGTTAGTCTACTAGATGTTTGGATTGTCGTAACTAAGAATTCATCTCAATACAGATTCAGTTGGGGTTATTAATCAAGCACATATTTGGTTCAAGGAATGAAACTTATGAAGTTATACAAAATTTGACTGAATCTGATTTCAGTTTGTAACAAATACTGATTACAAGAATTAATTCTAACGGATTACAGAAACATTATTTATGCTTTTGTCACCTCACATAAATGAAGTTTGATCTGCTCCAATGAGTTATGGGATTAACGACATTGGCGAGTTACACCAGTTCAGGCAATGTATACTTATTTTTATTTCTTATGAATTGACGTGCAGAATCTGATGCTGGTGGTACTTTCATGGTTTACTATAGATGGGGGAGAGTAGGTGTTAAGGGTCAAAACAAGATACAAGGCCCTTACACATCCCGTGACATCAATGAGTTTAAACAGAAATTCTATGACAAAACCAAGAATGATTGGTCCAATCGTAAAATGTTCGAGTCTTTCCCGCACCACTATATGTGGATAGAAATGGACTACAACGAAGAGGAAAAACAATTGTCTGTGAGTATCCACAACTTTTTGCTTATCTTTGCATAATTTTCTGAATGCTGGAGATACTCACAATGCCCTGAAGCTATTCTTGGTTGCAAATTACTGAGGACCTGTCTCTTCAAAGAAAAAATACAATAAAGAAATAGGAGATCCTGTTGGTAGCAAGACAATATTGAATTGTTTTTTCCCATTTATGTTATACATTTCTCATTTTCAAAAGGTGTTTCATATTTCAATCTTGCCTTTCATAGCCTCGATGTGTAGGGGTCAACGGATGAGTGTCAGATGACCTCTGTGTGTTGTGGGAGAAGGGGAGGGGTGGAGAAGAAAATCATCTTGTTTGCTCCTTGATTCTTGATTATCATCATCAGGTACAAGAAAAGAATGACTCTGCTTTAAGAGGTCAACCTCTGGAAACACCACTTGAGCCTCGCATCGCAAAGTTTATATCTCTTATATGCAACATCAGCATGATGAAGCAGCATATGATGGAAATAGGTTGGTTGATTTCTGATTCTCTGTCAAAAAGACATTATTTTGCAACTAACACTCATAATAATCTAAGTTATTCAGTTGCTTAAATAACACAGGAATAAGAATTTTATTTAGGCACTTTCAGTTTTTTATTTTTCAGTAATCTGATTAGTTAACTGCTTTTTGGTTCCCTTATTCAGACACCTTCTTCTTCTTCTTCTTTGGTAGGATACAATGCTGATAAGTTACCTCTTGGTAAGCTAGTGCTACTGTGTGTATTTGGCTGCAAAACATTTAAGGTTCACATAAAGTGTCTTCTCCTTTAATCTGCTTCTCCATGAAAGGTGCAACAAACCAATAACTTGTTATTTTTTTAAACATATATAGGGATATAATATCCTGAAGAGGATTGCTGAAAACTTTGGGCGACCAATTTTTTTTATAAATTTTTTCGTCGCGCAAAACTTTGGGCGACCAATTTTTTTGTTGCGCAAAACTTTGCGCGACCAATATTTTTCATCGCTCAAAGTCACTTTGCGCGACAAATATTTTTTCGTCGCACAAAGTCTTTTTTCACGATCTTTGCACGACGGATTCTGCTCGACGAAATTTCTGTCGCGCTGAAATTTGTGCAACTACAATGTATTTTGCGCGACGAAATTCTCTTCGTAGCGTAAATTTTTTCTTCACGATCTTTGCACGACGAAATTCTCTTCGTCGCGCAAAGTGTAAAATGTAGTAGTGTCGATAATTTATTGTATGTATTTCGAATATATAGTGAAGTTTTATTTTCAAAATTCAATAAATATAGTAATTATCTTTATCTTTTACCAACACTTCGTAAAAGAGAGAGAGAGAGGCAGAGAGAACTATGAGAAAAAGTTGAGAGAGCGAAGAGAGAGATGAGAGAAGGGAAAAAGTGATAAAAAGTAATAAGGGTCCAGTAAATATGTATTTATAGATAATATTCCCAAAATGTCCAGTCAAGGATGGTATTTGGAGAAGTAAATATGGCCTTGATGGTATTTTACGGTATTTCCCTAGTATTTCGCCAAATTTCCCTTAATCTTTGATATTTGACATCTCCAAGACATCTCCGTTAAAGATGCTCTAACCCCCCAGACTCTTCTTGTCTTCAAACGCTGGCCGTTCGAAATAAAAGACCACTCTTCATCTCTTATCTCTAACTCTTTTCTATTTTTTTATTTTTTATTTTTCTTTTTTTCTTGTTTCTTTGTTCTGGACTTATCTGTACTCGGCAGACTAGAGAGAGGTTTCTGAAATCTGAATAGGCACACATTCTACAGCAAAGCTCACTGTCTCTCTGCCATGACTTCCTCTGCAACTACTCTCTCTCAGAACTCCTTCTCGTCCTTCTCTCGGTTCCCACAGACCTTGAGAAGAAACCCTCTTCATCTTTTGTCCATTAAAGCTGTCAAAGCTGCAGAACCTGATAAGACCGAGAAACTCAAACAAACTAAAACCCAAGAGTCTACAAATGCTACTCAACCTTCAACCACCACAGCTTCTAAGCCTCCCAAGAAGCCTGTTTATTCCAGTTAGTACCAAGTTTTCTGTAAATTGAATAAATCTCTTATATATATATATATATATACACTTTTGGAGAATTAATTGTGCTTTTGTTTATTTAATAGCTTTTTCTTTGGGCAGTGAAGAAGGGTCAGATTGTGAGGGTGGAGAAAGAGAAGTATCTTAATAGTGTTAATGTAAGTGTTAATTCCACGATAAATGATATATTATTTGCATTTCTTTTTCTTTTTCCTTGCAATATATACTGAGATGTTTTAAACAATTTCAGTATCTATCTGTTGGGCATCCACCTTATTACAAAGGGTTAGATTATATTTATGAAGACCGCGGTGAGGTAGCCTCTTCATACTTTTTCCACATAATTTATTAATTTCTAGTGTAAATAATGTTATTTTTGTTATAGCCCAAAGTTTAAGCGCAATTGATTATGGCTTTTGTATGTGAGTCCATAGAACATTTTCTTGAGTGACTAATGGAAACCTTTTCAGGTACTGGATTTACGCATTTTTGAGACTGGTGAATATGCACTCGTAAGAAAACTTACTTATGTCTGGTTTTATGCTTCTTTTAGTTCCGTATAATGTGCTAATTCATTTTTCAAAATAGAAAATAATCCCATTACTAGGCATTGAATTGAGAGATCTACCGAATAACAGAAATATTATTGAATGGATAACTTGTAGGGTACACTCCGTATTGTAATTGAGTTATTTGAACCGTCTACTTTGAAATCTCTACTTACAGAATAGGCCCTTTCTTATGAAAAATTGGCTAAATCGATAAAACCTCAACCAGTTTTGTTCGAATGTCAATATAGAGAATCCCATCTTGACTAAATCAACACTAACAATTGTATTATAGGTAGCTTGGGTTGGGGTACCTACTGCGCCAGCATGGCTTCCAACAGAGATGCTTATCAAGGTACTTGTAACTGCCTGTTTCTTAGGCTACAACATAATTTTAAAGTTTATACATAAAGAAGATAATCAAGAACTAATCCATCAACTAAAATGGGGTTTTGTTGTTGGAGTCAATTGAGGTTTCCACTTATGATTTTTCATACTGATCTTGTAGTTGCGTTCTGCGTTTTCTTGCAGTCAGAGAAACTCAATTATGAGAGACTGTAATGCGATGAGCCAATTGAGGACCCAGCATAGATTTATCACCTTCTGCAACTCGTATTGTAATTTTGTAAAGATGATTATAATTGGTCATTGATCGATCAGGCACGCAAAGGACACTATGATTAGGCCAACACGTGATGAGGCCTCATTTGAACTTACAAAGTGATTTGATCAAAGAGGAACACGGCAAAGACGACCCGTTTGCCAGGTCGTCTGAGGACGAAATCTATTATGTGTGGATTTTGGTTTCTCAAAGGTTATTGTTTCCGATAATGGAACTCAGTTTGATTGCCACAAATTCATAGCCTTATGTTCAACCCTTGGAATCAGAAATCACTATTCCCCACAGGGCAATGGTCAAGTTTGTTGGAGAACAATCAGCATATAACACGAAAATAAATTCTATAAATATTATTAAATCAAATCAATGCAGCAATGTTCAATATAACAGTAAAATCAATAGAAAATACTAACTTGGATGGGTGATAGAGTCCTGTAGAGTTGCAATGTTCTTTAGATAGTATTTCTCCTCTACTCATTGTGCTTATATTTCGATAGGAGTCTGCCCACTAGGATTAAACTATCACAAATCAAAGCCTAAGCATTGTGGCTTTGATTTCTAGCAAACAATGATATATGCTTTCTCTCAAGAAGTGCTTATATGTGGAGAATGTTAATGTAATTCCAAAAAATTTTTTATCTTACTGGCTTGGACGAATTTTCTTTATATAGAGGTCTAAAACCTCTTCATCCAACAGTTATAACGATTTAAATAAATTTTAAATTTTGGATAAAGGCCCAAGGCCCATCTTTTGGAGTTCAATTTTCTTTTTACCCTTTTTTATGTGCCCTTCCTGTTATTTATCTAATTTCTTGACACGTGCCCCTACACTTAACTTCTAACTTAACAAGTAGATATTTTTCTAAGCAAAGCTAGAAGCATATGCAACTTCCACACTAGCTAAATGAGGAGAGTTGTGCGTCAAATATTAGGGTTTAGATTTTTCATGTTCAGTCGTCATCCCCTTCTCAGCCTAACCACGCTCGTTTTCATCCACTTTCAGCCGCTATCGTCGCCCTCCTCGACTTGACAACATCGAGTCACTTTTCTTCCACGCCGAGTCGCTACTGTTTTTCTTCCACGTCGGGTCACTGTCGTCACTCCTCTCTTTGACTCTAGGGTGCTGACCTCGTTGTTGTCTCTCTCAGATCCTGAGCGTTGGTTTCATCATTCTCTTTCCCATCGGTGCGTCAACATCTCTGGTGGTTGCCTTGGTATTGTGGTTTCAGCGGGTTTGCTCTTGATATTGTGCCTAGAGTCTCCAAGTCAACAACGATCATGGTGCAAGCTGCTATGTTAGGGTCGGCGATCATAGTGGAGGTGGCTTTCCTCACGCCCACTCCGTCGTCAGATCTGCGATCTCAAGCCTTACTTTTAAGAGAAGATGGCCATCATCCAGAGATTTGGCGTGGGTGGCTTTTCACCTAGGGTCTATAGCTTTGATCCACCTTTTCAAGGTGCTGGACCAGGTTTTTGGCCACTAGGGTTGTTTGGTACCATCCTTTTACCCATCTTTACGGGTTTGGCTGGTTACTCTACGATGGGAACTACGAATCTGGGTGATGTTGATGTTTTTTTTTATAAACCTATGGAGACTAGTCTAGTGGAGTCTCCTGGACGCCTTCCTTAATGTGTTCTTGGAGCATTCGTGGGATTGGCATCCAGCGAATGCTCTTATGCTTGATCTCTGTGTTCAAGTTAAGTGGCTAGGCCAGTTTTGTTATTATAGCGTGGTGTTTTCTTCATTCTCCCCTTAACTAATCTTTGATTCTCCACCTGTCTCAAGGACTATGTTTTCATAGGAGGTTTCTTTGTCAGTGTTGAGATAATAAGGCGTGCTTGTGGGCTTTTTTATTTATTTTCTTTTTTAGACTGTTTGTGGTTAGTCCCTTCTTTGTGTTGCTCCTTGCAGATTTCTCTTCTTTTATCGCCAATTGCTATGGCTGGAGCTGGTGTGCTTAGTGGTTGTTTTCTTTCTTCTTGGCCTATTGTGTTCTCTGTCAGATGTTCTCACTGTCTTGTGGCTGTGCAAAGGACTATGATTTCATAGCATGACTCTTTTGACAGTTGGATTGTGTTGTAGTGTTCTCGTCAGAGGTTTTTACGTCAAAGGTCTATGTGTCAGTTTGCTGTTTTATTTTATCTTGCTCTAGCATTAGTTCTGCGTGACTGTTTCAAACTCTCTTGTTAGTCTATGACATGTGTGGTACTCTTTCCTATCATGAGGTTTGTCCCTCAGGAAGGTTTTAACGAGGCCACTATTTCGTGTCGTTCTATGTAAGCTATTTTGATTCTATGAATGAATTCCATTTCTCAAAAACAAAACAAAAAAAAACAACTTCTAACTTAACAGTGTTAACCATAAACAAATTATTAAATAAAAAAGAAAAACCTAAAAGCCACCACAGCCCCACCTGGCCAACCACCCCATCTCACCGGTGGCAACCCCAACCATCTAAGCCTGGTTAGCCCACCTTCAGGCTCCGATTTTGCCATAGAGCTCTAGTCCATTAGCGCAACAAAAGGAGAAGAATATGAGAATGGATTAAAACGGAAGGGAGAGTCGGTGTAAGCGTGGGCATGGAAGTCACATACCTATATAGATAGGTAACAAGGAAAATGCAGACAAGAAAATTGGACTCCATTAAATATATATTTATTTATATATATTTCAAGCCCAAATCAAGATGAGGCCCAACTTTGCCTTCATTAGGCCCATATCCTATTCAGTGTTTTAAAAGAGTTGTGCTTATAAACCATGCAAGGAAACCACTCCCTTCCAATATGGGAGTAAGTAAGAGTGAATTTTCCTATACAAACTTTAACAAAGTTGAAGTCGTCAACAGGTCAATTCTATATGGATTAAAAGAAAAAACTCAATGAAAGCAGTAACTCCATTAGAAGTAAGCATAAAGGGTGTATGCAATATCAATAAGTATATATTTCAAGCCAAATTCAAAGGTGAGGCTCAAGTTCTACTCTACTAGGCTCATTTTACATTTGGTAAGTGTAGGAAGACCGACACTTATAAAGAGTATGAACTCTCTCTACTTTTCCAAGAGACTCAAGTTAATGAGTTTCATTCAAACTCACTTTTCTTAAACAATTTCGAATTATTTTGTATGCGGGTTTTGAGATTGAGCTTGAAATACTTGAATCTTGGTGGGATTTGGCTGTGAATGTGTGAGTTTTGTTGGCTATTTAACATTTTATTATTCAATTAGATTTTGATTTAATTTGAATTGATTGCTTGACCTTTTTGTTAAATAATGTTTTGCCAATTGTCAGTTGACCTTTTTGTTAAATAGTTTATTCTTCACATAACCTTTTTGTTGAATCATGTTTTGCCAAGAAGTCTCTTTTGGTTTCTGTTGTTTATCATTTTTACCACTAAGGTCCCTATGATTTCAATTTGATCATGTTTGTCCATGTGGTTTCAATTTCAAGCAATTCAAGGACAACTCTCAATTTTTGTTCAATTTTTTTAACTTCGGTTAGTTATTGAGAGACAATTCGATCAAATTACTAAAAAATACAATCCCTTTTTAAAATAACAAATACAAAATGAAAAACTTAATAATAAATAACAAAAATTCTTTTATTTTTAACTCCCATGCCCTCCCCTCCCACCATAACCACCATCAAGCCACTGCCCAACATCACCCACCCAACAACCAACTGTTATCACCGTCCCACCATGAAACTTCTCAAGACGCCCCACCTATATATATATATATATATATATATATCTCTCTCTCTCTCTCTCTCAAGTCTAGCCCAAACAATTCAATGCAAGCAAAAGACCGCATTTTACTCCTCCAACACCTTAACCACCATATATCACTTATGTTTTAGTGATCATATGCTAAAATATTTATATTTATATGGGTGACATGTTAACAATTACATGCAAAACAATTTTGGGGATTTATCATTTGATGAATACTCTTCACAATACACTTACTCTACACATAGAGATGATGAAGATAGTGAAAAATTTGAACCTCGTAGGAACTCTATGTGGTACTAAGTCACTCATGTATCTTACCATGCAATGTATAAAGTGTAAAATATTGTAGTAAATCATTTTATATAAATGATTATGGTGTGTTTAATCTTTTTTTCATTAATTACTACATATTTTCTACACTCACAGTATTTGCCAACTCGCTGTAAAATCAACTTAAATCAGGTAAATCCATCATGTGATGCATTTCCTTCTAATTTTTATTATTATAAACTAATAGATAATTGACTAAATAAACATTCTCCAAAGTTTCAATAAAAATTTCCAAGTTTTTCTTACAATTTTCGTGGTTTTTATTCAATTTTTATCGATATCGATAATATCCCGATATTTCCATGTTTTTGGACTACCGATATTTCCGATATCATCGATATTTTAGATCATGCTCCCATACCAATCCCCCACTCCCACACCCTTCAACCCACATACCCCTCCCTCCTCCTTTCCCTTTCTGTTCTTTCACCCACAAACTCATCACTACCATCCTCCAACAGACCTTCCTCCTTTTCCGCCATTGCTGCCTCCCCTCTCTCTCTCTCTCTCTCTCTCTCTCTCCCCCCCCCCCCCCCCCCCCCCCACCCTCCCTCAATTTCTTTTCTCCCCCACCCCCTCTGTCAATTTCAATACCTCCGCACTCAAAAAGCTCACAGTCGATCCAAGCCTTTCAAAAACAATCAAAAGGAAAATTCTTGATCATAAGGTATAAGTGGCTCTACTATAAGTGCCTTACAGCCTCCCATCTCAAGCCTTTTCCAAATTCATACAAAACCCATCAACCAAAACATCAAAAAATTCAATCTTAAACACTTGGATCTGCAAAAAAGATCAAAATCAAATAAAATCTAATGGAATTTACCTCCATGCCATCGGATAGCATTTGGGGTGGGAGGTCGTGGGGAAGAAGAAAAAACATAGGGGAGGGTTGGGGTGGGTTGGAAGGGTCATTGGAAGTCATATGGAGAGAGGGAGAGTAGAGAGGCAAGAGAAAAAATAGATGGAGAGGGTGGGGATGAGGGAGAGAGTGATTGGTTGGATGGGCCCCTCTCTTATTAAATTTTTTTTTCTTTCATTTTAGATTTCATATTGTTTTATTTGTGTATTTAATTATTTTAACATATAAAATGATCATTTTTCCCTCATATTTAACGGCAAATTGGATGAAATTTTGCAGATTTAGACGGCATTGGGGAAATTGGCGAAAAAAAGAAGTTCATATCCTTAATTTTCTATAATTTAAAAAAAAATGATAGAGGGTCAATCGAAAGTTAGGTACAAGTTCATAGAGAAAATCACTAGTATACCCTTTATTACAATATGGCCAATAGATCTGAAAAATAAATAAATAAATAAAAAATGGATCCAACCCAACCCCACCCACCAAGAACTACTCCTATTTCAATTTTATTTTCACTTATTATGGCTTATTTGGTGGTGTTTTTTAGAAACAAAACTTGAAGTTGGGAAGGGAAAAATCTATAGCTATTTCCAAGTTATTAAAAATCGTTTGATGGAGACAAAGCTGTATATTGGAGAAAAAAATTTATTTATTAAAATTTTCATTTTATATTGTTTATTTTTAAAAGAATTAATTTTTTAATAATTTTTTGACTAAATTACCCCTCCACAAGTAACATAAGTTAAAACAATTTAACATAAATTGTGGATTGTCTTTGAATTGCTTCAATTCAAATTGAAACTACAGGGACGAAAATGTTCAAATTGAAACCACAGCGACCTTAATGGTAAAAATGATAAACTATAAGGACCAAAAGTGACTTTTTTCTTTTATTTTTTTACTATCTAAGTAGGTTAATATAATATATAATTCATTTGTGCAAGAACATTTTAGTAATCAAATTAGTTTAGAGTTTTTTTTAATACAAGCGATAGTCTAAAGTATCTAAATTTATTTAATTTAATAAGGAGAGGTTCGAATTTGGGTGCAAAAAGGCAAGCTCATCTGGCCAACTAGCGTAACTCACGCCTACAATTAGCCCACAATTAGTTTAGATTTAGATAAACAACATCTACATGTGTAACACGTTATGGCGTAAATTGATTAAATTAAAACAGCCCATATAATAACTCCAAATCTACATGTGGTAAAATGTCATTTATCCAAAAATAAATGAGAATGAATATACGTACAAATGAGAATCAACTTCATTCATTTGCTATGTTATATAATTTACTTCTTCCCATACTATATCTCTCGCTGCTTCTCCAATTTCTTACTTTACCATTCATAATAAGTAAAAATCTCATTAATGAATCATGTGGTTTTAGATCCGGTGTACCATACGAGTACACAGTAAGCTACAGATTTTTCCTGGACTGGAAAGTGACATATTGTCGTTTAAAAAGGAGATTATTTTAAGAGCTCCACAACAAGAAGGAGAAGATTGACCTAAAATAAACTTTAAAAAGATAAAATAAAATAAAAAAGAAGGAGAGAGAGAGAGAGAGAGAGAGAGAGAGAGAGTTATCTTTGTTGAAGCTGAGTACAGAAGAAGCAAGAGCTTGGCGCCAGGACTTGAAAAAAAACAGTTTTTTTTATGGCAATTTCCACCTACTCTGTGCCTGTTGTTTCTTTCAATTCTTTCTCGTCCTCCCCCTCCTCTTCTTTGCCATGTCCTTCTCTGAGTTCTTCGAGTGCCCGTTACCGTGGTTTGATGGTGAGTAATCGGCGCTTACATGGGCGATTGGTTGTTAACTGCTCATCTTCTGAAATGGGTTCCAGTTCTGACTCTGCGAACGGAAGGTATGGGACTACAAGTGCCTTTTGTTCTTTCATTTATGTAGTGGGTAGTGACGAAGTTCCGGTTTTATTGTCTAGTTTGGAAAGAATTAAGGTATTAGGTGTTTGTAGAAATGTCTAAGTGGAAGTTTTGGAATTGGATTGGGGTTGTAATTTAAGGGGTATGTTGCATTCTTGGTTGTTGAATTTTGAGATAATTGCAACGAATTTCGTTTCTTCTTCTTGTGTTAGTCTTGTGCTGTTAATTTAGATACCATTTCTCTGGTTTCTACTTTGTTAACTTCAGGTCGTTTAACAGGCATACTCAAATGCCATCTATGGCTCCCTATGGGGTAACAATGAATGGAAATGGCTTGTCTGGGCCATCTTATAAATGGCAAAGGGTCTTACTTAAAGTAAGCGGAGAAGCACTTGCTGGAGATCGCACGCAGAATATTGACCCAAAGGTCTGATAAAATCTTAAACCATACTGTGATAATTATCCTTCTTTTGTTGCTTTCTGATGTAGGAGTATTTTTCCCCGTACAATATTAGGTAACAATGGAAATTGCAAGAGAGGTTGCATCGGTGACTCGCCTTGGCGTTGAGGTATGTTCAATGCTTTAGATTAGAGAATTGTAATTTGCATGACATATTCTTTTTATATACTTGAAGGTAGGGGCGCACGCACACCCACAGAAGTTTTATTAATATTTTCCTTCCAATATTATTGTAGTGTGATGTTGATGATTACAATATCTGTTTTATAAAGTTCAACTTAGTGAGATTTGGGGATTCCAGAATTATCTATGCACAGATTAACATGCAGTCTGGGAAATGATTCAGGATAAAAAGAATTGCATTGTAGGCTTCTTTTATTGAAATATCCAGCATAATGTAGGCATTGCATAAAGTGGAATAGTTTCAATGGTTTAATATTTCTATAAATAGCTAATCGGATTGTACTAATGAGATTTAGTGAGCTTATGAAATCCAAAAACGTAGTTTATTGGCATCTGGGTATGTGTTAGTCATCTTAGTCAAATATTTCAGGTTGCCATTGTGGTTGGTGGGGGAAATATCTTCCGCGGATCTTCATGGGCGGGAAGCAGCGGTCTTGACCGGTCATCTGCTGATTACATTGGGTAATTCCTTTTATTGGCATTGACTGAATTTTTTTTAATCTCACCTGTCAAGACTTCTGGTATTTTGCAGTTGTGTTTTCACATGTTTATAATTTGTAGTCTGATCGGGTGATTAGTTTATCTGGATCTGGTTCAGTTCATGTACCGTGGACTTAGGATAATTTGTTATTTAAGTAGATTATCTACTTAGTTGACCACATACTCGCTTCACTACTATATTAACTTGAATTTCCCAATATTTACCAATTCCAACTTTAAAATGTCAGATGAAAGGAAATGAGTTGTGGTTCATATGTGAAAGTTGAGAAGTACTTGCCTTACATGACATGAAAGTTGAGGTTTTTTAGGGACTATTGACTAAGATGACTAACACATGCCCAGATGCCAATAAAGTTTCTTTTTAACAACGTCTTGACTGTGAAATATTTATAGAAATATTTATTGGCATCTGGGTTTATTGCCTTACGTAGTTTCTAAGCTTAAAAAGAAAGTTTCTTTTTAAGTATGCATATTTCTGGTCTTTTATTTTCTATTTACTGTTTATATTCAATTTTATAGGATGTTGGCAACTGTCATGAATTCAATATTTCTTCAAGCAACAATGGAAAGTATCGGCATCCCTACTCGAGTGCAGACTGCATTTCGTATGTCTGAGGTTGCAGAGCCTTATATACGTCGAAGGGCTGTGAGGCATTTGGAGAAAGGGAGGGTAGTGATCTTTGCAGCAGGAACTGGAAATCCATTCTTTACCACAGATACTGCTGCAGCACTTCGTGGTGCAGAAAGTAAGTTGAATCATTTGTGTTTGAATGCTACCTTGGCTTAATGAGAATTCATGGTACCGGTCATAGTGAGAGGCAAACCACTGCGGTTAAAAGTAATTTATTTAGGATGTTTCAAAATTTGCTCAAAGTTACTAATTAAGGTACCCAAGTTTGTTCTAACACTGTCTTGACTGTGGCACCATATATAGTCCTGATTACTGAATTTCAACTTATCATTGGGGTGGAAAATGTCAGTCTAAGAAACTAATTTCTTTGCTTCAATTTTAGTATCTTTCAATCAATTATTGATCCAGTCAATGGACAGGTTGTGCTCAAAACTGCAAACGTTGGTGGGTTTTAGGAACTTTTTCTTTGTTTCAAACTGTTTTTCATTTTCTTTTTTATCTAGTCAATGCAGAGGTTGTGCTGAAAGCTACAAATGTTGATGGGGTTTATGACGATAATCCAAGGTGTAACCCAAATGCCCGTCTTCTTGATAATCTAACATATCAGGAGGTGATGTCGAAAGATCTTTCGGTGATGGACATGACTGCCATTACTTTATGCCAGGAAAACAACATTCCCGGTATGTTCTTTTTTTGGTTGGTATCCAAAACATATATGTGTGTGTGTGTATTTCTTTTGTTCTTTTCAATTATTTTTTCCCATTTTATCCTTTTTATCTAATGCCATTTGGATTGATCTTGGTATTTGTAATATCCAACCTTCTTACCATGTAGAACAGGCTCTTATTGATTCTTTCGTATGGTGCAGTTGTTGTGTTCAATCTAAACAAACCGGGTAACATCTCAAAAGCCATAAAGGGAGAGAAGGTTGGCACATTGATCGGAGCAACACAGAATTCTACTGTGACGACGTGAGGCGTGGTTTTCATTTTTCCTGGTTGAGGTTATATTGGGGATGGTCAACGGCATCTTGTCTTTGTTTTTTTTTGTTTTTTTTTTCCCTTTTTTGGGTCAATGGTATTCAGAATCTTTAGTGTAAATAAATTTTGAATTTTGTGTTTTAACAATTTGGAAGTGTCGTAGCATTGTTAGTCATTGCACAAATTCAAGCTCCGAAAAAGGGAAAGATGAACAACAGCAAAGAGCGTCATGAAACGAACCAAATAATTAATATGTTGTGTTGATAAGCAACTTTGCCGAGTTTGGCATTCAATGGTGGTAGCAAATGTTTTCTTTAAAAGTTTCCTTTGCTAACCTATGATACTAAAATTTGCTCTACTTCTAAACTTTGTCACTCACATATTAATCAGGAGACGAAGGCTTGGAATTTATATAATTCACCTCATTGATTCTTGTATTATTCCCGCCATTACATGTAAGTTTTTCTTCAGGAATTGGGACTACGAAGATCAGCTTGTATGGCCATGGAGCAAGAATGGGCAATTTACAGTAAAGCCAAAGAGTGGCTACCGCTGGTCAATGAAGAATGGTCAGTGCTTGTCTCTGATCCTTCAGAATTCTATGGATGCACATATTTGGAAGGTGGTTTGTAGCCCCTTTGACAAGCTTAAGGTTGAGGATGCTCTGCGTCTTCCAGGGAAGTGGAGACAATGGAAGTGGTTGTTGAGCCCTTAATTCTAATAGGTCATGGACACGTCATCTTGAGACTTCATGATCATGTCATCGATATAAACTTCGAGAGTATGTTATTATAGAGTTTTTAGAAAAAAATAGCCCAAATTTACCCAATATTTTCATAAATGTCAGTTTTTATAAAAACTATCAAAAAAAAAACAAAAAAAACTCACCCAAAGAGACTCAAATGCCCTCAAAGCTAAAACCCACGTAAACCTAAAATGCAAAACCTGCAATCTCTGTCTTCATCTGACTGACATAGAACATAAAAACTCTTGGGTTTCGGTCAATGTTATATCATTGGAGGGACAAGCATTTGTGGGTACCTGCTTTTGTGGTTGATAATGATTAAGCCAAAAATCGTCCTTGACCCCAATAACAAGCTTTTGTAAATTAGTCACTAGAATTTGAGAACCAGACATCTCAATTGGGCTCCCTTGTTTCCCATATGTTTCCCTCTTTTTGGCCGGAGTGGCTGACGGAAAGAACTTTTATTCCTTCTTCTTTTGAGTGCGAGGCGTGCCACCACCAAGCCACGAATTTGGGCTTGAATGGAATGTGAATAGATGGATGTGTTGCGCTTCTAACTTCTGATCAAACTGTTTGGGCCACAAATTGGCATGCCCAGCCCAGCAAAAATTAGGCCCAGAATGAAGCTGCAAAAAAAATCAAAGAGAGATGGAAGCCCAAAAGCCAGAGGAGACCAGCCCAAGACTCATCAAAGTAAGCAAGGCTAATCTGGGCCTCACGGGCCCAATATAAAGGGGAAGCCCAGAAATAGGGACAATCCCACGTGATATCTCTGAAAAAAGAAAAAAGTCAGCAATGGCAACTGTCATAGGAGAAGTGATTGAAGGGTTCATAGCATCAAGATCGATTCTGGAAAAAACTGAAGATTAAATCCCTCTTACACATATATATATATATATATATATATATTCAGAGATTTTTTTCTGTCTTTTCAGAGAAGGTAAAACTCCCAAGGAGATAAGCAAGTTACAATCTCAGAGAGGGATAAGCAGGAAAGCAGGAAGCTGTCCAGAAAAGAATCAAACTAACCATCACGGGCAAAATATCGCAAGGGGCAGTTGAAATTAGGCAAGAGATTTCAAAGAAAAAAACAGGGAAGTGATTGCCTATCTGTTGAGAACCTATCTACCAGAAAATGATGAAATCCCCTTTTTCTCTTTTCCATTTTTAAAGGAAGATCTTTTGAAAAGATTTGCCGCCCATTATTAAAAGAATTACCCTCCTCCAGAAGACATTTCTTATAAATATGAGAAGGAGTGAACAGGGCAACACACAAAAAAATCTTACAACAAAAATTTCATCACTCAATCAAACAAAGATCCTACATAGGAAAACCCTCAAATAAACAAGCCCACCTGAATTTCAAGTGAAAAACCAGCTCCAGATCAGAATGCCCAGAATCCAGACTTAGGAAGCAAGTCATTCAAAACGAGATTTCTCTCGTTACAAATTTGGTTCAGCAAAAACCAACACAAGCAGAGTTTGAGCCTCCTCCAAGTATGGAAAACCCCAGCCAAATTCACGGAATAGCCTCTAGCTCACCAACGTCCTCAAGAACAGTCACTTCTGCCCCTTCAGACTGAAGAAACCGCAGTTCTGCCTACTCAGAAGCTTCGCAAAAGCTTGAGGTACATTAAAGCTCTGCCAGAGTCAACCTTTGGCATCGATTTGTAGTTGAAAATCGGGCAATCAGAGTTGTCTACGATCCAGTCCAGCCCAGACATTCCCAGTCCAGCCCATCACAGAGCCTCCCATCCAGGCAGAAATGGAGATCTAGCTATCTTTTTATCTTTTTGGCATCGACATGTATTTTTGTAGTCCTGTAAAAGGCACTTCCGCCCAAAAATAGCTTAAATTTCATCAGCCATTCTGGCCAGAACAACCTCTTTATACTGAGATAAATTGTTAAAGTCCTCACTAGTCTGAGGCAAGAAAAGAACTTACTTGGGAGATATTCCTCACCCAAATTCACAATCGTTTGTTTAGGAAATCAGTAACTTGGGGCGCAAGTTATCCATTCCAGACTAAGTCTGCTAGGCTGTTCATTACTAGCAGTGGCACGCTCGCACACCAAAGAAAGCTGACTTGTTGACCAGTCTATGGTTCTCAAGGCAGTGGGGAACTTTGCCCTTCCATCATAGGAGTAAACGCAAAACGGGTGAACACAAACAACTGATCGGCCGAGCAAGGAACCTCCTCTTGGCCTAGGTTCTTTCACTTCCTCAAGCTCGAGGATGGTTAGGCTATACGGATGTTTTTGTGTTTTTAGGGTTTTAAGTAAAAATAATGCAAGTAAACTAAATGTGTGTTTAAACGTAAAGACAAGAATTAAAGTGCGATAAAATAATTCAAGGTGATAAATAAAGCAAGAACGAAAATAAAAGCGATAAGAACGAAAAAGTAAAATAAACTTGAAATTAAACTTAATTGAAGTGCAATAACAATGAAAAGTAAAGCAATGGAAATAAACTTGAATTTCAATGAAAAGAAAATATAAATTGAACAAGAAATACTTACACTAGAAAAAGGAAGAACTCGCTACACTAAGTGCTTGAAAAGTAAAATCCTAAGTCTAGGGAAAGAAAAGTGCGAGACGAAAGATAAGTTTGTTTGTCTGATGTTGTGTGTCCTCTGTCTTCATTTGGTGAGGTTTATATAGGGCATTCGTCAGCCCATGGGCTAGCCATTGAATGACCGAATGTCAACTCATTTTAAAATCTTTCCTTTCAAAGCCCCCCCAAAATTTGTGGGATTGCATTGATTGAAATATGCTGACATGCTTGATTCTTCCTTGCTTTGGAACATTCGGAGTTATTATCAAACTCCTTGATTTCTTTCCTTGTGATGCCTCCGTCACGTGCACACTGAGCTCCTAAAATCTTGGTTGTGAATTTGTGGCTTGTGCTTGATCTATTGGAATGATACAAGGATGCCCTTCATGACCTTTAAATCCCTTGAGCTCTAAAATCGATTTGCCGAGGAACCTCATTTGATCTTTATATTCGTTTATTAATATATATATATATATATATATATATATACATATATTAAGAAATTGGCAGCTTGGGTTTTATTGTTTAAACCAATTTAATATTAAAAATGGGCAGCTTAAGGAACCTCCCCAAACCTAAAACACTCCAACCCGAAAAAACCTGTAGCCCCCGACGGCTCCAAATCTCGGCCGTAGACCTTTAGGCACGCAGCCCTCCGAATATCCAGTCATGAAAAATTGGGCATCAGCCACAAGAAATCCGGGGGCATCTTCCAGCTCTCGGCCGCAATCTCCAACCAAAGCCTGGCCGCGATACTCTAACCAGAGCCCGACCGCAATACTCCACCAAGTTCGGACTATCCAGCCGCAGTCTCCAGTAGATCCGGCCACAGCATTCCAACCGGTCCCGACAGCAATATTCCTTCAATCCGTGCTCCAAATCTCGGTCGCGAAGCTCCTTCAATCCATGCTCCAACTCTTGGCTGTGAAGCTCCTTCAATCCGTGCTCCCGGCTACCAAGCTCCTCCAAAACCCGGCCAAGATCTCCAACAATCCTAGCCTCCAAAACCCAACCGAGATCTCCAATAATCCCAGCCGCCTTCGAACTGCCCAGCCACGCCTCGTAAGGCCTAGCTTCTCCAACCTTGCCCGGCCGTCTTACTGCCCAACTTTACCCGACTGCCCTGCGATTCAAGGCCCGACCTTGTTCTTCATCCATAGAACTGGGGTGCATTCTTTAGCCGCTATTTTCCAGCCACACGAAATCCAGCCGCACCAGCCTTGGGCCCCAGCCAACCACTTTCTTTCGCAACCAGGATTACTTCGGTCGCATATTCTTGGGCACCGGTCACAAAGGCCCAGCCGCAACTCAACATTTCAATACTTGGCTGCCTATTCTCAAAATCTTGAGACATTCAGGCCGCAACAAAGTGTAGCTCGGGTTGGGTGATTTCTCACAAACCCCAAACACCATCATGTATATGTGGCTAACTTGAACCATGAGTACCATTTCAAGGACTTGAAAATGCCAATCCTATTCCCATTTTGAGTACACAACCCACTGAAAACTGTTACAGCAAGTTTCTCTCTATAATGAGGCCGACTTGAGTTCCCTATAACAATAAGTTTTTATGTTTATTTACAGTGATGATCGCCATATTCTTCCCTCCAATGATATATAACATTGATCGACACGTATGAGAGTTTTTATTTCTGAAGTCAAATGAAAACAAAGATTGCAAGTTTTGTTTGTTAGGTTTATGTGGGTGTTTCCCTCTTTTCGGCTGGGGCGGTCGACGGAAGAAACTTTTGGTCCTTCTTCTTTTTTGAGTGCGGGGCGTGCCACCACCAAGCCCCGAATTTGGGTTTGAATGGAATGTGAGTAGATGGATGTGTTGCGTCCGAGATCTGACTTTAATCAAACGATTGTTTGGCCGAGCAAGGAACCTCCTCACGGCTTAGGTTCTTTCACTACCTCTGGGTCAAGGCTTTATGTGAGCGACCAAATGATGTGGAGTGGGTGGAGATGAAGATTGAAGGTGAAACGTAATGAAACGAAGAATAAGTGTGTAAAGTAAAGGTGCTTAAACTTAAATATAATTTAAAGACAAATGCATAAAGTAAAGTGCAAAAGATAAATAACGTAAAGACGAGAATTAAAGTGCGACAAAGTGAATCAAAGCGATAAATAAAGTAAGAACGAAATGAAAGCGATAAGAACAATAAAGTAAAATAAACTTGAAATTAAACTTAATTGGAGTGCGATAACAATGAAAAGTAAAGCAATTGAAATAAACTTGAATTTAAATGACAAGAAAATATAAAATAAATGAGAATTTAAACTTACACTAAGAAAAGGAAGAACTCGCTACACTAGGTGCATGAAAAATAAAATCCTAAGTCTAGGAAAAGAAAAGTGCGAGACGAAAAATAGGTTTGTCTGTCTGATGTTGTGTCTTTTGCCTTCATTGAGCAAGGTTTATATAGGGTATTCGTCAGCCCATGGGCTGGGCATTGAATGGCCAAATATCAACCCTTTTAAAAATCTTTCCTTCTGAGGCCCCTTGAATTCGTGGGATTACATTGGTTGAAATATTCTGATTGCTTGATTTTCTCTTGTTTTGGAGTATGCTGAACTATCATCAATCTCCTTGATTTATTTCCTTGTGAGGCCTCCATCACATGCACATTGACCTCCAAAAATCTTGGGCGCGAATCCATGGCTTGGGCCTTGACCTTCGAGATTTCATCTTGACATATGGTGGAACCTTATGACCCTTGAGTTTTTAGAATTCTAGAGTTGGCTTACCATTCGTCGACCATCCTCCCAGATGGGTGGTATGGGAACTCCAAATATTTGGATGTTGGGCTTGGCCCTACATTGGACTATATTTGAGTTCTCAAATATTCAAATATTGGGAATTCGGTAGACATACCTCCCGTCGAACTTCAACTCCCTTGGCCCGACTTTGCTTGCCTAAGTGTTTAGAGGAGGGCGCCAAGGTGAGCCAGGAGAAAATTCGCCCTATCCCAGCTTTTTGTAAGATGAGTGGCCGACCAAGGTATTCAAGGAGTGCCCGGCCCAACTTTTTGAGAATGAAGTATTCGGCCACTTTTGTAAGGATATGCCCGGCTACTTTTGCAAGGATATACCCGACCACTTTTGTAAAGGGAAGCGCCCAGCCATATTTTTGAGAAGGCACTACGGCTTTTGAAGGAAACACATCGGCCACATTTTTGAGAAGGCACCATGGCCTTTGAAGAAAATACCTTAGCCACATTTTTGAGAAAGCACTTCGGCCACTAGGAATTCCGCTGTTAGGAATTCTTCGGCCGTTAGGAATTCTCGGCTGCTAGTAATTCTCGGCTACTAGGAATTCTAGGCCGCTAGTAATTCTTCGCCCGCTAGGAATCCTCGGCCGATAGGAATTCTCCGGCCACTAGAAATTCCGCCACTATGAATTCTCAGCCGCTAGGAATTCTTCGGCCGCTAGTAATTCTTCGCCCGCTAGGAAATCTTACCCTCTAGGAATTCTTCGCCCACTAGGAATTCTCCGGCCGCTAAGAATTCTCCGGTTGCTAGGAATTCTTTATTGGCAAATTGGGTGAATTTTGACCATCCCCAAACAGTGGGTTTTAGTTTTCAGGGTATTTGAGTCTATTTAGGCGAACTTTTTTCTATTTTTGAAAGTTTTTATAAAAACTAACATTTATGAAAATAATGAGTAAATTTCGGCTCTTTAATAGGTGGTTTTGCAGTCTTCAGTCCCAATGACATCACAACATACTCATACCCCACCCCCCCCCCCCCACCCCATATAGTGGTTTGCGTATATCTTCTTCTGTTAACATGGTTTGGTTGTTGTTTGGGCCTAAAATTTGCCGCCTAGCCCAAAACTATTGGCCCACAAAAATAAACGATTTCAAGCTCCATGTTTTTGAAGAAATTGAATTATCAGCCCAAAATGGAAAAGGCCCATGCCATTTTAAACAAATACCAAAATCAACCTCGTGTTTTGGGCCAAAAAGAGCTCTACGCGCCAGCCCATTTTTGTCAAAGAGACCTATGAACAAAACATTTGGGCTTTTTTCTACATAAATCAAGAGTCAAAGACCAAAAATGCTGAAAAGAACCCAAACGTTTCTAGCATAATTGTGAATTTTTAGCCCTATTTTTAATAAACATCATCTAAACTTTTTTAGAAAGATCACTCTACCCAAGGATGAAGCAAGTCAGCAAAAACTTTCTAAAAAGAGTTTTTCTCAAAATCCCCACGTGACTACCTGACTTAGAAAAGTCAAAGATTTCAACTATCACAGAGGAGTTGACAGAGAGTTAATGAAGGCAAGTATAAAAGGAAGAATTCTCTGAATCTTTGCAGCCAAAAGATTAAAATCCCTTTCTATATACATAAATTTTTTGCACCAAAGCAGATGTCATTTCCAAAGGATAAGTAGACTATATTTTCTAAAGAGATAAGTAGGGAGCATGGAGTTGTTCATCAGAAAAGCAAACTAACCATCATGGCAGATTGCATTCTTATAAAGGGCAGTTAAAGAATAAGAAGGGATTAGGTTTTCTTTCAGGAAAGGCATGGAAGTGATCACCATAAGAACTGACTGTTGATAGCTTTTCTGCCAGAATAGATAAAATTCTCATTTTTTGGCATTTAAAATAAAAAGATATTTCTTTTGGAAAATTTGCTGCCCATTATTAAAAGATTAGAAGCCCCACTCCAGCATTTTTTATAAATATGAGAGGAGGTGAACATATCAAAGGACAGCCAAAAAATCAATCAAGCCAAAAACTCTCAAATTCACAATTGACAAACTCAAAAAGATCCATTGATCTCAAAAGCCCTCAAACACTGAAGTAACCCAAGCTCATTGAGCCACAAGAAACAAGTCAGCTAGAATTCAAGTTTCTGATTTCAATTCAATTCAGGGAAACAATTTTACAAAGCAAGATTTCACTCGTTACAAATTTGGTACAACACAAAGCCAAGTCAAACAGAGTCCAGGTTTTTATAAATATGAAAACCTCAGCAAATTTACAGAAAGCCTTGGTCAAGCAGAACAGGCTCCATAGCGTAACTCCAGCTCAGTGATCATCAATCCAACCACTTTTGCTCTCTCTAGACTGAAGAGGCCTCAATTCTGACCGTTCAGCAAGCCTTCCATGGCCCGAAATAAATTGAAGCTCTGCCAAACTCAAACATTGGTATTGATTTCCAGCTAAAACTCATCAGTTGAAGGTGTTGACGAGCCAATCCAGCACAGACACATCCAATCCAGCCCGGTTCAAAGGCAGTTATCAAGGTAGAAATCGAAGTCCAACATCTCGTTGTCTTGTTTCGGAGTCACCATTTCGTTTTTGAGTCTTGTAACAAGCAGTTCTGCCTAAAAATAGTTTGTCTTCTTTTGTCTATTCTGGCCAAAACTACATATTTTGTACTGTGAAAAATTATGAAGTCCTCACCAGTCTAAGGCAAAGAAAAGAACTTACTTGAGAGATATTACTCACCCAAATTCACAATCGCTTGTTTAGAAATCAATAACTTGGGGTGCAAATTATCTATTTGAAAGAAGTCTACTAGGATTTTCATTGCTAGCAGTGACACGCTCATACACAAAAGAAAGTTTACTTGACAACGGGGAACTTTACCCTACCATCATAGGATTAAAATCGAAACGGGTGAATAGTTGTGTTATCTAGGAAAGATAAGAGTTGATATATACAAAGAATAGAGAGCAAATCATTATATCAACAAGAGTTTATACACGAGGCAAGTTCCTATTTGAATGCTCGAAGCAGTTAACAAGTTTAACGGTTGAGGGGTATTCACACTTTTAAAAGATTAGAGGGCTTAAAACCAAATTGAAAGTCTAATTGGAAATCGAAAGTAGGTAATAAATACATTAGGCATTCGTAATTTTTCCCAAATAATAAAAGAGAGGGCTGCTATTTCCACCTGTCCTATTTTCCCACCCACCTTATCTTTCCACCCACCATGTAAATTTGAAAAAAAAAAATACAATCTTATCTTTCCACCCACTATTATTCTTAAAATACCCTTTCATTAGAGTGCTGCTATTTCCAACCCTAGTCGTATTTTTTCACCTATCTTATCTTCCCACCCACCATGTAAATTTGAAAAAAATACAATCTCATCTTTACACCCACCATTATTCCTAAAATAACATCATTATTTCATTATTAATTCAAATAAAACCCAGAAATCAAGCAAAAATTAAAAAAAGATAACCCAAACAAACCCATCAACCTCTTCCTATTCTTCTTCTTCGATCACAATTCCAAAACCCCATAACCCTTTGAGTTATTCAACCTAAAATCATACCAAATACAAATGAAAAAAAAAAATTTCATTCATAGGGTTGGCTGTTGAGAGGAGGGAGGAGAGAAATAAGGAGAAAAGAAAATGAGGATGGGGAGGGTCGATGGGTGCATGGGAAGATGAGACAGATGGTAGGGTAGGTCGTGGCTGTTGAAGAGAGAAAGGGTGGGGAGAGAGGAGGTGGTGTTTGGATGTATGGCTGGGTGGTGGAGTAGTTCGTTGGGATGAGGGAGAAGTGGGGTCTTGGAAATCATTTTACAAGGGGGTAAATTTGTCTTTAAATTTTGAAGATAAGGTGGGTGAGGAAATAGGAGTAGCCCTATAAAAGAGTGAAAGGACCAAGCTACATAAAATAGTCAAAGTTATATTACGTAAATATCAAGTTTGACCTTTTTTATCCACACCAATTTTCCAAAGTAAATTTTTTTATATATTTTATTTTAATTTTTTAAGAAAAAGCCAATGGAGTCTAGCTTAATGGAAAATAACTTTGACAAGTGATCCCAGGTTTGAACACCGATGACAACGTAGTGCGTGTGAGAAGTCCCAATTCTTTTGTAATTTAGTATAAGTAAATTCAGGTTTTAGCCACAAAAAAAAATTTCATTTTTGGAAAAAGCCAAAACTTTTTAAAAAAAGACAGAAAAACCTCTCAACTTTCAAATCAAAGACATGCAAATGTAAAAGATTCCTTAGGAAATCCAAAAATAAATAAGGGTAATTTTGTCCATTTTGACTTCTTTTAAAAATAACTACAAAAAATTTGCCCCCACATTTATGAGGATAAAAATTAATGAACAAGTTATTTGATTTCGGCTTCTTGGGCTTCGAACTGGACTTCTTTTTGTTAGTAACCCAAAGAATGGCTCCTTTAAGGGGCCCAGAGGAAAAATAATCAGGGCAAAACTCAGCATAAGCGAAGATTGATTTGTCTGTAGACTCTGCAGCAATTTCTCTTTGGAGGATTGCCAATTTCGTTCAAAAGTAACTGGTTGCAATAGCATCCTTCCACAAGAGCCACATTGATGACGAAGTTGAGGAAGCTGAACCGACCCACGGGTCACCGCATTTCCATGCTCAGGTTCCTAATTTTTTTTCAGTTTTGGTTGGCTCAGCTTTAGCTTTCCATGCCCGAAAGCTTTTTTTTTAAATTTATTTATTTTCAAAGTTGAAAAAAAAAAATTTATTCTGATTTTCATCTGTAGGACGATGGTGTCACAGTTGGTGAAGCACGAGCGGATTGAAACCACTGTTGCCAAGGTGTACCTTCTCTTCTTCTTTTTAACGGTTTCGGAATTTCATATGTTTACAATTTTAGGGTTTTTCTTAGTTTAGGGTTAATGAATTTGATTGAAATAATTTGGCTTTTGTGACCAGCAAGTTAAAGTGAAAAAAAGGAATGTTCAGCATAAGCTCTGGAATTTCGGGAAATTAAAATATCGTTGGGATAAATGTGCAAAATGAATTTTATGTTCAAATGTTTTGTTTTGTTTATTTTCAGGCCAAAGAGATTCGACGTAAAGCTGATAAAATGGTGCAGCTTGGAAAAGATGTATGTATTGGTTCTGCCACAATTATGTTTAAAATTACATTTACAAATAGTTTCTTACCAGTTTCTACATTTTTATAATTAATAATCTTCATCATAAAATGAAATTCTCTGTTTAGCATATACGCCTACAGCAGTTGAAGAGAATCTCAAAGTTAGTATTTCAATTAACATATAGGCTTACTTTCACTTTCAATTAAAGAAATCAATGTCTGACATAACCCACCTTCTGAGAAGTATGTGTTTGAGTAACCCCTAGTTCCAAAGTTTGCTCTTCCTGTGAGTTGTGACTTGTTATTTTAATCCGACAGAAATTGAGTTTGATCTTAGATAGCCCACCATGAGACTAAAATATGAGGTGCATGCATTAGAGTGAGCTTGACTTTCATCGGTTATGCTTTATGTTGTCCTGGATCAAGGGATCAAGTTTTGGAATTTTTGAAGTTACATAAACCTGTGTAACTTTTGTATTTAGGTCTTCAAATCCCTTCTCTGATGAAAACCGGCCTAGTTATTTGGATGAAAAATACTTGTGCGGCCTGCTGTCTGGAAAATTAATTAGAACAGAGCCTCTAACAGGCTCTCTCTACAGAGTCTTCAAGAAAGATGATAGTTAGTTGACAAGTTTAATTTAAACTCCACTTATGAGTACCCAATAAATTATGTCCTGGAGGAGCCATAAGTTCAGCTGCTCAGTTAGTTTCATGATAAAAATGATTTAGGTGAAACTCTTCTCTGTTAACCAGATTTGGTCTTTTGATAGGTTGCTTTGACCTTCATGAGTAAATGTTTCAATATACTTTTGATCTAAAATGACTTTGGAAGGTATTGACCAAAGTTCTCACACTAGATTTGAGTATAAGAATCTGAAGTACGTATTGAACGCACTTAAATGATACGCTAGTTTTCCAATCGCAAAGTTCTGGAATTATCTTACCATAAATTCACTTGATTGTTTTTTTTTCCTTCTAGCATGATTCTATCCTCTTTCAAAACTGTCACAGGGTTCCCTTTGTGCTGTAAGGCGTGCTGCTGCTTTTGTGCGTGGGGATGATGTAATGCACAAGCTGTTTACAGAATTAGCTTATCGATACAAGTGAATCTCGAACCTCTTGTTTTCTGAGTGTTTTATCTTTGTTTTTGTTACATTGGTTTTATTTTATATTACAGAGATCGAACAGGTGGATACACAAGACTACTTCGGACTCGTATACGAGTTGGTGATGCTGCACCTATGGCCTATATTGAGTAAGGCGGTTATTTATTACTTGACAGAAATATGCTTTTCTATCCGCCAAAATAGCAAAAGGAAATATGTTTGTCCAATTTAGAGACTTGTAGAGGTTGTAGGTTTTACCCCTTATAGGCACACGTATATGTAACACCCAAACAGAAAACTAAGAGGAGATGAATCCACCCATTTAGAACCCATCTATTAGAGTCCAAAGACAACTCAAGTGAAGCCAAGGAAACATCAAATGCGATCAAGCACCTAAAGAAAAATATTAAGAAAGTTCACAAAAAAATTTAGGTAAAACAAATGTTTAAGCAAATTTTACTGGATGCATGCATTGCATACATAATGTTTGCGGGGGTAAATGGGTAATGGTTGGTCCTATTCGTATTGATAGGGTAGGAGGGGTATGGGTAATAAACCAAGATTAAATGGATAAATGGGATATTTTTGGCACCCACCCTACACATATGATGCACTCTAACCCCTTTTCCATCTAGGGAAACTTGTCTGCCGTGCTGAATGCATTTTCTAATGCGAGGACCTGTGACTTTGGTGATTAATTCGGTTACTAATTTTTTCCGATGGTGATTGTCCAATAAGTGATGCTTTTTAAAATGTCAACCCACCTTTCTCCTTAGGGTTGAAAATTGGGGTTTGGAAACCAAATTCTGAGGACACATCTTCTTGTCAGCAAAGCCAAAACAACTACACAATTTGTTTGTCTACGTACCCCACTGATAATTTTAATAGGAATGAGTGCAATTCTATCCATTAGATGACTCTAATAGCACATAATTGGTTGATTTGACTGTTTTGCTCAATATTGATTGAAGTTGGGCTGCATTTTGACTATTGACAGTCTTGTATAGGTTCATTGACAGAGAAAATGAGCTCAGACAATCAAAACCACCAGCTCCTCAACCACAGAGAGTTCCCTTGGATCCTTGGGAAAGGTCGAAGCTTTGCAAGCAGTTTGCACCTCCCAAAGAAGATAAGAGCTCTGATATTTGATTTGGCGTATTAAGATTTTATTTCAATAATTTCCTGAGTCTCCAGTATCTTATGATTCTCTTGAGAGGTGGTCCCCTATATTTTTGTAATTCCTCTCATAGGAAGTCTCTGATTTCTTGTGATTTTTCGGCCCTGTTTGATATGGATGTGGCTTATAATGTAGTATCACAAATTCGTACACTGTTCTATTTTTCTCATAATCCTCAAATTGCGTAGGAATGCGTTCTGCTTATCTGTTTTATGTTAAAAAATACCATGCCGTTGCTTTAAAATTTCACCATCAATATTTCTCTCTCTCTAAGCATCGGACTTGAAATCGAGAGAAGTTGATGCATCATTGAAACCATCATTATGTATCAAACATTCAACTGCTGGCCCTTCACCCTTCATGTATCCCCTTAAAATGGCAGGAGTCCCTAACAGATGCCTATATCTTGATTTTCTGTGTTTGACAATTATAATTTATATCCGTGTTTGATCTGTATCAGGCTGTATATGTTCTGGGTTGAATGCAAAAGGCAAGATCAATTTTGCAAAAAAATCTCCATACACGAGTCACTTGATTGGCTTACTACTAATGGTCTTCTTTCCTAATCTTTATCTAGAAAATTTTACTATTTGTTGGAGAACTTTGGAAGCTAGGAATAAGTTACTTTTTTTAGAATGAGCAACCTAATATGAATGATTTCATTTTTCAAATTAATAATGTGTTATATGATTTTTTGGAATGTTTATAATTGTAGTAGGCAAAAAGTCATTTTTGGTCCATGTAGTTTGCCACTTTTACCACTTTGGTCAATTTGTCCGTGTGGTTTCAATTTGGTCAATTTGTTTGTGTGATTTTAATTTGAAGCAATTCAAGGACAATTCTCAATTTCTGTCAATTTCTTTTAACTTATGTTAGTTGTGAAAGGGTAATTCGGTTCACAAACTATTTAAAAAATGCATTCTTTTTAAAAATAAATATTTAATTTAAAAACTTAATTTAAAAATAAAAATAAAACCTCTTCCCCCTTCTCCCCTCAACCCCAACGCCCAGCCACCGGAGACATTGTAGTCCACTGCCACGCCCACGCCCCCTTCGTTTGATTTCTAGATCTCGTTCGAGGTCAAGATCAAGGCCTCCAAGTGAAGTTGTCTCTGGTGAGGGCTTCAAGGACTCTTCTCAAAAGTCCCAGGCGCTAAGAAAGCCCAAAAATCTGTTAAGAAGAGACATAAGGATGCCGGGCGTGGAGAGGCAGATTCTCACTTTAAAACCAAAGCACTTGTTCTCTGGAAAATGATCAATTGGAAAAACCCAGAGGCGCTGAGATATTTCAGGTATCCCTTGCATCAATTTTGATTAAGCCTTGTCTTTGTTTTGAGCAACCCTTTAGTGGAAAGAAAAAGCACAGTAAATCCTATAGAGTAACTTTCTAATTCTTGTCTGACAGTTCACCTTGGGGTTGGGTGTCTGCACTAAACTGCAATTACATAATTTTTTTGTTTGTTTGTTTGTTTTGTTTTTGTTTTTGTTGGGTTTGTAGGTACAGAGTTGAATTTTTCAGTCCCCAGAGATTGAGATTTTAGGGCTACACATAGAAAACATGGGGATTGAGAGTTTTTTCAATTTTAAGATTTTACTTTAATTTTTTTTTTAATGAATGAATTTTTAATAATTTGTTGACCGAATTGCCCATCCACAACTAACAGAAGTTAAAAGAAGTTAAAAGAAATTGACATAAATTGAGGATTGTCCTTGAATTGTTTCAAATTGAAACCAAAATGACAAAATTGAAACGACAAGTACTAAAGTGGTAAAAGTGACAAGGTATATGGACCAAAAGTGACTTTTTGCCATTATAGTATAAAGAATAATACTACTAAATTTTGAGGTGAGGTTCCCATGGGATCTCAATATTTTAAGAGTGTTGCTATTTCTGTACCCGTCTTATTTCTCTACCCGCCTTATCTTCTCTCTTATAATGTAAATTTGAAAAAACACAATCATATCTTTCTACCCACCATTATTCCTATAATACCCTTTAATTATTAATTCAAGAAAATTCCCTGTGCTAATCCTTAACACAAATGTAACACTATTAACTTTTAAATAAATAAAAAATATTGACCCCCCCCCAAAAAAAAAACCCCAACTTTCCCATTGTGGGAGCAAATATTCCAGCTTCCAATCACAAGGCGTCACATGGATAAGAAGAATATCACCTAGGCCATTAATTGGGCCAATTTATTTGGCCAATTAATTGAGACAAAAAATAGGGATATTATCTTTATTTGGGAATATAATCACCAATTATAGATAATATCATCAATTAGGGATTTAATCATAATCAAAATCCTTAATTGACTCAATCTCTCCATTTAAAGGAAATAATATCTTCCTTCCAAATAAGAAGATATTCTTTGAAAAACACTAGATGGCTAGAGCCCTATAAAGATATAGCCACATTCAACACATAGGGTAATTCCAAAACCATACGAAAAACTCCTCTCTCTCCCTAGCCGCTGGCCACTCTCTCCACACTGCTAAGTGCCACCATTCATGGCTCCATCCACCCGGATCTCCACGTGAGAAAAACTCCGTCCAGTTTAGCTATTGTCACATATTTTTTCAAAGATCCAATTGAATTAACTTAGACGTTGGAGGGTCTTTTGCCAACACCTCCCCGGTGTGGTCTTTTACTCCTATTTGTTTCGCATGAATTGAGGAAGAGAGAGAAGTCTATGGCATGCCTTGTTAATAACATACTATTTAAAGAAAATTTGGAACTTCGCATAAGCATCACCTGAAAGCTTCGAGCATATCATCATCTCTCTTTATTTTTGGCACGAAAAATGTCCAGCAAACTAGCTGAAAGCTTCAAGCATATCATCACCTAATTAAATACGTACAATTGAGGCAAACCAAATATATCTAATTAGTACTTTTTGTTAACAAAGCTGGAAAAAGCAAGAGAAGCAAAATGCTCAAGAATTTGAATATGTTATTGTTTAGAAAGGCTCCTTTTGTCTAGTAAACCACCCCACCTACGTCTTCTAATCTTCAATTGGCCTGCGCTGTACTCAGTAAACCAAGATGTAAGTGACCAAATGTGACAGTTCTATGGTCAACACTTAGTTTCATACCTGGCTCCTTCGGATAATTGAAACTTTGCCACAATACCCTCTTCACTGTTGATCCGTTTTGATCGACTCAAGGTTGACTTCATGTGGGACAAAATTGCCAGAATCCAAGGGGGTAGCCACAACATTACTAGTGTTGATATTGGTATAGGCTTGTGGAGCAGTGTAAAGCTGGATAGGGTTCCCAGTACCATTGCGTGTAATTTTGAGGGTTGAATTCATTTCTTCCAAAGTAAGAACTCCCGTAAAAGGGTATGGAATAGGTTTGTCTCCATTCGCAACCCATGCTAATTCATGTAATTTGGGTTGCGCCAGATAGCTAGGTAGCTGGAGTACTTGGAATTGTTATGAGCAGTTAGGTAGAAACCCAAAGTGAACTTCCCATTTGCAGAGTAATCTAGAGTTTCACCTCTGGTTTGAGTGTGTCCATGCCGCTTGCACCACGAGTTAAGGTGATACTGCAGCTAGCCATGAATGACTACGGCAACCACAACGTGTACTAGTTCTGATCCAAATAATGAATTTTTCTGCTGGTTGAAAACTTAAATTGGCTTGTGTTTGTGTTTACTGCAAATTATTCTGACCAGGGTACCTGTGTATCAGGTTTCTATTCAAAATGGAGCCTGTTGATACATATTCAAGAGATGTATTGCATCTGAACAGAGGAAAATTCTATTAAAATCCCGTTTGATTCTGATTCACCACATGATTATCACGTGTGGAAATTTTGGTTTTCGTGGGGGAAAAAGAAACACTAAAAGCAAGTGGCACTAAAAGAGATAAAATGCGAACAACATAATTTTAATGGTCACCAAAAGGAGAAGATTGCTTGAGTTATCATCCACGGTGACAAATGAAGGATTACAGAGAAGTGCACCTTGTGTAAATAGCCAGCCTCCGGCCTCCTTCTCCTCCGCTATCAGCCACAACCAAATGTTCTCTCAAACCCAAATTCAGACCCACCTCTGTCTTACTGCTAACATCAACTACCATCTCTCTCTTTGCCCTCTTCTCCTAAACAGTACGAAACATCTCTTCCTCTCTCTCACTTGTCCCATCGTCTCTACCATGCAATATTGACCCCTCCCTTGCTTATACCGATGTTGCTACATCAGGGTGTTTGTATCCTCCTGATCAGAGACAGTATACTTCACAGTATAACTGTAAGGCCAACAAGGTATCACAACTGTTTTGTAAAATTCAGGTTCTTTTCCCAGTGGTTCACAAGGTTCTTTTTCAGCTTGCTGCGATCTTGTGAGCAAATTTCTCTGAAGTGAGCAAGATGCTCTAAAGTGAGGCTCCCTTGTGGTGTCCTTCTAAGTGTGTGATAGCCATCACCGTTTTCTATTTTTTGATTGTGCCAGCTAGCCGTCCCATCTCTCAGTTCTTGGTTTGCTTATATTCCATTCCAATGGAGGATGGTTACCCATATGAAGACGAAATGGTTATCCATTTTGACGACAGTCTTGACCTGGAAGAGCGTATCGAAAGCAAAATTGTCCTGGTTGGTCTCCTTATTGCACATGTTGAACCTCCACAAACCATTGTCAAAGAGATCTTGCGTGCAGCCTGGAGTAGAATGGGAGTCATTAAAGTTAACAAAGCCAAAGAAAATGTGTACTCTATTACAGTGGCTGAAGAAGAGGTCGCAAGCAGAATCCTTGATGGAAATCCATGGTTCATTAAGGGTTATACATTCACTGTAAAACTTCGGCCATTATACCACTCCCTTGACGACATTCAAAATAACACAGCTATCTATTGGGTTCAAGCTCATGGTTTAACTCGAAACCTATGCACACCAAAGAATGCCCGACAGCTTGGATCCAGAATTGGAGCAGTAATGGAGGTGGAAGATACCGATGATGCGGGTTTCCGGGGCTTTCTGAGGATGCTCATCGACATGAATATTAGCCCCCGGTTTCTTCATGCAATGCCCAGTCGCCGGAAAACGCCGCATCCGCTTGAAGTATGAAGGTGTATAAAAGACTTCTGTATGAAGTGTGGGAGGTTGGGACACAGCAGAGGCTGCCAATGGCCTGTGAATACAAAAATGCTCTCTGACAAATGGCAATTCGATGATGATCTACGAGCCCCTGTGGTAACAAAGCAATCGAGTCTTCTCTTCCCTGAAAAGAAAGCCACAGCTAAGCCCATTGTCAGGCCAATCGACATCTTCGACCAGAACCATTGGCGCCACCATTGGGAGAAGGATGGTGAGGGCTTATACGACAGTCCCATTGGGGGACAACACGTGAAAGCCAGCAATGATTCTTTGGTCAACGCAACAGTGAAGGGGACATCTGCTACAAACAGGTCACAGCAGATGACTCAGTCGGTTATGCAAAATCAGACTGAAGGCCTGCAATCTGGGACATCGCAGACTGGTTTCGCAGAGGGGGGTGTTGAGCAGCATATCTAATCGCCCTAGCTAGGGGTGACATTTTAGACCGAAAAACAGAAAAACAGCAAAAACCAACTGACAATTTACCGCAATTGAATCGTAATCGCGGGAAACCGAACTGCATTTGCGGTATGAAGAACCGAACCGCATTTGCGGTTGCAGTTACAGTATTTGATTTTCAAAACTTGCGGTTACTGAAACCACGATTATATTTAATAAATAAAAGAATTGCATTTTTTAAATAGTATTGGTGCTCAAACAATACAACGGGGTCCTTCAAATCCACTCACCACCACCAACACTTGAGTTTGTAACTTTAATTTGTAACATTGGTGCATTACATTTTCATTTTAGTTTGTAACTTTAATTAACTTTAAATTGGATTTTTCCTTTGGGTTGTATTGCATTTTCCTTTTGGTTTGTAACTTTAAAGGATTTGGAATTGGAATGCTTGAGAAGTTGAGGTTGTGAATACTTGAGAAGTTTAACTTTAATTGGAATGTTTGAAATTGTAATTTTAATTTTCTTTAGGTTGTGAATGCTTGAGAAGTTGAAGAGGTTGTGAATTTATATATGCTTGAGAAGTTGAGGTTGTGAATTTATATTTTTGGGTTAAAGTATGCTTGAAATCAAAAGGCTTCAAAAGAAGCATCAAAATTAGGCCTAAAAGGTGGAAAATTGGATTTTTATGACACAAAAAAAACTTGCGGTTTTAAACCGCTAATTCACGGAACCGCAAAAAGCAGTCGGTTTCAGGTTTCAAAAATCACTATACCGCAAATAGTCGGTCGGTTTGCGATTTGGGCAAAAATTCACGATTGCCGAACTGCAACCAGCCCTAGCCCTAGCTATGTCAGTAGATGGGACCTAGAAAGCTACGGCACACAATACAAAAATGGAACACTTACCTTAGTTGTTCATGGGCTTTCACTGAACCACAATTGGTGTGACCCTTATAGCCTACCACCATGGGCCCTAACCTCAACTATTCTCAGCCCAACCCTAACACTTGGGCAAACAACCCAGGAGATAGAAGAGCAAAGTCCATATGAGGCCCAACCAGCTATTTAGGAGATCGAAACTCAAATATGAACAGTCAACTGGACTTGGAAAAAAACCAAGATGGCAAGAAAAAGAGGTAATCAGAGACACAAGTGAAGGCCCCAATAAAAATGTTAGGGTGTACCATAGCCCTCCACCTGGATGCTCCCTACGACTTTCATGTAGGGGAGGAAGAGGCTCTAGAGCCTGTGGAGGTCAACCAAGAGGTCGTTCAACAAGATTAGTCAAGCAAAGAACATAGGTAAGCCTAAAGACTGATGATGGCCCATGCGATGTTATTATAAGTCCCTCAAAGGAACTTGAAGAGATAGAATCAAGACTGAGACAAGGAAGGAAGGATGAATCACCTAGCAACAATGGCGGTGGTGGCTGGCCTAAAGCAGCCACAAGGAATCAATGATACAATTATCCTGGAATTGTCAAGGTTTGTGGAACCCCTTGACAATTCTATTTGAAAGAGCAAATCCGCTCGAAAAGCCCCACTGTGATTTACTTGATGGAAACTAAAATGAGTAATCACAGATTGATCTCTTTAAGACGACAGTGTGGATTCCAAAAAGGCTTCTCTGTTGATCCGGTAGGCACTGCAGGTGGTCTAAGTGTCTGGTGGAAAATTGGAATTGATGTAACGATATGTGACTATTGTAAATATTGGATTAATTGATGCCACTGTTCTCTCCGTTGGAGAATGTTTCCATGCTAGGTGTACATGGCTCACCATACCACTCTGAAAAATATCTTTTTTGGAATTCTCTTGCTGACATGGATGCAAAAGATGATGTCCCATGGGTAGTTGTGGGCGATCTCAATGAAGTAGCTTGGCACTTTGAAAAAGAAGGTGGTGCCATTTAGAATCCAAAGAGAAAAAGGTACTTGGTTAACTTCATGGACAATAACCTCATGGACTTGGGGTACAATGGCCATATCTTCACCTGGGAACGAAGTTTAGGTAACTCCTCTTTTGTTAGAGAAAGGCTTGATCGTGCTATCCAACTCCTTCTGGCTCGAAAAGTGGCCCAATACAACTGTTACAATTGGCACAAGAATTGGATCAGACCATAGCCCATTGGTACTTGAGTGTAATCCAACTTTCAGTAAAGGCAAAAAAAAATTCAAGTTTGAAGCAAAATGGCTCAAGGATTCTGACTGCGAGGTGATGGTCAAAAATAGACTGAACAAAGAACTGCATGGCCCATACCAAAAGCAGTGGATAGGGAAGCTGAGGAATTGCAAATATGCCTTGCAAAATTGGAGAAAAGGTAAAGTCAACAATACTAGAGTCCAAATTAACCATCTCATCTCGGAACTGGATAACATCTAGGTTTCAAGGACCACTGTCTCATCTGATGCGCGCCAAAGGGTGATATGAGCTTATTTGAGCGACCATTGGAAAATGGAAGAGATTTATTGGAATCAACGTGCAAAAGTCCACTAGCTCAAAGCAGGTGATTTGAACACAAATTTTTTTCATCTCACAACAATACAAAGGCGCCAAAGAAACGAAGTTATTCAGTTAAAAAACGATGATGGTGTGTGGCTCTGTGGGGAAAACCTTGTTGGGGCTAAGCTTAAAAGGTATTTTGAAAACCTTTTACCTCATCGGGTGAGAGAGATTGGGGAAACATCTTTGGGCATGTGCAGCCGGTTATCACTCAGGAAATGAATGCAAATCTCGCCGCCCCTTTCACTGAAGATGAAATCCTTGCTGCTTCTAAACAATTGGGAGCCCTCAAAGCCCCAGGCCCAGACAGTTTTCCAAGTATTTTTTACCACAGATTCTGGAGTGCAATGAAGAAAGAAGTGATTGGAACAGCAAAGGATTTGTATATCAGCCTCTCCAACCTTCAAGATTTAAATCAAACCCACATTGCTTTGATTCCTAAGGTGGCTGCCCCTGACTAAAGCAAACCAATTTAGACCAATTAGTCTTTGTAACAGTTCTTATAAGATTCTCTCCAAGATCTTAGCCAATCGTCTCCAGTCCATTCTGTCTTTGATGATTTCTGAGAACCAAAACGCATTTTTACAGGAAAGACAAATACAAGATAATATCATTCTGGCTCATGAGGCTTTCCATCACCTCAGAAACAAAACAAAAAAAAACAAAAAAAAAGGCAAGTGCTTCGAAGCGGGTCTTAAGATGGATATGAACAAGGCTTTTGATCGTGTTGAATGGGACTTTTTGAGATCGGCAATGTCAAAGATGGGTTTTGCTAACTTCTAGATTCCCCTAGTCATGGGATGCATAACTACTGTTTCTTTCTCTGTCCTCCTAAATGGTGCCTTGAAACTGGTTATATCCGAGGTGTAAAAATGGCAAGATCTGGTCCCCCCCTCTTGCATATCTTCTTTGCAGATGATTCACTTCTCTTCTTCCGAGCAGAGAGGATGAATTGTATTCGCCTTAAGGAAGTCTTGGACAGATACTGCCATGCTTCAGGCCAACTAATTAACCTCGAGAAGTCAAATCTTTTTTTTCAGTTCAAACACGACTGACGATCACAAAGCCAGCATTTGTCATCTGTTAGGAATTGGGGGAGCCGACAATCCCGGTACTTAACTTGGCCTACCAATGGGGTGGAAGGAAAGTACTCTCTCCATTGCCGGAAAAGAGACCCTCCTTAAAGTTGTGGCAACGGCTATCCCCACATATTCTATGATGTGTTTCAGATTCCCCACAACTCTCTGCAAAGATATTAACAGTGATATGGCAAAATTTTGGTGGCATAACTCCCAATCCACAACTGGAATTCATTGGAAATCTTGGAAGCACTTGTGCCAAAGTAAGCAACAGGGTGGCTTGGGTTTCAGAGATCTAGCAGAATTCAACTTAGCTTTTGCTAGGTAAACAGAGTTGGCGAATTTTGAATAATTCAAATGCTTACTGGGTGCGAGTTTTAAAGGGCCGTTACTTTCCATCAGAAGACTTCTTGCAAGCCAAGGCTGGCCATCGAGCTTTGTGGGCTTGGGCAAGCTTAATTGCTGGTCGTGATTTTCTAATCTCCAAGGCAAGAAAACAGATCTTTAGTGGAAATGATACATGCATATGGAATGATCGATGGCTCCCCCTGCCACATGTGGGTTTTATTCAGGCCACATGCCAAATTCCTGATACTGCTCCCCAGTTAGTTTGTGATATCATGGATTCTCACAATCGTGCATGGAACCTTGATGATATTAGACCCTTCATTGATCAAAACACTTTAGAGACAATAAAAAAAATTCCAATTGGTGCTACATATTCGGCCTACCGTTTCGTTTGGTCTTGGAGTAGTGATGGTCATTACTCTGTCAAATCTGGATACCATTACTTGCAACTCTAAGACAATGGCTATCTCCACCCTTCCAGCTAACTCCTCCCACCGTGTGCACCCTTTGGTGTGGAAAGGGATTTGGAAGATTAAAACCCTGCCAAAAATCAAATTCTTCTGCTAGCGTCTTCTCAACAAGTCCATATCCACTAAGCTTTCTCTTTACATAAAACGGATCTCGGTCTCTCCAATCTGCCCAATATGTGACTTGGAAGATGAATCAATTGAGCACATGATTTTATTATGCCCCTGGGCTCAAGCTGTGTGGTTCGGTTCCCCTTTAAACTATGTTATCAACAGACAAAGCATTATCACTTTTGACAAATGGATCCAAAGTTTACTGGAAAATCGTGGCTCTTTCAATAACTCGGCTTGGTTCTTGTCTTTAGTATGCTTCATTTTATGGGATATTTGGAAGGCCCGTTGCAGCTTCATTTTTGAAAACAAACCTTTGGATCCTATCAAAACTATCATGCTGCTGTCACTGCTGCTCAGGACATTAAGTCTACCACCAATAATTATCCTCAGCACGATTCCCATATCTCTCTGTTACCCTCTTTTCGGCCGGGGCGGCCGACGGAAGGAACTTTTGGTCCTTCTTCTTTTTTGAGTGCGGGGCGTGCCACCACCAAGCCCCGAATTTGGGCTTGAATGGAATGTGAGTAGATGGATGTGTTGCGTCCGAGATCTGACTTTAATCAAACGATTGTTCGGCCGAGCAAGGAACCTCCTCACGGCCTAGGCTCTTTCACTACCTCAGAGTCAAGGCTTTATGTGAGCAACCAAATGATGTGGAGTGGGTGGAGATGAAGATTGAAGGTGAAATGTAATGAAACGAATAACACGTGCATAAAGTAAAGGGTGCTTGAATTTAAATATAATTGAAAGACAAGTGCGGAAAGTAAAGTGCGTAAAATAAAGAATGTAAAGACAAGTGCGGAAAGTAAAGTGCGTAAAATAAAGAATATAAAGGCAAGTGCGTAATTTAAAGTGCGTGAAATAAAGAATTTAAAGACGAGTCCGTAATGTAAATTGCGTAAATTAAATAATTGAAATGCGAGTGCGTAAAGTAAAGGGCGGAAAGTAAACTAGATTGCGAAGAACAGTAAAGAAACATGAATTGAAGTTACTGTAATTAAACTAGAATTGAAAAACAAGAACACGAATGTAAAGGCATAATTGAAATCTATGGAAACTAGAACGGGAAAAATAAGAACTAGGCTATGGTTACATTATGCTACTCCTAGGATAGAAATTGAAGAGAATGTAAAATGACAAGTTGTGTGTTGTGTCGGGGGTCCTTTCTCTCTTCCATAAGCTTGGTATTTATAGGGGCTTCGGTGCGTCCCAATTTGGTCGGTCGTCAATTGGCCTTCAAATCAATCATAATTGCTCTAGAATATCTTCAATCCCTTGCCTCATACCTGTGATTTAATATGAATAATATTTGATTTGATTTTCCTTCCATCTTGAGCTCTCCCTCAATAACTTCAATTGACCATCAAGCTGGCATAATTCCTTCCATATTTGAATTGTAACCTAAGAAAATCCTCCTACGGATTATCTCTCTCAGCATTGACTGATTTTATGTATTCGGCCGCTTTTAGTCTTCCGACCGTACCTACATTTTCGGCCGCATATAGGCTTTCAACCACTTTTATGCTCTTGACCACATTGATGTGTTCGGCCACATTGATGTTCTGCTACATTTATGATTTTGGGCTTCTATTCGGCTTTATTGATTAGGCCCACCGAAATATAGCTTGGGCTCACTATTAGTTTAATTGTCGGATCTCGGGCCTGACCCGGTTAAACTTCAACCAGGCTCAAACATTGCCCCCCAGTTTTTATGAATTTTGCCTCAAGCTAAGTTTATGAAAACTTGAATTTAATTCTCTTCTATGAACACATGGCCGTTTCAAGATTTTCCTCTTATACTGGGGCCTAGACAACTTTGAACTTTAAACTAGTATTTCCGTAATATTGCCGAAGCAATCCGGCTGTGAAAGTTCAATGAACTATTTCCAGGCAGCTGCACTCTTCATTCTTTGATCACAAATAGTCTTTTATGGCCATTATTAGTTGGCCCAATTTCATTACTAGTTTTTTAGAACTAGCAAATCATTGATTGACCTTCTTGACAAACATACTGCTTCTCTTACTTGAACCAAGGTAACCACACTATATTTTTATATTTTTAAACTCACTAAAGAAAATTAGCCATAATAATTGGCTATAATCATGGCAAGATATTTTGTGGGCAGTCTACCAATATGATCGACCTCCTTTTGGTTCAAAAAGGGAAGGTAGATGCACCTTTCTTTTCTTCTCCTCATGGCTTAGGATATAATATGTGATACCCATATTATTAACCATTAACTGACTAGGGTAAAATGAGATTTCCTCTTCCCATTTGTTCACGTCAATTGCAAAGCTGGCCATTGAATTGGCCCAAAACTAAGGCTCCCATTATTTTCAGAAAAGGAAAGAAAGAATATATATAATTGCTCCATGAAACAAATTTGCACGTCAATATTACTATATATATATATATATATATATATATATAGTAATAAGATTCTCTACGTCACCCATTAATTGGCTAGAATCATGGGGAAATATTATGGGTAGGTAACTCTTCCCCCTCTTCCTTTATGAAGCAATTTCCTTCTTCTACTTGCCCAAATAAAACTTGGCTATTATGGGAAAGTATTTTATGACATGCGATAAAATCTTTCTTTACTTTCCTTCAAAGCAACATAAATATTCTCCCAGTCAAACTAGGTTTTCCTCCACTCGTTTATATAAACCCCAGTGAACTAATCAATGAAGTACATCACCCCTATAAACACCAAAAGTGTCTTTGGCTATTCTCAAAGGTAAGCCACTTCTATCACCTCTTCTTCGGTTCCACTTCTATCACATATATATCTATATATTTCTTTACTCATTATTTTTCCTTTGCTTTTCTGGCACACAATTAGGATTTGGAAAACCACGCGCCGTTCAAAAACTCTCTCAAGTTCGTGAGTTTTTCAATCTCGGCACTATACCTTGTTAAGGTATTTATCGTTACTTTATATATGTATATATATATACACACGTATACGTATATATTTTCTCTGATCATATGAATATGGACCCGTTGACATCTTCAATATCCCACAATGCATGCTCTTATTCTAATTGCCCATATGGCCATTTGGCTTCCTTCGTGGATGCAAGGCCATTAAGATGGCTTTTGTTTAATAATTCTCTTTCTTTCTTTTTTTCTTCACGTGCATGGCCGATTTGAATCACTGTTGTGGCTGCAAAGTTATGAAGATTTCTTTGGCCGCCAGGCCATTTAGCTGGCCTTTTTATTTTATTATTTTTTATAAATATAATTTAACATAGCATGCAGCTTTGACCATTGGCCCAAAAGGCCATTCATTTTGGTCGTGGGATTGTTTATTTGACCCAGCATGTAGGGTCAAATCATATATAATATATATACATATATATATATATATGAGAATTTAATATTACTAACAAATAATATTTTGCAGACTACCAATCTTCCATCTTGGTATCGTTCTTCAATGTCTCCCGAAGAAGCAAGAGAGTACAATAATATATTGGTTGACGCCCTTAATGAAGATGAGACCGCTTTCTCCAATGACTTTTATGATTTTGCGCCACTGCCTGCCACTCCACGCAACATGATCCTTGGTCCCTATTTTTACGGTCGTATGCCCAGCTCTGTTGTTAAAGTCATGCGACCGCAACAAAAAGACATTTGTTTGTTCGGAAAATACCTTAATTGGCAAGGTTGGGACCGACCCAAGCTTATGAGGGGTTGGCCTACTTCAGGGCCAGAAAAATGGAACAAGTGGCTTGATCGACTGTCAAGCTTGTGTGATACGCAGTGGAGGGAAGAGGGCATCTATGATGCAATCATGCTTTGTAAGTCCAGTTTCACATGTGACCGTAGTCTCGTCGCAGCCGGTCTTTGTTTTTGGTCGACTTCTACTAATACTATGAAGTTAAGATTTGGGATGATGACCCCAACTCTTCTTGACTTAGCCGCCATGGCGGGTTTTCGACCATGTGGTGGTGAAGTAAGTGCTTTATCTTCATCAAAATGCGAGGTTGATTTCGGTTTCACCAAGAAGAACAAAAGCTACAAAGTTTTCATGGAAGCTAATGCTCAAGAAACGGGGCCACTCACGCATAAAGAACATACAGCTTTTCTCATGATTTGGTTATGCAAGTACGTCTTCTGCATGGCGTCGGCGCAAGTTACTTTAGAAGTTCAGCCTCTGGCCGAAGCACTAGCAAAAGGCCATCGGTTGGCCCTTGGGCCAATGGTGTTGGCGTATTTATATCGAGGTCTCTACAATATGGTGTCACTCAACCCAATGAATTGCAATACTACCGGGCCGATTTGGTTGTTTCAATTGTGGCTTCAAGTTTACTTTCCAGAAGTACGGCCAGCTCATGCTATATTTTCTCCTAATTCTCTTATTGGAGTAAATCTTTTATCTCTACCCCTTTCCGGCCTTAAAGTTGAAGATTACTTTGGAATTTTATACAACTGTGAAGGCCGTTCCCCAGACGAATTTTCTGTTTGTCTAGACCGAGAATTTCCTTCTTATCTTGGGTTGAAACTAAGTTCTCTTTCCCTAGCCGATAACGGCCAAGCTGCCTTCCGTAAGAGCCTTTGGGCTAGCATTTTATTGAGTAGAGACTTACACCTCGGCCTGTCAGTGGGTACACATGCCAACTACCCATGCGGGGTTGAGGTTTATTTCCCTTCTGCGACCGGCCGTCAATTGGGTTTCACCCAAGCTATCCCTCTTCCGATCACAGAATCTTGCAATATGGGCACATCTCACAGAGCTAAGTTCAAAACAAAAGCTGAATGTAACGTGGTTTCTGTAGATAGCAAGCGAATGAGGAAAACTTTTAATCTGCATATTCGAGATGCCAATTTTAACTCTACAACCCACTTTGATACTTGGTGGAAACACGTCACCCGTGATTGGTTTACATCAGTTGCTAACATTATTTTTGCCAAGCTTTTTCAGAAATGGCCGTCAACGATTAAGGATGCTACTTCCTGCAACTCGGTGAGCGACACCGGTATGCTCTATTCACGGCTACAAGTTTGATTTTCAACTGCCCACATTATAACGATTCTCAACAATTTTTATCGCAGGTAACGTGGCCAGAGAAATAAGTTCTGCTTCGCCAGCATTACCAAAGAAAATACTGCTCAACAAGCGAAATCACTCAACCATGACTGGTAACGTCCTTACTTCTTTCAGAACATGTTATTCTCAGGCTTCATAATTAATTGATTATTTGGCTTTAAATCAGGGGATTCATCTAGTCATAGTCAGGCCGCTGCTTCGGCCAAGCCTAAAGTAGTCTCAAGGCCAAAATCCCTTGTCATTCGTAGTATGTCCCTGTCCCTTCTCCCCTAACTTCTTTTCTTTGGCTATGCAATAACATAATAACTTTACTTGTCTTGTAGCTGGCCGAAAAACTAGCATGACGTACGAGTCAAGTAGTGATGAAGATGATGATGGAATAGCAAAAGCTCCAACAAAACGGCCCAAGAAAGATCCCGTCATTGAGGTACTCTCACCTAAAGAATTATGCTACCATTCTTATAATATTCTTGCACAGGCTAACCATCATTTTTGTAGGATCTGCCTGACCTTTCCTCACCTGACCATTCTCAAGAATTTATAGGCTTTGAGACCGAAGACCAATTTTATTCGCCGGCCGATAATACTGTCATAGCTAAGGTTAATGAGGCCGTTGTTGCGGCCTTAGCAAATGACAACCTAGGCAAACATATCTCCCCTTTCAATGTGGTTGAAATAGTTAAGGATACAACGCAGGTATACTTCTTTTCTTAATCAAATCTCCTTCCTTATCCCTTGTGGATGTTCACCACTTGATTTTTTTTTCGCAGGAAATTAATGTTGGGATTTCAAAAACTGTGGCTCTATCAAAGACTCCAGTCGAAGTTGAATTTGCTCAACCTATTCAAGACACTACTGCAATTACAACACATGAAATGAGTGTTCTGCAGCCTAGAAAGGTACTTATTTTAATATATATATATATATATATTAATATAAAGTGAATGCTCGACTGCCACTATGTTGCTTATGTTATGCATCCTTGGCAGAAAGCACTCCCCTCAGAGGCTATATTGGAGTCACTTCAAGGCATGAGAGATTACTTGGCTACAGCAAAGGCCGCCACCACTTCTTCATACAATTCTTCCTTAAATATTGCAGCCAAAGCCACTGTCCAAACCATCCTCGACAAAGACCATGCAGATTTAGCTAATGAAGCTCAACATACTCGTCTTTGCTCGTCCATTCAAAGTCTCCTTGATGCCCATTTTTTCCCAACTGAGGAGGAACCCACAATCAAAGGTTTCATGAAGCAATTGGCCGAGGGCATCCAGGCTTACAATCAAGCCGTGATGGAGTACAATGATGGCCAAGCCTTGATTGAAAAGATTCAATCAACTAGCCATATTCTGCAAGCCCATCTTCATATATGCCACGAGGGAAAAGGAGAACTGGACAAACTTGAGGAGGAGCAGAAAAAGATTGAGGCCAGAAAATCAACCATCCTTGCCAAGATTGACAATGCGGTCCAAGACTCTCGGCCACATCAGGTCAAACTAGAAAAGTTTATGCAGCAACAGGCCGATTTCCAAGAGAAAGAAGACGACTACAAGACCTTAATGAGTACAAGGGCCGAATTATGGGTTAACTTCAAAACCATCATCCAAAAGCATCTTTAAAACCTGTAATGGTCCTTTTGTGATCGTTTTGTACTTTTATAGCTAGGCTGCATTTGAACCTCAAACTATTTCTCTTTTATTTAGTTGATGAACCTTTGATTTCCATCAATAAATTTCAGCCTTTACCTGTGGCTTTGGATATGACTAAATTTCTTGTTTTTGAAGAAAATAGTATCAGCCTTCATCCAACATTTTGCTTCTAAGCTTAGGCCGTAATCGCAACTTAACACATTTGCATGTATTTTCTTCACAAAAATGATTTGCGGCTAAAACAATAAACTTTAGTTCGGCCGTTCTTGTATTGCGAAGAAACCCTTGACGGCCGACACTATTCGGCCACTTTTGTCTGTGAACTTTTGTAGTGCCCAAATCACTAACAAGTTCTTTTTCATATATATATATATATATTTATGGCCATAATATTAACATGACCTTTATTGGGAACGTTGTCGGCCTACTTATTTGGGTAGTGGCCGTTGAAAATAATATTTTTATGGAGACCAAGGGGGTGGCCATCCATGTTTAATTCCACGTTGTGAGCCCTTCTTATTTTCTGCATGGATTTCACGATTGCGCAAGCTGTAAATTGGTGTGCAAGTCACCTTGATATCACCATAACCATTTTTTCCTTTTATGCTGGCCGAATTTCCTTGCCCCCCAAGTCCTCTTGATTGGCTGGACTTGGCCTTCTGTTGGGGTTTGATAAAGTCGACCATTTCTAATTGTAGTCTAGTCACATCTGATTGGTCCCCTACAACCATGTCTATTATGACTGCTTCAGGTTGGGTCTTATTCAGACATTTCTCTTTTTGATCATGTTGATCATTAATTTCAAGAATGGATGTATCAAGTTGGGCCATATTTTGGTGTCCAACCTCGACCGCTTGTTGGACCGCATTCTCTTGGGTGGATTTTTCTTCCTCAACCAACGTGAGAGTTTCAATAGGAAAGTCAATTTGAGTTTTCAACTCTAAGGCCGACTCGTCCACTTTTCTCTCATTCACATATTCTTGATTGACTTCATTTTCCTCTGGGAAAGTTGGTGAAACAGGTGGCCGGACTGCAACCATACCAATACTTTTCCCTTTTTCAACCAATGTGAGGTTTTCAAAAGGTAAATGGGTCGGAGTACTGAATTCCAAGGCCGATTCATCCACATCCTTTTCCTTTAAATATTGTCGGTCAACCTCATTTTCCTCCACATAGGTAGGTAGAATGAGTGACCGTATTGTAGTCACTTGATGGTTTTCTTGCTGTGGCTGAGATTTAAGATTGTGACTAAGAGCTTGCTCTTCTACTACAAGTCGCGAGGTGACTTCACGCAAACCTTGGAACAAAAGTTCGTTGGAAGCATGAAACTCATCCATCATATCTTTCACTTCGGATATTTCCTTTATGAAATTTTGATGTTCTTTGTCCATACGGTCAACATATGACCTTTCACCTATGTTAATATTATTTTGGTCGTTACAGCCAAAAATCTGATTAGCTTGGTGGAGGCCGTAACTAGGCTGATTATAAATATTGACCGAATTATTTTGTCCTCCGGCCACTTGATTGTACTGGCCATTATAACCATGTTGGCCATTCGCATAATTTTGATATATTATATTATTTTGGCCATGATTATTGTTTCCGCCATGTTGGCCATTGAATTGGCTACCAGAACCATATTGATATGTAGAATCGTATTGGCCGTCAAAGCCATTTTGATCATTCGAACCATTTTGGTTCATAACATCATATTCCCCAACATAGTTGTGCCCACCATATTGGCCGCCAAACTGACTACTTGAGCCATATTGGTTGTTAGGCCCGCCTTGATGGGTAAAACTATACTGCCCATAGTTTTGGTCGATGGATTGGCTATTCGAGCCATAAGAATAATAGTCGTTATAGTTCATCGGCTGATAGGAATGTTGCCATTCCTTTCGGTCGCTCATAGAGTGTGTCCCACCGGGCGTGCCAAATTATGTTACCCTCTTTTCGGCCGGGGCGGCCGACGGAAGGAACTTTTGGTCCTTCTTCTTTTTTGAGTGCGGGGCGTGCCACCACCAAGCCCCGAATTTGGGCTTGAATGGAATGTGAGTAGATGGATGTGTTGCGTCCGAGATCTGACTTTAATCAAACGATTGTTCGGCCGAGCAAGGAACCTCCTCACGGCCTAGGCTCTTTCACTACCTCAGAGTCAAGGCTTTATGTGAGCAACCAAATGATGTGGAGTGGGTGGAGATGAAGATTGAAGGTGAAATGTAATGAAACGAATAACACGTGCATAAAGTAAAGGGTGCTTGAATTTAAATATAATTGAAAGACAAGTGCGGAAAGTAAAGTGCGTAAAATAAAGAATGTAAAGACAAGTGCGGAAAGTAAAGTGCGTAAAATAAAGAATATAAAGGCAAGTGCGTAATTTAAAGTGCGTGAAATAAAGAATTTAAAGACGAGTCCGTAATGTAAATTGCGTAAATTAAATAATTGAAATGCGAGTGCGTAAAGTAAAGGGCGGAAAGTAAACTAGATTGCGAAGAACAGTAAAGAAACATGAATTGAAGTTACTGTAATTAAACTAGAATTGAAAAACAAGAACACGAATGTAAAGGCATAATTGAAATCTATGGAAACTAGAACGGGAAAAATAAGAACTAGGCTATGGTTACATTATGCTACTCCTAGGATAGAAATTGAAGAGAATGTAAAATGACAAGTTGTGTGTTGTGTCGGGGGTCCTTTCTCTCTTCCATAAGCTTGGTATTTATAGGGGCTTCGGTGCGTCCCAATTTGGTCGGTCGTCAATTGGCCTTCAAATCAATCATAATTGCTCTAGAATATCTTCAATCCCTTGCCTCATACCTGTGATTTAATATGAATAATATTTGATTTGATTTTCCTTCCATCTTGAGCTCTCCCTCAATAACTTCAATTGACCATCAAGCTGGCATAATTCCTTCCATATTTGAATTGTAACCTAAGAAAATCCTCCTACGGATTATCTCTCTCAGCATTGACTGATTTTATGTATTCGGCCGCTTTTAGTCTTCCGACCGTACCTACATTTTCGGCCGCATATAGGCTTTCAACCACTTTTATGCTCTTGACCACATTGATGTGTTCGGCCACATTGATGTTCTGCTACATTTATGATTTTGGGCTTCTATTCGGCTTTATTGATTAGGCCCACCGAAATATAGCTTGGGCTCACTATTAGTTTAATTGTCGGATCTCGGGCCTGACCCGGTTAAACTTCAACCAGGCTCAAACACTCTCCCCTCTGTAACTTCATTGGAAACAATCTGTCTCCAATCACAGACCATGTCAAAGTAAGTTTTGATGGAGCCTGGCTTGCTGTCTCGTGCTCAGAGGGTCTTGGAGTGTTCAGAAAGACTGCTGATGACCATTTTGGAGGACTTGCAGAAAAGAAAATGTATGCTCTGCTCTATGAGTTGAAGCAGAGGCGGCCCTGCTTGGTATTTCAATGGCACGGGACTTGGGAGATCGTAAAGTCATCTTCGAATCTGTCGTAAAGTCATCTTCTAATCTGACTCCCAAATCTTGATCAATAGTATTAATGGTAATGTGGGCAGCGGCGCTTGGACCATCCTTCCACTTCTCAGGGAAATCAGGAGAAGATCATCCCTCTCTGATTCTGTGGAGTGGCGATGGATCCCACGTAACGAAATCAAGCAGCTCACATGGCTGTGAAGATTGGATTGCAGACGGTGGGTGTAATACACTGGACTAATTGTCCACCACCTTCTATTGTTACGGTTCTAACTTCAGATGGACTTCCTGGGCCACCAATGTAATTTCTTGTTTTCTTTTTTTAAGTCTAGGTCTAGGAACTTCTTTTTGCACCAAGCTGGTTCTGGCTTACGTGTGTTCCTTCTCCTGTTGTTCCTTGTTTGTGACTTGCCTTTTGGCTTAATGAAGTATCTTTTCGATAAAAAAAAATTAAAAAAAAGAGAGAACAACATAATTTGCCGCAATCCCGCCGAACTTTTGTCGGAAAGATCAAAATTCACCAGGTATTTCCGGCGAAACTTTGTTGGAAAGGTCTATCCCGGCGAAATTTCTTGGAAAAGATAAAATTCGGCAAAGGTCTGTCTCTACGACATTTGCAAGAAAAGTCTCCAGGTGTCACTTTGTTAGGAAAGATCAAATTCACCTCGAAAGGTCTATCCTGGCAAATTTTGTTGGAAGAGATAAAATTCGCAGTGAAGGGTCTGTCCCGGCGAAATTCTAATTGGTAAAGATCAAAATTCGCCGCGAAGGGTCTATCTCTTTTTGCAGGAAAGAAACTTGAGGAATTAAGAGTGACCTGGTTTCAGTGTGTCCCTTGCATCCTGATGTATCTACAAGCAAGAAATTAAGTCGGATTGCTAGCACACTAGCCATGAATGAGCACAGGGTACAAGTTACAACTTCAAATTAATGATGAAAATTTTGCTGTAAATTATTAGGGGTTAATTAAACATCTCTTTCAAATTAATAAGAAGTCTTCTTAAAAAAAAAAACAAAACAAAAAAGAGTGAAGTGGCATACCAAACACTTCTACAAAATTGTTGATATGTTGTTCACCTTTCCCTTTAATAATTAAGGTTTGCACTTGACCATACGAGAAAAAGTTGAACCCTTGCTTTTAGATAACGTTTGCATGTCTAGTTTGGGGTCTAAAACTAAAAAAAATTATTATAGAGGGTCTCTCCTTTTTTTGTCTTTTCCCTTTATTCCAATCTTTCCATGTAATTTTGGGGGTCCATATTATATATTGGGCACTCTTCAGTCTCTCGTCAAAGTCATCAGCACCACACAACACACAGTGTTCACCAAACTCATTATGGTTGTGCTGAGTGGTTAATTGAGCAGTTTGGTAAGTTCCGGCTATAAATGATAAAACTCAATTAAACGTCATATATCAATACCTAGTGAACTATACGCAATATTGCCAATTAAAAAACTATCATCCATAAGAAACCTAGTTCACATCGTTTTGTTACACGTAGCCGACGTGGTTTCTATAAACCTCGTTGCCTTGTATTCATAACCGCTGTTGTTTGTGCGTTTAGTACGTCGTCCGTATTTTTGGAACCGACGTCGATTCCTATTTTTAAACTGCGTTAGTGTAATATAACCGACGTGGATATGATTTTTTTATTTTTTATAAATTGAGTTTTTTTTTCCACGATTTCTTTCAGTTTCAGTTTTCAATTAGGGTTCCAACTTCTTCTTGCCCTCTGTCTCACCTCTTAGGAGGCAATTATTTGGATGTTGGTGTGTGTGTATGTATGTTTGTGTATTTGATTCACAAACATACACACATCACCAACGTTCAAAAATTCTCTCTGAATGCAAATCTGTGGCTGCCGTCGTCAAATTTTAGGGGCAATTATTGGATGTTGATGTGTGTATGCATTTGTGTATCTGAAGACATGAACACACACACACATCATCAACTTCCAAAAAATTGCCTTTCTACATGCAAATCTCTAAAATATTGTCTTTCTGTGGTCCGATTATGATAAGAACAGAGTTCCATCTGCTAAGATTTCGTAACTCTTGGGATCTCAAATCTGATTATGCCTACTGTTTTCTATATAAACGTCATGGTTATTCTCAATTCTTGTCATTAAGTTGATGTACAGATGTAGGATAATAAATATTAAAAAAAATTTTTAAAAAAAATTACAATTAAGACGACGATTTTGACATAAGTCGGACGTATAAAGTGAATTAATACGACGGTAATTTTAACTTTACAGTGTAACTCTTGGATCTTAGAAAAATCTATTATGTTGGCGGTTTTCTATATAAACCAGCGTGGTTATTCTCAATTCTTGTCATTAAGCTGGTCTACCGTCGTAGGATACCAAAATCCAAGAAATGAATAGTAAAAAATTAAGTAATTAAGACGACCGTTTCGGTATAAGGGTGGACGTATAAAGCAAATAAATACGACGGTAATTTTAACTTCACGACATGGTAAACTTTATTATACGGTGTTAATTGAACAAACCATCGTGGTTAGAGTTAAAGATACCATCGTAGTATTGCGCAAGAATAAGTCGATAAATTTATCTTTGCCATCGTTGTATATTTATTTAAGATGACGGTATTTTGTAATATACCGCCGTGGATTCTCTTGAAATTTTGCGACGTCGGATACGAAAACTTGGTCATGGTTATTAAGGATTAAAAACGGCGGCTGTTTCTTTAAAACTATCATCTTTACTTTCTACGTTGGTTGGCTCATACCTTTTGCCGTTGTTGTGGGCTCAGAGTTTGCTTTGAGGAAACCCTTTTCAATAAGACGTCGCTTTTTAAAAACACCCATTGGAATCTCCATTTTTTGGGTGTTTAAATTAATCATACACGACGGTTTAAAACTGTCGTTTTTTCAAACACAACGACGGTTTTCCGTTAAACCGTCGTTTTTTTTTTGTCGTCTTTTTCACTTTTTGTAGTAGTGTTGGTAGGTTGGACTGGACTGAATATTTTCAGTTAAAAAGGACAAGAGTCCTAGTCATTATCTGGTGAGCTTAAAGTGTTTCTCGAACTAGATAAGTGCCTTGCATCTAAGTCGAATCTAGTCTTTCGTCCTAAGAATCTAGAAGTAATGAACATATTTTAGACCTAAGAATCTATGAGTCTAAAAAAACATCAAAACACCTTTAAAAAGTTTCAATTTGAACTAATTTTGGACTCCCAAATATAATTTAAAGATTTATATTGTACATGAAAAAAATGTACCTACCAATAGATTTTTAGGAAACATCTCCTTTAGAAGTAATGTACATATTTATTGAGAGTATGAGTTTTCAACTTTATAGTACTAACCAGATTCTAATATTTGTCACAATTCATCATGGTGTGCATAATTAGCCAATTAAAAAAAAGCTAGTAAACTTGGCACGATGTGTTTGGAGAAAGTCCAGAGACTTGTTCTCAGAAATGATGATCACTTGGTTGGTGAGAAGTCTGCATATAAGTGGCGCATAAGATGAAGACAAGACTTGACATCTAGGAGCAGGTCACTCGTCAAATCACTCAGCACACCCACAATACAAGTGTACACCAAACTATCATTGTTGTTGTGCTGAGTGGTTAATTGAGCAGTTTGGTAAGTTCCGGCTGTAAATGATAAAAACTCAATTAAACGTCAAATATCAAATACCTAGTGAATCTATACGCAATATTGCCAATTAAAAAACTATAATGCATAAGAAAACCTACTTTCACAGGGAATACAACATATACAAAAGCCAAGCAATGTTCCAAAATGAAGGTACCATTGTAATTATGGCCCAAAGATATCGTTTAGCTAAAAGACGAATCCTCTATCGTCCAGCAACTGTGGTATTAGACAAGCCATTTACTGATATAATTTGCAACTCCCTTCTACTTATACTTATATCAGACACAATAACATTTCTTATTGCGATGAATGCTGGCCTTGTAGGTAATGGCAATGAAATTGTTTCAGGGGTCAACATAGATACGACGTCAGACATGCAGGGCCGATCAGCTGCATTTTCTTCCACGCATAACAGACCAACATGGAAGCATCTTAACAATTGATCTTCAGTACATGAATCCTTTAGTGTTGGATCCATTATCTCTAGCCCCCTGCCTTCTTTCCATAACTCCCATGCCTGAAAAAATATTGCACTCATTTAATTAAGTTGTTGAAAGATTCATGATATATATGTTCACAACTCAAAAAGAAAATGTAATCGTAAATTTGATTTGTAAGACATACATATCCTACTATATTGAGCACGTGATCAGCATGTAGAAGCTACTATTTCTCCTACCACTAATGATTTCAAGCATTAACACCCCGAAACTATAAACGTCAGATTTTATCGAAAAATCCCCTCCATAGCGTACTCGGGAGACATGTAACCACTGTATCATAAAAACCAAATATATTTAGTATATGTTTGTAAGTACAGGTTTAGCAATGTCAAGTGGTGAAAGGCATAATAATTTATATATGATCTACTTACTATGTTCCAACAATCCTATTAGTACTTGCTTCAAGTTCATTATGTGTAAAAATTCTCGCCAAACCAAAATCAGAAATTTTGGGCTTCATATATTCATCAAGTAGTATGTTACTAGCTTTTAAATCTCTGTGAATTACTCTCATTCTTGAGTATTTATGCAAGTAAAGCAGTCCTTGAGCGATTCCTTCAATTATGTTGAACCGCTTCGTCCAATCTAGTAGCATCGCTCTGGTTGAATCTGTCCATGAAAATAGCTGGAAATGTCAGATTATTCGAATAGAAGAAATCAAGTAACTAAGATTAAAGTGATCGAGAATCCAATTGCCGACCGAATAAAAAGTAGTCCCAAACTTTGTTTGGCATGTAGGCATAGATTAACATCCTCTCTTCCCCATGAATGCAGAAGCCAAAAAGCTGAACGAGGTTTGTATGTGGAGTTCAGATATGAGTATCAATTCATTCTTAAACTCCAAAGTTCCTTGCCCTGAACATCTTGAAAGCCTCTTCACAGCGATTTCTTGTCCCGTCACAAGTTTTCCCTTCATTAATAATCCATAATATAGCACCAAGTAATCAGGTTTATATTTTTCAGTTATTAATACAAAGACACTCATTTTTATTTAAAACCTTAATTACCTTATAAACAGGTCCAAAGCCCCCCTGTCCGAGCTTGTTTTCTTCCGAGAAGTTAGTTGTGGCAGCCACGACAGATGCGTAGCTAATACTGTCAAATTATTTCCCAGCTTTCCATCATTTTGAAGCCCGTTGACATCGCCAGTGGATCTATCAGATTCCATCCATTCAAGCATTTCATTCTCAATCATCGGGTTGGTCTCCCCTGTTTAGATTAATGTTGTAAGAAAATTAAAATTTACAATTTCCAAAGCCTTCATAGATGTTTTAAAGAGTCTACCTGAAAATAGTTTCCCTCCTTAGTAGATAGCTCGAGATGCAAAGCACCATTACCATAGAGCAGCGCCAATCCATATCCACTTATGTGCTGCACATAGTAACCACAATGTGAAGAGATAATTCTTCAATATTCATTGTAGACATGTATATATATACTTATGTAAATGTGCCTGAAATTTATTCTCGTTACACTTTGCCTTTCACGGGTGAAGAGCACATCTGCAAGTGAGCCGTTGCTCATGTACTCATACACCAAAAGCTTTTTAGCTCCGTCAAGGCAATACCCAAGTAAACGGACTAGATTCTTGTGATGGGTTTTCCCAATAACTCTGATCTCAGTCTGAAATTCTGTTTCCCCTTCGGCTGCAACTTTCTCTAGTCTTTTCTTTTGACAGCAACTGGCTTTTGGCTACCCAAAATCAGCCCTTTATGAACTGTTGACGAGGCTCCTCTACCAAGCTCTTCCTTGAAATTATTAGTCATCTTTTCTAGCTCTTCATAAGCATATCGTCGCGGAGCCACACTCTCATTCAATTCAAGGTCACCATTCACAGCACTCATTCTTATATACGCCCAGACATTGTGTTTCCACAACACAATCACGGAAATCAACAACAAAATGGATCAAAGCAGTAAATGAAAGACCAATAATGAGGATGTCAGTTCTACCTTTTTTCTTGCTTCCTGGTTGAACGATTCTAGGATCTGTATCTGGTTTTGTAGGTACACCTACCTTGATGAGAGCTCTGTCTGAAGTTCCATTGTCTCTTCTACCATATCTCAAAGGAAGCCTCCGCTTGCTGCAGGTTGTACCGTCAAAAAACACAGCTTCACAGTCACAATCCTTCAGACAGACTTGTATGCAATCGTCTTTGTCGGATAATCTCAAATTCATATACGAAGCATCTTCCCATGTTGTGCTTTCCAGCTCTTCCATGGTGTAAGTGAAATTCTCATTCCTGTTGTTGCACGCATCCGCAACAAAATTTCTCTCGCACCCGGATGTCTGATTTCCCGGGTTGACAGATTCGAATCTCGGAAGACATTTACAGTCAGGCTCTAGATCAATTAAGACACAATAGCTATTCAATCCGCATAGGCCTTTAGCAACACACTTATCCTTGGAAGACTCCCACTCAACTGACCAAATTGCATTCTTTTTCAAATCATGTGAATACAAACGAAATATCCCACCTACATCAATTCTCATAAGATAAAGTTTTCCTTCATCAGTAGGAAGACCTCCATCTGTTATATTCCGAATATTCGAACCATTCCCGTTGAGCAAGTAGAGATGGCCATCAGCACCAAAATTAAGTGTCACATTCTCTCCCTCGCGATCAGTGAAAGATGAATAAAACGAATAAACACTGGTGTCTGGAGTATCTACAGGGTACTGAACAAGGTTTCCATCATTTTGCATTTTGAGACGGAAAATCCCCGTTGAGTGATCAGCTTCTGATTTCGCAGAGAAAAGTTCGTTTCCTGGTAAAAGGCGTTGACCGGGCAAAAGGGTGTCGGTTGGATGATCAAAGCTCTGCCATACTATTTCCCGACCAGAGTTGTACAGCACAAAATTACCCGAATCAAGCGTGGAAGCATAAGAAGCGGAGCCAGAAGATTTTACGAAGTAATTTTGGCCTTCTGCTGTTAGCAAGGTAAGGCCGTCACCTGTGAAGAGCAAGGTGGCATTGTTGGAGACTGGTGGATCATCTCGATTCGCAGTCCACACGACTGTCTTTTCAGGAAGTCCAGCAAGAAATATCCCAACAGCATAGCCATTGCCTTGCTTGTAAAATCCAAAGGCATATAGACCAGAACGTGACAGCCATGTGGAGTTGGTGGTTGGTGTTAAAGAAGAGCCTCGGCTTATATTCGACTGCATCTGTTGTGCTTCAGCAGCAACAAATGCCAAGGCAAGAAGAAGGCATGCCATGCAAGCCATCGAAAAATGATCTCAGTGTGACTTGTCTTCCTCTTTGTTCTTTTTTTTTTCCCTTCTGCAGCACTCCAGAAAATTGTTTCCAATGCAGTATGAAGTTCTAATTCTGAATTTCTGTTTAATTTAAGGTGGATGGTGTAAATGAATTCTTACGTGTTTCTTCTCTCTCTGTGGAGTAGTTCACCACCCATATGTAATTACTTTACCATAAGAAGATTCAAAGGAGAGATACAGTAAGTGCCAGTCCGGTCGAAAGTGATGAAATACCTGTCATGCGTTGACGGAGACTTTTGAGTCCATGTAATTAACCGGCACCTTCTACGGTGCCCCTGGCGTACCGATTCACCCAGATTTTTTTTTTAAAATGAAACATGTTGTTAAAGTTGCCGGTTAAACCAATCAAATTTTAAAACTTTATATAAATCCAATCAACCAAATTGTTTTTTTTTATTAACTTGTAACCAAAAACAATAATAACTACAAATTTGTTGGGTATAAAATAATTATGTTGATTATCCGGAAATTTAAAGAAAACTAAAAGAACTTAAGACAAACAAATAGAACGTCACTGCAACTGTTCACAGTCCCACGGTGTTGTGGTTTTCTTTTTTTTTCATTTTTTTTTTTTATAAAAAAATTAAGAATATTGAAAATTTTAAAACAAGCTTTATAATGGACACAAAAAACAAAAATTTTTTTTATTTATTTTTAATTTTTTTAAAAAAGAAGCCCTTTTTTTGTGCTGTTTTTTTTTTTTTTGTTTTTGGGGGGGCTTTTACTTTATACCTATCCATAATATTGTAAACCCACATTTATAACCATTTTTTGAATCCACATTACAAATAGTTGGGTGGACCTTAAGCATGTATTAGGTCATTATTTTGGTAAAGATAAAGTTTACATTAATTAAGGGCCGATTTTTTACAAAGTTTCGATACGAGGGTACCATATTGGAAAAAAAGATCGATAAGGATGTAAATTAAGTCATTTTCTAGTAAATGAGGGTTTACAAGATTAAGGACCAATTTTACAATTTTGGGATACGAAGGTACCATAACTTGTAAGGAGGATCTATAAACATGTAAATTACACGATTTGGGTAGTGATTTATAGGTTTTTGCACCACAATTACAACATTAGGATTCTCATAATCCTTAATGTTGTAAATCCTTATTTTACAAGGATATGGATCCACATTACAAAGAATTGGTAAGTGCAAACCATGAGGATGTAAATTAGGTTCTTATTCTAGTAAAATGAGAATTTACAAGATTAAGGGCTGGTTTTACAATTTTGGGATACGAGGGTACCATAACGTTGTAAAGAGGATCCATAAACATGTAGATTACACGATTTGGATAGTGATTTACAAGTTTTTGCACCACGATTACAACATTAGGGTTCTCATAATCCTTAACGTTGTAAATCCTTATTTTACAAGAATATGGATCCAAATTACAAAGAATAGGTAAGTCCGGACCATGAGGATATAAATTGGAGGCCTTATTCTAGTAAAATGAGGGTTTACAAGATTAAGGCCCGATTTTACAATTTTGGGATACGAGAGTACCAAAATGTTGTAAAAAAAAATCCCTAAACTCGAAACTTACAAGTTTTTTCAAGGTTTTGCTCATAGATTACAACGTTAGGGTTCACCGAATCCATAATATTGTAAATCATTTGTTTACAAGGACATCCACATTATAAGAAATTGGTAATAGTGGACCTTAGCGATGTAAAATGGGTCATTATTCTAGTAAAAAATGATTTACAAGATTAAGGACTAGGGGTACCATAACGTCGTAAAGGGAATCCCTAAACTCATAACTTACAAGTTTTTGGTAACAATTTACAAGGTTTTGCTCCTGGATTACAACGTTATTGTTCACCAAATCCATAATGTTGTGATCATCATTTTACAAGGATATCCACATTACAAGGAATTGGTAATGGTGGACCTTTGGGATGTAAAAGGGTCATTATTCTAGTAAGAAATGGTTTACAAAATTAAGGAGCAGGGGTACCTTAACGTCATAAAGAGAATCCCTAAACTCGTAACTTACATGTTTTTGGTACCAATTTACAAGATTTTGCAATGGTCAGGACTTGAAATTTACAAAACGTGGCCTTTATTCTAGTAAACACAAAATTTTACAACAGTCAGGATGGATGTTACAATGTTTTGATATAATAATACCATAATGTCGTAAACTGGATCTCTAAACTGTAAGTTATAAGATTGTACTTAAAATGCAATTGCATATCGGTATGCAATTAGATGCTCCCTGATTGTCAATTACACGCTCCTTGTTTGTCAAGTACTCAAATAATATTGTAATAGTCTAATTTACAATGAAAATGATATCGATGACAATATTAAGGTTTGGTTAGACCTTAAACAAGTAAAATTGTTCGTTATTCTTGTAAAAACTAGAATTTACAACATTATGACTCATGTTATAGTTTTTGGGACCTTAGAGTTCCATAAGATTGTAAAGGTTATCCCTAAGCTTGTAAAAATAATGGTTTACAACCTTAAGGAATCATATTAAAATGTTTGGCACATGAGAGTTCTCTAACATTTTAAATTTGATCCATAATCTTGTAATAACAGAGGTTTACAACATTAAGGACTCGGTTTACAGTTTTTGGGACCTTAGGGTTCCATACAATTGTAAAAGTTATCCCTAAGCTTGTAAAAACAATGGTTTACAACCTCAAGGAATCATATTAAAATGTTTGTCACATGAGAGTTCTCTAAGATTTTAAATTTTATCCATAATCTTGTAATAACATGGGTTTACAATATCAAGGACTTATATTACATGTTTGGCACCTAAATGTTCTGTCACATTGTAAAGTCTATCCTTGATATTGTAGATTACAAGATTTGGGTTCGAATTTATGAGCTTTTGTACCGTAATTACAAGAATAAGATTTACTCTAATCCACAATACTGTAATAACCTAATTTACAATGAAAATGATATCGATTACAACATAAGGTTTGGTTGGACCTTAAAAAAGTAAAATTGTTCTTAGTTTTTGTAAAAACTAGGATTGATAACATTAATTCATGTTTCAGTTTTTGGGACCTGAGAGTTCCATAACATTGTAAAGGTTATCCATATGCTTGTAAAACCATTTGTTTACAACCTTAAGGAATCATATTAAAATGTTTGGCATATAGACGTTGCATAACATTTTAAAGCCTATCTTTAATCTTATAGATTATAAAATTTGGGTTCGAATTTACGAGCTTTTGCACCGTAATTACAATGTCAATGACCATGGCAATTGATGGATAAACGAATTGGCAATTGATGGGTACCGAATTGCCAATTAATGGGTATGATTTGCCAATGGATAAGTATTGATTTGGCAATTGATATGAATCCATTTGGCAATTGGAGTGTAACATATTTTAATATTTAATAAACCTTTTTACCTTTTTACCTTTTTACCTCTAATACCAGGTTTCCCAATTTTCCATACCAAAGGTGTAGATTAGTCCATATCCCACTAGTCTCAATCCAAGGGCACATATCCTTTTGTGTACCCATACACCAAAGGATTGTAGAATTTTCTGTAATTAACCAGATAGGCTGAGATTTCGTTGTCAACATGAATTTTCAGAATTGATATTATGATCTGAAGAATTAATTTTATAATTAAGTCAACAAATTGACATCACTTACGTGTACAAAAGATGCACCAAATTTTCCATTAAATTTTTTGTTCAAATTGTTTATTAACTTTATTGTCAGATTGTTTAACTTTCTCCTAAATTTTTCACTAATGGTAGGTCCCAGAATTTGTGAACTTGACGTCGTCGCATAACACCACTTCTAATTTGAATTAATCTTAATTTTCAGCAAAATTACGAATTTGGCCTTAATCTAACTGAAAAGTGGATGGCGTTCTTAAGAATCTGACTGTAGGCCCTCAATTGGTAATTTTAAAATAGTTGGAGTTCTTAATTTATCGAAAAACTTATTAAGAAACTAAATTGACAATATGAAAATGATGCAGAAAACCCTTGATTTTATGAAGATGATGCAGACGGACGAGGCACTTTGGAATTGTTCTCTAATACCCTATCATGTAATTTTCACGGAAGAAGATCAGCTAAGGCATCATCACAAAAGAAACTTTACATTCTCATTCAAGATGGCTATTGACCAGTTTAGCCTGTAGAAGTCCTTGCTTCGTACCGATGGCTTCTAGTTCCAAAACCATCGCATACGTTATAGTATACTAATGGAACGTGCTACTCAAACATTCCTTGAGTCCACTCTTGTTACCCAAAAAAAATATAAAATAAAAAAATCCTTGAGTTGTTACGAATAACAAATCAGTAGCAGCATGACCAGAATACAGACATGCCTCAGCATTTAGATTAAAACAATCTAGACTAGGTGGTTTCCATAATTCTTGTACAAGAAGATTGTTATCGTTTTTTCGCACCAGTTCAACTATTTTTTTTTTTTTTTTCTAAATAAAAGGGAGCTAAAGAGGACCAATAAGAACAAATCCAATGTACTAAATTTATATTAACTAAGGTGGGGAACGTAAGAATGTGCCTTACCTGTTGAGAAAAAGTACAATCACGAAAAGTTAGGAGAGACTTTCTAGATCAGTATTACCGATGGAAGACCTAGAATAGACTGATGACGAGCAAACGTGCCCAATTTTTAAGTTTTTTCAGAAGGAATGACGATGCAAAACCTAGATTTTATCATTTCACGAGGAAACTTAAGTTTCCAAATATTATAGAAATAAGAGGCTAAGGGCACTGCATTCATGCTTGTTTACGAGACGAAGGAAAAGATAGAACATCTGTAACAAGGGCAAGAAATACAAGTACGAACACAACTCATAATTCATATAATGTAATGTACTCGCTGTGGTATAAGTGTATTAAAAGATTCATTTACAAACAAGTAGTCATTTGTGTGTAGACAGCGCAAACAATGCCAGTTTTGAAGTACCTGAACAAGACAATTTCCAATAAACACAAGTGACTCGGTTAGCTGCTACAGTACAATGAAGCTTCACGTCTCATTCAAGGATCAAATTCATCTCACTCTTTTAGGTGGACTTCGAAGCTTTGTCCAGGATGTCAAAAACACTTTGTAGAGTCATCTCCTCCACAATAACAACCTTGTCTCTTGATTTGGAGCCAGAACCAATAGAAACCTGCCTTATTTTTACCCCTAAAACCTGTAATTTGGGAAGAATGAGAATTTGAAGTTTCCAAGCATAAACATTAATGGTTGAGTAGACCAAATAAACTGAGGGGTTAAGACCTCAAAACAAAATTGATAAATTTGGTGCATGCAACTCAAAACCATTTGGCAATGGGTGTAGAGGCCTTAGGATTTCTATAGTAAGATGCACGGCTTAGAATGCCCAATATGAAACTTTATATTCTGTATAGGCCCTCAAAACTTTATATTCTATAGTAAGATGCACGGCTAAAATAGTGTTAGAAAACTATGCTACATTTCACTCATAATAATACAAATTAGACCCTCAAAAGTATAGGCCTCATTCTGTACCCATCATTTAAAGTGAAATTAATCTTCCCTTCGAACTTTCTCAAGAATCTGTTCTGTCACAAATCCTTTGCCAACCCTGCCACAAAGTTACTGTGCCACCTTATCTTGCCAACTTATAAACAAATGACTTTAGAATGTATTTAAATGTAGTTAATAGTCATAGACGAGTAACTGAAAAATGATAACAAAAATATCTCTAGAAACAATACCAGCTGAAGTATATAATCTACCCAACATGCAAATCAGTGTTTGACCAAATAATCTATCAAAGCTATTCTTTCTTACTAGCTAACTGCGGTGTAGATAGGATGGACGGGGGAGAAAGAAGAAATCCACCCTTCACACTCTGCACTGTGGCTATTCTTGGCCACACACCACATCATATGCACTGTGGTAAGAAGAGCTCACATCCACCACTTGTGCCTTTCCACAAGCTCATCCCTTGTGCCTTTCCACAAGCTTATACAAAAGCCAAGCAATATTGTTCCAAAATGAAGGTACCATTGTAATTATGGCCCAAAGATATCGTTTAGCTAATAAACGAATCCTCTATCGTCCAGCAACTGTGGTATTAGACAAGCCATTTACTGATATAATTTGCAACTCCCTTCTACTTATACTTATATCAGACACAATAACATTTCTTATTGCGATGAATGCTGGCCTTGTAGGTAATGGCAATGAAATTGTTTCAGTGGTCAACATAGATACGACGTCAGACATGCAGGGCCGATCAGCTGCATTTTCTTCCACGCATAACAGACCAACATGGAAGCATCTTAACAATTGATCTTCAGTACATGAATCCTTTAGTGTTGGATCCATTATCTCTAGCCCCCTGCCTTCTTTCCATAACTCCCATGCCTGAAAAAATATTGCACTCATTTAATTAAGTTGTTGAAAGATTCATGATATATATGTTCACAACTCAAAAAAGAAAATGTTAATCGTAAATTTGATTTGTAAGACATACATATCCTACTATATTGAGCACGTGATCAGCAATGTAGAAGCTACTATTTCTCCTACCACTCATGATTTCAAGCATTAACACCCCGAAACTATAGACGTCAGATTTAATCGAAAAAATCCCCTCCATAGCGTACTCGGGAGACATGTAACCACTGTATCATACAAAAACCAAATATATTTAGTATATATTTGTAAGTACTGATTTAGCAATGTCAAAGTAAAGGCATAATAATTTATAATGTATGATCCACTTACTATGTTCCAACAATCCTATTAGTACTTGCTTCAAGTTCATTATGTGTAAAAATTCTCGCCAAACCAAAATCAGAAATTTTGGGCTTCATATATTCATCAAGTAGTATGTTACTAGCTTTTAAATCTCTGTGAATTACTCTCATTCTTGAGTATTTATGCAAGTAAAGCATTCCTTGAGCGATTCCTTCAATTATGTTGAACCGCTTCGTCCAATCTAGTAGCATCGCTCTGGTTGAATCTGTCCATGAAAATAGCTGGAAATGTCAGATTATTCGAATAGAAGAAATCAAGTAACTAAGATTGAAGTGATCGAGAATCTCAATTGCCGACCGAATAAAAAGTAGTCCAAACTTTTGTTTGGCATGTAGGCATAGATTAACATCCTCTCTTCCCCATGAATGCAGAAGCCAAAAAGCTGAACGAGGTTTGTATGTTGGAGTTCAGATATGAGTATCAATTCATTCTTAAACTCCAAAGTTCCTTGCCCTGAACATCTTGAAAGCCTCTTCACAGCGATTTCTTGTCCCGTCACAAGTTTTCCCTTCATTAATAATCCATAATATAGCACCACGTAATCAGGTTTATATTTTTCAGTTATTAATACAAAGACACTCATTTTTATTCAAAACATTAATTACCTTATAAACAGGTCCAAAGCCCCCCTGTCCGAGCTTGTTTTCTTCAGAGAAGTTAGTTGTGGCAGCCACGACAGATGCGTAGCTAAACACTGTCAAATTATTTCCAAGCTTTCCGTCATTTTGAAGCCCGTTGACATCGCCAGTGGATCTATCAATCATCGGGTTGATCTCCCCTGTTTAGATTAATGTTTTAAGAAAATCAAAATTTACAATTTCCAAAGCCTTCATAGATGTTTAAAGAGTCTACCTGAAAATAGTTTCCTCCTTAGTAGATAGCTCGAGATGCAAAGCACTGTTACCAATAGAGCAGCGCCAATCCATATCCACTTATGTGCTGCACATAGTAACACAAATGTGAAGAGATAATTCTTCAATATTCATTGTAGACATGTATATATATAAATATACTTATGTAAATGTGCCTGAAATTTATTCTCGTTACACTTTGCCTTTCACGGGTGAAGAGCACATCTGCAAGTGAGCCGTTGCTCATGTACTCATACACCAAAAGCTTTTTAGCTCCGTCAAGGCAATACCCAAGTAAACGGACTAGATTCTTGTGATGGGTTTTCCCAATAACTCTGATCTCAGTCTGAAATTCTGTTTCCCCTTCGGCTGCAACTTTTTCTAGTCTTTTCTTTTGACAGCAACTGGTCCAAAATCAGCCCTTTATAAACTGTTGACGAGGCTCCTCTACCAAGCTCTTCCTTGAAATTATTAGTCATCTTTTTATGCCCAGACATTGTGTTTCCACAACACAATCACGGAAATCAACAACAAAATGGATCAAAGCAGTAAATGAAAGACCAATAATGAGGATGTCAGTTCTACCTTTTTTCTTCCTTCCTGGTTGAACAATTCTACGATCTGTATCTGGTTTTGTAGGTACACCTACCTTGACGAAAGCTCTGTCTGAAGTTCCATTGTCTCTTCTACCATATCTCAAAGGAAGCCTCCGCTTTCTGCAGTTTGTACCGTCAAAAAACACAGCTTCACAGTCACAATCCACCAGACAGCCTTGTATGCAATCGTCTTTGTCGGATAATCTCAAACTCATATACGAAATATCTTCCCACGTTGTGCTTTCCAGCTCTTCCATGGTGTAAGTGAAATTCTCATTCCTGTTTTTGCACGCATCCGCAACAAAGTTTCTCTCGCACCCGGATGTCTGATTTCCCTGGTTGACAGATTCGAATCTCGGAAGACATCTACAGTCAGGCTCTAGATCAATTAAGACACAATAGCTATTCAATCCGCATAGGCCTTTAGGAACACACTTATCCTTGGAAGACTCCCACTCAACTGACCAAATTGCATTCTTTTTCAAATCATGTGAATACAAACGAAATATCCCACCTACATCAATTCTCATAAGATAAAGTTTTCCTTCATCAGTAGGAAGACCTCCATCGGTTATATTCCGAATATTCGTACCATTCCTGTTGAGCAAGTAGAGATGGCCATCAGCACCAAAATTAAGTGTCACATTCTCTCCCTCGCCACCAGTGTGAGATGAATAAAAAGCATAAATACTGGTGTCTGCAGTATCTGCAGGGTACTGAACAAGGTTTCCATCATTTTGCATTTTGAGACGGAAAATCCCCGTTGAGTGATCAGCTTCTGATTTCGCAGAGAAAAGTTCGTTTCCTGATAAAAGGCGTTGACCAGGCAAAAGGGTGTCGGTTGGATGATCAAAGCTCTGCCATACTATTTCCCGACCAGAGTTGTACAGCACGAAATTACCCGAATCAAGCATGGAAGCATAAGAAGCAGAACCAGAAGATTTTACCAAGTAATTTTGGCCTTCTGCTGTTGGCAAGGCAAGGCCGTCACCCGTGAAGAGCAAGGTGGCATTGTTGGAGACTGGTGGATCATCTTGATTCGTAGTCCACACGACTGTCTTTTGGGGAATTCCAGCAAGAAATATCCCAACAGCATAGCCATTGCCTTGCCTGTAAAATCCAAAGGCATATAGACCAGAACGTGACAGCCATGTGGAGTTGGTTGTTGGTGTTAAAGAAGAGCCTCGGCTTATATTCGACTGCATCTGTTGTGCTTCAGCAGCAACAAATGCCAAGGCAAAAAGAAGGCATGCCATGCAAGCCATCGAAAAATGATCTGAGTGTGACTTGTCTTCCTCTTTGTTCTTTTTTTTTCCCCCTTCTGCAGCACTCCAGAAAAATGGTTCCAATGCTGTATGAAGTTCTAATTCTGAATTTCTATTTAATTTAAGGTGGATGGTGTAAATGAATTCGTACGTGTTTCTTCTCTCTCTGTGGAGTAGTTCACCACCCATATATAATTTACTTTACCATAAGAAGATTCAAAGGAGAGATACAATAAGTCCTAGTCCGGTCGAAAGTGATGGAATACTTGTCATGCGTTGGCGGAGACTTTTGAGTCCATGTAATTTCTTGTAATTAACTAGACACAGACTGAGATTTCGTTGTCAACATGAATTTTCAGAACTGATATTATAATCTGAAGAATTAATTTTATAATAAAGTCAGAAAATTGACATCACTTACGTGTCCAAAAGATGCACCTAATTTTCCATTAAATTTTTTGTTCAAATTGTTTATTAACTTTATCGTTAGATTGTTTAACTTTCTCCTAAATTTGTCGCTAAGAGTACTTCTAGCAGTTTGCCGTTGGTGGCTGCCCTTGCAAAAAGCAATATGTGTTTCCAGTAGTTGCCCTTAGCCATGGCAAATACTATTCATTTTTTTGTTTTTTTCACAAATTTTTTTACCTAAACAATTAATTTGGATAAGATTTTCTATAAGATTTTTGAGTTCCTACGTGTCAATACTATTCATATCTCATAATCTGATAAAATTTTCACTTTCAAAGTTCAGATAAATTTAAAAAAAAATTGTATGGTATTTATAGAAAAAAATTCATTAATTTTTTTGGTATTTTTTTCAGTATTTTATTGTAAAAAAATTGGCTACCGTTGGATTTGAGGAAAAAATCCGATTGGAGAGCCCAGACGACGCCACGTGGCAACAGTAAAAAAATTCAAATGAGTGGGCTGACGCCAGCTTGGCATCAACGATGACATCAGTCCAAAACTCGAGTTTGCACTCGGGCTGAACTCCCCCTCGGGCCAGCCCAGGCTCGTGGCCCCCACCTCCTGCCCAAGCAAGCCTTTGTTGCTGGAAACGTGATTTGGGCTCAAAACACCCCCAGCCCGCCCCCTGCCTTCTCTGCTAGAACTTCTCTAATGGTACGTCCCAAAATTTGTGAACTTGACTTTGTAGACTTTTCCAATCAGATGTAAGTAAAACTAGTTAAGTCATTTTCTTCAGGCAATGAATTGGTCCAAATCAAACCCTTCAGGTGCATTTTTCTTCTTTGATTTTAGGATTTTTTTTTACAGTTTTGCACCTTGAACTATTTGTATATTTTCAATTTAACTCCTTAATAAAATTTTCGATAAATTAAGGACTCCAATTGTTTTAAATTGCCAATTGAGGGCCTACCGTCAATTTTTTCAAATTTTAAGGGTAAATTCGTTATTTTAAAAAAATTTAAATTTTTTTTAAAAAAACCTTACCTCCTAAAATTAAACATTAAAATTTTTTTTTATTTAAAATAAGCATTTAAAATTTAAAGAAAAGAAATATTTAACATTTTAAATCAATCAACCTTGACCTCCCCCTTCCCTCTAGGGATGGCAAAAATCCCCGCGGGGAAGGTTCCCCTTTGGGTCCCCGACCCTAATGGAGGGAGATTTCGGAGCCAAATGGGTATCGGGTACGAGGATCTCCGAACTTGAAAAATCCCCGACAGGTTTGGGGAGGAGATGGTATTGGCGTCTCTGTCCCTGAACCCGACCCAAAAATATATATGTTTGTATTTAAATAAATAAATATATAAGTATAATATTTATGTTTAACCTTAAGTTAATTTCCCTCTCCTAATTCTTCCTAATCTTCTCTGGAATTTCATATTGATGTGATTTTGAATAGTTGAGTTGAACTTTATAGTTAATTTGAATGTGTTGAATGATAATTTAATATGAAACTTAATGTTAAAATGTATGATAAATATTTTTTATGCAAAAAAAAAAGGGGATTCTGGGGGGTATGGGGGGTAGTCCCCCGTTGCCATCCCTACTTCCCTCCCCCATCCTTCCTCTTCCGTCTCCCCTCTCTTCCTCCCCTTCCCCTCCTTCCTCTTCCATCTCCCCCACCCTCCACCTCTGATCTCTCTGTCCCCGCCCTCCCCTTCCCCTGCTCCCAATACCAAACCCAGCCGCCCAAATCTCTCCACTCCACTCCCCGAACTCGGTGGCTTCTAACCAATTCATGCAGAACCCAAAAATCGACGAGGTCTCAAGATTAGGCTCAACCTATTTGAAAACGAGCCTTATGCTTTGGATGATGGGTCTATGGAGGCTGTTGGGTTTGAAAATCATGAAAAGCCAGCATCTTTCGCAACCAGCATAAACAAAATCCATTTTCCTCCATTGTTAACCTTTGTGTTGGGATTAGGCAAGCCAAGAAAGGATTAGATCCGGAATCTCCATTGCTTTAGGATTCGAGATTAACCACAAAGCAGCCACGACCTCTTCCCTTCTTAGCCTCTCTTCGACACAATGTAGCCCCAACCCTTGACGTCGTCGCATAACACAACTTCTAATTTGGATTAATCTAAATTTTCAGCAAAATTACGAATTTGGCCTTAATCTAATGGAAAAGTGGATGGCATTCTTAAGACTCTGTCTGTAGGCCCTCAATTGGTGATTTTAAAATAGTTGGAGTTCTTAATTTATGGAAAAGCCTATTAAGAAACTAAATTGACAATATGAAAATAGTTAAGGGGCAAAACTGCAGAAAACCCTTGATTTTATGAAGATGATGCAGACGGATAAGGCACTTTGGACTTGTTCTCTAATACCCTACCACGTAATTTTCACGTAATTTTCCCTGTAGAAGTCCTTGCTTCGTACTGATGACTTCTAGTTCCAAAACCATCGCATCATCACAAAAGAAACTTTACAATCTCATTCAACATGGCTACTGATCAGTTTAGCCTATAGAAGTCCTTGCTTAGTCCCGATGACTTCTAGTTCCAAAACCATCGCATATTATACTAATGGAACCGGCTACTCAAACATTCCTTGAGTTCACTCTTGTTACCCAAAAATAAAATAAAATAATAATAATAATAATAAAATAAATCCTTGAGTCGTTACGAATAACAAATCAGTAGCAGCATGACCAGAATACAGACATGCCTCAACATTTAGATTAAAACAATCTATACTAGGTGGTTTCCATACAATTCTTGCACAAGAAGAATGTTATCGTTTTTTTTGGCACCAGTTCAACTATTTTTTTTCCAAAATAAAAGGGAGCTAAAGAGGAGCAATAAGAACAAATCCAATGTACTAAATTTATATTAACTAAGGTGGGGAACGTAAGAATGTGCCTTACATGTTGAGAAAAAATACAATCACGAAAAGTTAGGAGCGACTTTCTGGATCAGTATTACAGAGGGAAGACCCAGAATAGACTGATGATGAGCAAACGTGCCCGATTTTTAAGTTTTTTCAAAAGGAATGACGATGCAAAACCTAGATTTTATCATTTCAGGAGGAAACTTAAGTTTCCACATATTATAGAAATAAGAGGCTAAGGGCACTGCATTCATGCTTGTTTACGAGACGAAGGAAAAGATAGAACATCTGTTACAAGGGCAAGAAATACAAGTATGAACACAACTCATAATTCATATAATGTAATGTACTCGCTGTGGTATAAGTGTATTAAAAGATGCATTTACAAACAAGTAGTCATTTGTGTGTAGACAGCGCAAACAATGCCAGTTTTGAAGTACCTGGAACATCAACAAGACAATTTCCAATAAACACAAGTGACTCGATTAGCTGCTACAGTACAATGAAGCTTCAAGTCTCATTCAAGGATCAAATTCATCTCTCACTCTATTAGGTGGACTTCGAAGCTTTGTCCAGGATGTCACGTGTGCCCATGATATGGAGTTGAGTATAGCTAGTCGCGGCGGAAAGCATGAACCCGTCATGGAGCAAAGAAAGGAGAAAGTCTTTGGACAAAAGAAGATAAGCCCGTCAAGAAGCCTACCAAGGAAGCAATGACAATAAACACTGTCCCCGTCAAAATCTCCACCCGATATAAGAAGAAAGAAGTCAAAAGGATGGAGCCATCTCGAGAGGTGGATAAACGTCGACGCACTTTGAAGGAGTTAGAGGAAAAAACGTACCCCTTCCCTGACTCCGATGTTGCAGGTATGCTTGAGGACTTGCTTGAAAAGAAGGTGATCGAATTGCCAGAATGTAAGCTACCTGAGGAGATGAGCCGAGTAAACAACCCTAAGTTCTGCAAATACCACCGAATTGTCAGTCATCCGGTAGAGAAGTGCTTCGTGCTGAAGGAGCTAATTATGAACTTAGCCAGGCAAGGAAGGATTGAGTTAGATGTTGACAAAATTGCATATGCGAATGTCGCCACAATTGTGTTTGGATCCTTCGACCCAGTGCCATTGCCCGTATTGTGAAAAAGATAAGAGTTTCAAGCAACAAGGGACCAACACCAGGTGACTAATTTTTGTACAAATGAGGTGGCTAGCGAACCAAAAAATCGAAGAGCTGATGGCTTTGTTGGTGACTCATCTTTTGATGACAATAAAGGATGGACGCTCGTTACTCGGCGGAAGTCTCGTACAAAGCGCATTCCCCAAAGACAAAATACTTAATCAAAGAGGGGGCGACGAAAGAGGAGTTCGTACAAACGCTCTAAAAGCAAAACCAGAATAATGGTGAGGAGAGATTCTGACCAAGAAAGTGGACCACTAACCCAAGAACCACGAATTCCAATTACGCTAGGAGAATACTTTCCCAAAGTGTTCTTCGTAAGAGGACCAACGGAGACTGTTCATATGACAACTTGCTATCAAGTAGATGACGAAGGTGTCTCGGAAGGAAGATCTGAAACTCATGAAGAGCAAAAGGTCTTGACGCAACCATCGCACTTCAATATTGAGGAAAAGGTGGAACTTCCTGAAGCAATACGCGTAGCATTGGTAAAGGCGTTGATGGATCTTAATATTCATCCAAATAGAATAAGAGAGGCCGAAAAATTAGAACATGAGTCTCAAAACCGTGCTATCTGTTGCGCGACATGTGCTTCCATCACATTCACCGATGAAGATCTTTTGTTAGGTTCCAAACCACACAACCGTTTGCTTTTCGTGTCCGGGTATGTGCGAAACAGAAACTTAGTCGCATGCTCATGGATGGAGGTTCAACAATAAACATAATGCCTAAGTCCACAATGACAAAGTTAGGCATCACCATAGACGAATTGTCTCGAAGTCATCTCATGATTCAAGACTTCAATCAAGGGGGGTAAAGAGCGATGGGCATGATCAGAATTGAGCTCGTGATAGGTGATTTAAGGTCCAACACCTTATTTCGCGTGATTGATGCCAAGACTTCCTACAATCTTCTCTTAGGAAGGCCGTGGGTTCATGAAAATGGGATAGTGCCTTCAACTTTTCATCAATGTTTCAAATTTTACAGAGGTGGAGTAAAGAAAATCTTGGGTGATGTCAAACCATTTACCGAAGCAGAGTCTTATTTCGCCAATGCCAAGTTTTACATGGATGAAGACATGGTATCTGAAGTTATTCCCGTTGAGGTCCCCTCGACAGGCAAGGCCATACCAAGAAAAGATGAGCAATCAAAATGCCTTTCCACTTAAAAGAATGGCGATAATAAGTCAAAAAGCAATGCCTTTGGACAAATGGGATCACCATCGATAGATTCAGAGAATGTATCTATTCCTGTTCTTCGTTATGTCTCATCATCCCGAAGGAAAGAGGGCCAATCCCCATTTGGAGAAGAAGTGAAACCAAGGAAGTTAGGGGAAAGTGACATGAAGTTCTTGAAGGAGTCTACAACCATGCCTTTACCCAAGTTGAGCAATTCAAATGTGTTGGAATCTTCAATACCAAGGTTCGTCAGACCATCACAAGATGCAACAAGACTCAAAGTGAGCAATTCAGATGTGTCGAAATCTTCTGTATTCAAAAGGATATCTAGACATAAGACTCAAAGGAGAATCCAACCAGCTCTATACAGATTGGCGCTAGAAAGACTCGGAGCACTAAGAAAGCCGTCTGAAGAGAAAAACCAGCGAGAATTGGAAAGTGGAGTTCGTATTGATTCGACAGAAGATAATGAAATCCGCCTAATCTCGTCACGTATGAAACATCACTTAACATTAGACGTAACTTCAGGTGACCAATTCAAAGTGAAACGACGAACAATCATACAAACTCGGAAAACTTTGAGTGAACAAAATGAAAGTGACGATGAAGAAGCAGAGATTCTAGTTGTTCATCACGTTACGATTAAAGAGCTCAATGAAGAGGAACCTTTTGAGGATGAGGTTCATGATGCTCATGCTACATTAGAAGATGGGGCCCAAGCGACTGCTGATGAATTAAAAGAGCTCAAATTGGGCACAAATGAAGACCCAAGACCTATCTTCGTTAGTGCACTTTTGAATCCTAACGAAGAAGAATCATACCATCAATTGTTACTTGAGTATAAATATGTCTTTGCTTGGACATATAAGGAGATGACAGGCCTCGATCCAAAAGTTGCAGTCCATCACCTCGCTATCAAACCTGGAACGCATCCAATCAAACAAACTCAACGTTGCTTCCATCCGGAGCTCCTAAGTCAAATCGAAGCCGAAGTCGATAAGTTGATCGCCACTGGATTTATTAGGGAGGTGAAATACCCGACGTGGATAGCAAACATTGTTCCGGTGAAGAAGAAAATCACTGGACAAATTCGTATTTGTGTTGACTTCCGAGACTTAAACGAGGCTTGCCCGAAGGATGACTTTCCATTGCATATAATTGAGCTCATGGTCGATGCAACCATAGGTCATGAAGCCTTATCTTTCTTGGACGGTTCATCTAGATACAATCAAATAAGAATGTCGCCAGAGGACGAAGAACTCAAAGCCTTTCGCACTCCAAAAGGAATTTACTGTTACAAGGTGATGCCATTTGGCCTTAAGAATGCAGGTGCGACCTATCAACATGCAATGCAAAAGATCTTTGGTAACATGCTTCACAAGAATGTCGAGTGCTACATTGATGACCTGGTGATCAAGTCAAAAAGAAGAGAAGATCACTTGAAAGACTTGAGAATGGTGTTTAACAGATTGCGGAAGTACCAACTCAAGATGAACCCTTTGAAGTGCGCTTTTGGCATCACGTCAGGTAAATTTCTTGGTTTCATCGTTAAACATCGAGGCATCGAAGTAGACCAGACTAAGATTAAAGCCATCCGAGATATGCCCGAGCTAAGAAATTTACGTGAGTTGAAAAGTTTACAAGGACGTCTCGCGTTTATTTGGCGATTCATCTCAAACTTAGCAGGGAGGTGTCAGCCATTCAGTCGCCTTATGAAAAAAGATGTTCCATTTGTTTGGGATAAAGCTTGTCACAATGCCTTTGAAAGCATAAAGAAATACCTATTGAGTTCACCACTGTTAGGAGCTCCTATTCCAGGCAAACCACTCATATTGTACATTGCGGCTCAAGAGAGGTCAATTGGAGTCCTGTTGGTGTAAGAGAATGAGTCACATAAAGAGCAAGCACTCTACTATCTAAGCCGAACTCTTACTTGTCCCGAACTAAACTACACGCCTATAGAAAATACATGTCTTGTACTTGTTTTTGCTATTCAAAAGTTAAGGCACTACATGCAAGCGTTCACGGTTTATCTAATTGCACGAGTTGACCTGGTAAGGTACGTTATGTCAAAACCAGTCTTGACAGGGCGTTTAGCCAAGTGGGTGTTACTTCTCAATCAATATGAAATCATCTACACTCCAGCAAAGGTAGTTAAGGGGCAAGCTGTTGCAGATTTAATAGGCGATCATCCAATTCTAGCAGACTGGGAAACTTCAGATGACTTACCCGACGAACAAGTCTTCTTCACTGACGTTTCTCCTACTTGGATGATGTTCTTTGACGGATAGGCTCGTAAAGATGGGGTGGGGGCTGGCGTAGTCTTCGTATCACCCGAGAGACACGTATTGCCCTATTCATTCTCTTTAAGTGAACTTTGCTCGAACAACGTTGCAGAATACCAGGCTTTAATCATGGGCTTACAAACGGTTATGGAGATGAAGATATCAAGCTTAGAAGTATATGGTGACTCCATGTTAGTGATCAACCAATTGTTGACCCACTACGAAGTTAGGAAGGATGATCTAATTATGTACCACCAAATGGCCACGCAATTACTAGAAAGGTTTGACTTCATGATGTTGGAGCATGTGCCAAGACAAGACAACCAAATGGCAGATGCCTTAGCCAACCTTGCAGCTACATTGGCGTTGACAAAAGATGAAGCGGTGAATCTTCTAGTTTGCCAACGTTGGGTCGTTCCAGTAACACTTGGAGCATTGCAAGAAGGAGTCAACGTTATCTCGGTATTGTCCATTGACGTTGACGATTTGAGGTAGCCTTTAATTGATTATCTTAAGCATGGGAAACTGCCAGATGATTTGAGACATCGATCAGAGGTACGGCGTTGGACACCTCGATTCATTTATTATAAAGAGATTCTATACCGTCATTCATTCGAAAGCAATGACAGAGGCTCACTCAGGTATTTGCGGAGCTCATTAATCAGGGCCAAAGCTACATTTCCTAATAAAGAGGATGGGCTACTATTGGCCGACTATGGTCAAGGATTGCATGGATTATGTGAAGAAATGTCAAGCATGTCAATTACATGCCAACTTTATACATTAGCCGCCGGAGCCGCTACATCCTACAATTACTTCATGGCCTTTTGATGCGTGGGGTCTTGATGTGGTGGGACCAATAGCACCCAAATCTTCTGATGGTCATTCTTACATCCTAGCAGCCACCGACTACTTTTCAAAATGGGTAGAGGCTGTACCCCTAAAAGAAGTAAAGAAAGAAAATGTAGTAAGCTTTATTAAAGTAAACATCATTAATCGGTATGGTGTAACAAGAAGGTTCGCCCCAGGTCTTTTCAAGTAGGAGATCTTGTCCTCGCATTACGTAGACCTATCATCACAATACACAAAATCGGAAGCAAGTTTACTTCGAAATGGGATGGGCCCTATGTAGTACAAGAAGTGTACACAAGTGGCACTTACAAGATCGTAGCCGATGATGGTTTAAGAGTTGGCCTTATCAACGGAAAGTTCTTGAAACGATACTACACATGAAATGGCACCAGGCTCCTGGCCGGCATGAGCCTAAGCTGCGTATGACACCAAAACCAACAAAAAAAAAGGCTCGTTGGATTGAAAACCCGAAAGGGCGGTTCAAGCAAAAGTTAGGACACAAAAAAAAATCCCTTAAACTACGTGATGACTTGATCCCTTTTCACCGAGGGTATGTAGGCAGCTTGGACAAATAATTCCAAGTTCAGTCACATCAAAATAAAAACAAAGGGTTTCCCCCATCAATTCGAGTCATTTGAAAGAAATAACGAAATAAGAAAATGTTTTTATTTCATTATGAAAGTTAACTAACAAACGTCAACACTTTGACAAGTTCAAAGAGAAATGTAAATAAAGTAAAGAAAGTTTACAACAACAGAATTTGCTATTCCCAAGACAAATCCTTGAAGCCGTTACGCAGTCTCTCAAAAGAAACTCTTAATGTATCTAAAGTCTCAGCATCTGCAGCAGATAGTATAGGAGCTCCTTCAACCGCAATTTTATCCTCTCTCAAGCGGGTAACCTCACGATGATGGTAAGAAAGTTGTACATCATTCTCTGAAAGTGATTCGTTTAGTTGATGCAATCTCAACTCCAATTATTCTTGTTCTCTCTTCAACTCCTCCATGCGCATGTTGGCAGATTGAACAGACTCAAGTACGGAAAACTGATGAGTCTCTTCAGCTTGTTGCAAAGCCAAGGCAATAGAAAGTGAAGAGTCAACTGCAGCTAAACGATCACTCTGAGAGAAACATACCTCGTTCATTAGAACTGGTTCAAAGAGAAACATACCTCGTTCATTAGAACTGGTTGTGAAATAGCAGGTACATCACAAAAGAATGTGTCATCAAGTGGGTATGCCATGTCCAGATCGGAATAAAGAGGTTCGACGCTTGTCTTCTCTATCTTCATTGCTGCTTATATGCCCTAGCTTCAAACGGCGAATTCGTCAACCAAGGGGAATGAAAATCTTCCTGGGAATACACTACACTTTATGTTTCTCCTTTATCATTAGGGACTTGAGTTGAAGGAACATCAACCGAAGGTAGGTGTTGAACTCGAGGCACAGGAGTAGTAAAACTACCTTCAACTTCTGGATGAACTTAGAGTGCTCTACCACGGGTGAGTTTATCATGAACTAAAGTTTCGTTGCCTTGAGACTTAAAAGATTTTGGCTGAGAAAGCAACGACGACTTGCCTACAGTTGAGATTGTCTTTGATTTCGTCAATGCACCTTCGACCACCAAATAACATAATCAGATATGACCTCAAACTCCTGGATATTGTCCTTAGTGGGTAGGGTTATTGTAGATGCACTGCCAATCTTCAAGCATGATTTCCAATGTGAGTACATTGATAGCACAGTCCCATTCCGGACATCATCTTTAAGTTCTCCTGGCACATGTTGTGCATAAAAAAAATTGTCTACTAAACCGATGTGGGCTATAAAGTTGGATGACTCGGTAGTTTTCCTGTAGTAGAGAAACGAATCCCGAACGAAGGAATATCAAATACTCAAAGTCTTCTTTAGAAATATGATCTTCATCCGTCAGTTATTTGAATTCTGAAAATACTCTTGCTAGACGACTCATTTTCACTTTACCACAAGTCCGGAACAAAGCTCGAGCTGTCGAATCTTCAAAAAATTTTGCCGAAAGTCTTCCTGAGAACCTTGTCATGATAGGAATGGACTTATCAGAAGATGACGTAAAATGTGTGTCGAAGTATTCGCCCAACCACCCATACACATAATGGAAAGGTAGAACAGTTGTGCAATTTCCTGGATCATCTACACTAGAAATATCATTCAGCCCCTTGTAAACGCTGGCCAATACTGGAACTACTAGGCCAAATGATACACCGTGCGCCATTTGACTGGCAACTTTGAAAACCCCTGGTCTGATCAAAGTTACGTCGTCCTTGGGAAATACAAATTTGCACAACCAGCAAGCAAGGAATGTAGCCAAGTAGGATTTTTCCATGTCTTCATCAGTTATACCCAAATCTTCAAAAACCCATTCCTCTTCCTCAGTACGTTTTAGTGCCGTCAGAATGATACCAGATGGATGAGAGTCCTCCTTTGGCTTTTGTGACTTGTTCCGTATGGTTTTCCTTGAAGGCTTTTTATACTTGAATGGCCCTTGATACCAGTACTTTATCCAAGTAGTCATTCTCACTCCAGATTTTCCTTTAGAATCCCGTAGAATCTTGTGATACGCTAAGAATAAGTAGCGACAAATGTGTGGGATATAAGACACGCCTTTATGATCCTTCTTGTTGAGACTCTCAGTGGTTGGAATAACTTCATCATAAAATCGACCTGTAATAGGGAGACCGCCAATTTCATGAAGATCCCAAAGGGAAATAGACATCTCTCCTTGCGACGTATGAAGAGTACTTGTTTAAGGATACCAGTACTCGCAAAAGGCTCGAATGGCTGGAGCATGTCGATCATAGCTAAATAATGAGGCAAATACTGCATTATATAGACCGGTGCTCTTAAGAACTTGAGTATTTCTATTTAGCACATCTTCAAGCCACTCCCAGTAATACTCGGTAAATGTAGAATCACCAGCCGTCGGGAGAGTAGAACTCCAATTCACTGCTCCATTATGGATTCAATTGCTAAGAAGCTCGAATGCCTTCGATGAACCGGTATCTGTATGATGGGAGGACCTTAACTATAAAACAGTGGAGTGAAGGTCCCTATCTGTAGACTTGGATTTTTTGAAGCTGCTGAGTTGACAAAACACCTCTTGAGACCAAGACGGAATATGAAGAGAATTGTCCACCTCAGATATTTCCGAAGCTAGGAGAGGCACACCTACAAGCAATGTGGTACCTTCGTTCCGGTTATCACTTTCATCCTCAAGAATAGTAACGGTGTCTTTCTTGAAATACTTGAAGAAGGCCATCTGTATAAGATAAGCGACATGAAACAATATTCAGTATCAGGCTGGTGACTTCATACTTAAAATAAATAAATAAATAAAAGCTTACTTGTACAAGTTTGAAGAGCCGAGTAAAGGTGGAATGTCTCGAGAAACAATCTTCACTCGTCTTACCCTACGTAAAGCCTAAGCGCTTGAGCGGGTTATCACCAAGTCAAAGAGATGGATCAAACCCAAGCGGTATAGGACGTCTACATTCTTCACTCGTCCTCCACTTATGTAAAGCCTAAGTGCTTGAGCGGGTTATCACCAAGTCGGAGAGATGGATCAAACCTAAGCGGTATAGGACATCTATGTTCTTCACTCGTCCTCCACTTACGTAAAGCCTAAGCGCTTGAGGGGGTTATCACCAAGTCGGAGAGATAGATCAAACCCAAGCGGTATAGGACGTCTACGTTCTTCAGTTGTCCTCCACTTACGTAAAGCCTAAGCGCTTGAGCGGGCTATCACCAAGTCGGAGAGATGGATCAAACCCAAGCGGTACTGGACGTCTACGTTCTTCACTCGTTCTCCACTTACGTAAAGCATAAGCGCTTGAGCGGGTTATCACTAAGTCAAATAGATGGATCAAACCCAAGCGATATAGGACGTCGACGTTCTTCATTTTGTTTCAAAGTACCTATTGTAAAATATATATATATATATATATATGTGTATAAATATCATCATATAACATAAAATAAAATATATAAAAAGATTGAAATAGTAATAGAGGGGAGGGAAAAAAAAAAAAAAAAAAAAAAAAAAAAAAAAAAAGAAAGAAATAATTTCGAGCTCGAGCTTTGGACCAGCCCAAGCTAAAGGGAGCAGCCCAGTTTGCATACTCCGAGCAGCCCAGCGCCAGCCAGCAAGGCCCATCGTCGCTTGCCCATGCTCCAGCGCGTAGCCCATGTCGAGCCAGGCCCAGCTCGCCTCTCAACCTGCGCAGCCCACGCCTCCTGTCCTAGCTCTAGCCCACATCACACACAAGGCCTGACGCCTTCTTGCCTTCACCTTGAGCCCAGCGCAGGTGGACTCGAACCTGTCAGCCCTTCCAAGTCTCTAGCCATACCGCCCAGGCCCTAACGAACACCTCCAGTCCTGTTTCGAAAAAACAAAACTGACGCAAGAACATGATGAAACAAAGAATGGGTTCAAGCTTACCAACAAGTTTCTTGATAGACCAACAGGTGGGTTCTTGCGGCTGTAGGAAAAAAATATCGACGTTAGTTTTCTTTTTTCAACCGGCGGCAAATAGGCATATATATAAGAATCAAACACTGAAGAAAAAAAAAAGACAACTCTCACCACTTTGGTTGTTGAGAATTCAGACGATGCAAACTTCAAAGTCGTAGACTTTCTTGCCAACAAGTGGAGTCTTTGCTGTTCTATTCGGTTAATCTCAATAACCATGAGAGTAGAGCAATTTAAAGAAGCCAAAGGCCATTAAAGCTCCTGGTGGTGCTAGGGTTTCTTATTCCTAGTTTAGGAAAATATTGGATTTTGTATCTTGCTTCCCAAGATTTTACCAATATTGGATATTATTAGGCTTAATAACATCACCCAAAAAAAAAACGTTGAAAGTAGAAAGCCAACGTTGGAAATAGAGTGATCAATATTGAATGTTATTAAGCTTAATAATATTACTTCCAAAAAAAAAAGGGGAGTTTCACTAAAACACCAAAAATGGGGGCTTAAATTATAAAAAAAACCCAAGCACTATTTAAACATATAAACACACCCAAAACCCATCATTACACACACTCAAAATTCATTTATAAACACACCCAAAAAGTTGACTTTGGGGTTGATTTTGGGTGTGTTTCTATGTTTAAATAGTGCTTGGATTTTTCTATAAATACATGTTTAGGATTGGGTTTATTTATAAATTTGTATAAAAAAAAAGGGGTAACTTTCAAACCTCCACGTTGGAAGCAATCCAAATTATTGGAAAGAAATGAAGGAGTAACACTTCAAGCTGCACCTCCTACAAGTGACAAGCACATATCTATAGTGCATCATGAAGTGGGGGCAATTTGTAGACAAAGAAATTTTGGCGCAATAAATTCCATTGGACGAGAAAATAATTAGGGTTCGGTGGATTAAATTGTGGGCCCCATAATTCCCCCATGTGGCATGCGACTCATCAAAGTCGGATTAGTTGTCAAAAAGTGACACGTGGCGACATCCGACGGAGTGCATCAAACGGTTCAAGATGAAGACAAAATTAAGGGAAAGAATCTTCTGTGATTGACTTTGATTTAAATCAAATATTAATCAGGTCAATCAATTGAAGATAATCTGGTTAAATTGCCAGATTATGGGAATTGATTTAAATCAAATCAAAATCCCACAAAACAAGGTTTTAAATAGGGAAAGTTATTTAGGTCAAACATCCTACAAGAGCCTATAAATAGGAGGCCTCAAGATGAAAGAAGGGGTTCAGAAAAAACCTAACACTCAGAAGAAACAGAAAACTCTCTGCATTCTTCACCTACACTTCGGAAGAGCCACCAAACACAACAAATACGTGTAGGTTCCTCCACCCTAGAAAATTCCAAACACCAAACAAGACTTGTGCTACCCGTTTGATCAAGATCAAGTCTCTACGACCCTTGCATCAAACACAAATTTTCTTTAAACACTTTGGAGATCGAATCAGAGGATTCAATACAGAGATTGTAACCCTAAATTTCATAAATACAAAGATTATTTTGTACACGTGTTCTTGTCTCATTTGTTGCAGGAAATTCGTGTTTACAATGATATTCTTAAGTGAATACCAATTACATGAGGGACACCACCTGTGATTGCAAATCTCCTTTATTTTAGTCTCTTCTAGTCTTTCTTGATTGATTGATAAGTCTTCCCCCAGTCTTCGTAACACCCACCCACCCCATGCTCCAAAGTAATTCCTCTCCTTTTCATTTTATGACCATATGCATATTCTTTTCCAGCAAGTCTTCCTATAGAATTTTATATGCCATTTAGACTTCAAATTACATAACTTATTACCATGGACTATAAAGCCTTCCTTTTTCTATTCCCTCAAAGACTCCCATGCCTTTCTTGGTTAGACCATCAGATTTCTAACAAGTCTTTCTGTTAGAACATGAAGCGGTACATAATATGAACTCATAGAAATCATTAGGTTCATACATCGTAGAAAATTGAGAAACCAAGTGTAAGTGAAAAAGTGAGAAATGTGAAAATTTCCAGAGAAAACTGGTCATCTGCCAACTACTAATCAATCAACACTAATCTCCTGCCCATTATTAATTGGCCCAACACGAGCATGGCTTGACTCTTTAAAATTACGGAATAGCCCCACCTAAATACAAATGGAATTTTGACATTTGTCAAATTCCTTTAACCACCAAAACTACAATTCCAGAGTCTAATATCAATTGTTAAGAACTCATGTGACAAGACTCGACCGGGATTCTCCCTTGGAACTCGTGACGAACCCTGCTTCCCATCCGACATCTACCTGATGTCGAACCCACTTTATTAAAAGTCCTATAGCCCTAATTTAAACAGATAAACAGTCCAACTTCAACCAAAATTTCGGTAGAGTCTCCCCTGTAATAGGAACAATTCCTAAATTTCAGCACTTGCAAAAAAGTACAGAAATAACCTCAATTTCCAACATGCACATGGTAATGGCACACACACCAGCTAAAATTAAGGAAATGGGCCTCACACCCTCTACCCAAACTCAAACAAGCGACCAGAGGTACTAATTTACAACTTCAGAAAGAATAAAGATAGAGAGTGATAGTAGAACATTCCTACGAAGTGGACAATGATGATGCCTCGACGTGGTGGTCTTGACCTTGGACATCTAGAACTTGGGGGGTGCAAAACATAAAACGTGAGGAATTAAGAGCGACCCTGCAACATTTCTTGGAAAGGTTAAAATTCGCCAAAGGTCTGTCCCTGCGACATTTGCAGGAAATGTCTCCCTATGTCATTTTGTCAGGAAAGATCAGATTCGCCGCGAAAGGTCTGTCGCAGCGAAATTCTAATTGGTAAAGATCAAAATTCGCTGCAAAGGGTCTATCTCTTTGCATGAAAGAAACTTGAGGAATTAAGAGTGACCTGGTTTCAGTGTGTCACTTGCATCCTAATGTATCTACATGCAAGAAAATAGCCATAAAAAATTCACATAAGACTTTCTTCCAGCAGGATCATGCTGCCAACGATATATGTCATTGGGTTGGGGCTATCCTACAAACGTTGCACACAGCTTTAATGGCGCGTGCTCTGTTACATCCTTCTGGGTCAGGAAAAATTTATTCTCTTACATGTTTATAATTTTTTCTCTCCTGGCACCTCCTTGTATGCATTTTTCTTCTCCTCTAAACCATCTAGTCCAAGTGCGGTGGTGGTATGGCTTTTCCATTTATCCTGGCGCATTCAATTTCATGGTCAAGAAAGAATTTTAACGACATTAGTTCCCCTTTTTTCTTTTTTCTTTTCCTCTCATCTTTATTATTAAAATCAGAGCACTTTGATGTTAACGATGATATTATTAAAGAAACAAAAATTTATAATTGAAGTTTTAATCACAACAGTTGAATTGAATGAATGTTAATCTAATGGTTAAAAGTGTCATAATAGATACACAATGATATTTAGTTTGCTTGAATTAATAATTAAAGGGTATTTTAGGGATAATGGTGGGTGGAAAGATAGGCTTGTGTTTTTTCAAATTTATATGGTGGGTGAAAAATAAAGTGGATGAGAAAATAGGACAAGGGGGTGGAAATAACAGCACTCTTAAACATCTCTTTCAAATTAATAAGAAAGGTCTTAAAAAAAAACAAAAAAAACAAAAGGTGAAGTGGCAGACAAAACTTTACAAAATTGTTAATTTCATGTTCACCTTTCCCTTTAATAATTAAGGTTGCATTGCATTAACCATACGGGAAAAAGTTGAACCCTTTCCCTTTAGATAACGTTTGCATGCTAGTTTTGGGGTCTAAAACATGAAAATAATTAAGGTGTTATAAAACTAAAGAGATTGTAGAGATAATTGAGGTATAGAGAAAGCATAGAAATCTGATATTTTCATTGAATCTTTATGTTCTGTTACAAATGGGAAGGGAGCCTCATTTTATAGGCAACGCTTAGCCCATTAATCAGAGAAGGAAGGTGTATGTAAATTCCCTTCCTACATGTGGGCTCCACTCTCATCATTTTACAACACTTCCTCTTGGAGACCATAATGTATAAAATATGTCTCGTTAAAAACCTTGCCAGTAAAAACCCAGTGGGACAAAAAAACTGGTCGAAGGGAAAAAGAGTACATAACCATATGTAACATAAAATTCTGTGTATATTGACATGTGTGCGACACTGCCTCGTTAAAACCTTGCCAGGAAAAACCCAATGGGAGAAAAACCTGGACGAAGGAAAAAGAGTATAGTGTGTGAAGGTCCTTATTGACAGCATGCTCCCCCTGCTGCTTGGCAAAATATCTTTAAGCCATATTGTTGATCATCTTTCTGAATATCATAGTTGACACTACTTCTGTGAGTCAATCGTGTATTATTGTTGGATGCTCCCCCTGAAATCTTCATGACTAGCTTTTTCCAATAAGCGACCATAGAAATTTCCAGAGTCCGCTTATCCCACAAAATCAGGGCTATTTGTAAGTTTACTTGAAAAGAATATGCCCGTATATAGTGTTTTGTGGAGATAGCATCAAATATGCCTCACATCATCCCAAAATGGTGGTGATGAAGCTGAGCTTTATCTGGAAAATACAATGTCCAGTCCAATATACTTCTGGAAAAATATTTAAGTGCCCAACGGATAATCCTTATAAAAATGCTTCAATACCTTCTTAGTATAAGCAAGAATCTCGTTGGCATAATGCTCGATCTTCAGGTCGAGACAAATATTTCTAGTACTCTTCATGAGTTTTAATCACTTATCAACTCTTCAAGAGTTGTAATGTGTTGCAATCATATCATAATTAATGTACTCACTGAGGCAATTTATTGCATATTAGTATTGAGTACAGATTTTGTGCTTCAGACACATGTCCTTCAGGGACTTACTTTATGCAATTGCAATCCTTTCAAGGATTTTGTTTAAAGGGATTAAACTTTATGACACATTATATAACTTTAACCCAGCTATTTACACATCTTTAAGGAATCGCTTCTGGCGATATGCTCCGTGCATTTAATAACCCTTAAAGATAATATGTTGGTCTCCGTAAATGTGGAATAAGGGGGCACAATTGAATCTGTAAATATGGAGAAACCCAGCATTCCTTGTTTCTACCAGAAACATTGTGTCATACAAAGTGGGTATATTCCCTTTTATTCCGAACACCCAAGTATAACTTTTAGCATTAACATCTTTTGGGGTTCGTACTATGGGTTTGTTCTTTTACGTTCATTCTCATCTGTAATGGAATTGCCTCATTCCATTTTGGCCAATGATATTGTCGACATTTAAGAATTGAACGTGGTTCCAATCAACACACCCCATTGATGATTTGAGTTGCTACTCCAAAACCAAAAATTGTCATTCATCAATTCATGATCCCACAATTCTCATGTGCATGTGCATGTGCATGCATCAACTATAAGCATTTCTTTGCTTTTGGTTACCCAAGCCACTTCAAGGGGCTTTTACTGTCTATTTCTAGACAGACATCTCTTATAAGATGAATTATGTGAGAATATGGATCATAACCTCCAATGGAGCGTTATTTTACAGTAGGGCGTGGATAATCTCCATTTAGGGAGTTGGAACATTTATAACCCATATATCTGTCATGCTGCAGGCATGCCACATATTAATACATACATGTCAATTAATTTATGGGACTTTAACCTATATAATTTGCTACGCATTAGGCGTGCACCGTATCAATATTGACATCTTAAAGGATTGTCCTTCTAGGACTTCAATCCACATAATTTGCTATGCAACAGGCGTGCATCATATTGATCACTGCCATACCCATGTTCTGTTCTTATGGGACTTTAATCTGTGCAGTGTATTATCAATGTATCCAACTTGCAATCTGTAAAATTTGCATTAATAATTCATGGATACATATAAGAATGATACAAGCCATTCTTCTGGAATGGTCCTTGGCATGGCGTTCTTCTGGAACGGCCTGATCTCCCTGTTTGGTTACTTTTAAGGATGTAGTACCAAATATCAAAATAAGAGTATAAGTATAAAATAACACAAGTATTGCTTACATCCTGAGGTGGGAGAAACTTTTCTCAAGTATCATTCAAGCTCATATCGGCCCAGTAAATATAATGTAGCGCTTGATGATCTAGTTATATCCTGCAAGAGCAAAAAATCACAATTCTTCTCTCTGTAAAAAACAAATAACCCTCAGAGTTAGGATCACTTCATGGATTCTTTCTTCAGATGTTCGTTCTAAAGAAATAAAATCCCTTATGAACAGAGAGTTATAAAAAGAGAAAAAATGCAAAAAATTGTGATATTAATTGCAGGATAAGGTAAGCAATCAAGGAAGGAAGTTGGTGGGAGCATACAACAAACTCTCATTTCTCCTAGTCTAGAAGAACTTCAGGAGATTAGAGGATGTGGTCATCTTTATAACTCCCCAACATCGCCAAAACGTGATCAGGGATAGTCTCGCTTCCTAAATGGATAATCAGAGATAGTCTCGCTTCTCAAGCACATCGAGTGCTCGCTGATAGGAAAAACAAGTGGATATCGCATCACTAGGTATGGAGAAAACTGGATGTCTCCTGCAAAGAAAATTTTGTTAGTAATATATTTATACACAAATAAGAGGAATAGGTAGAACCCGTGGATTTCAAATTAACCACAGAAATTCGGGAGGTTCTCGAGGTGCTTTTGAAAAAGTAGCTCCGTGAAATTCGCAAAGCAAGATCGGCTTTTGACGAAAATAGTACTTGAAAACGCCGAAAATGCCGACAGACATTAATGGAGGCCGCGTGAAGTTTTGGAATCTATGAAAGAAAAAGAGAATATGGGGATTCGAGATAATATTAGGATCCTGGATACTGTTGCCATATTTCATTCTATAGATATTGCCTCTGCAAGACCTGATTGAAGTAACTGCATTTCAACTCAACTTCTCCATTTTCTGAAAATTCAGCTTCTCTTAAAACTTTCCTCGAAACCTTCCTAAAAATGGCTTCCTCTTCTTCTCACCCAAACCATCTTGATTTAAATGTTGCTCCCAACACAACTCGTGACACCAAAGTCTGGCGTCCATCCTTTGTATCCCAAAATCGTCATCTCACAGTTAATGATTCTGTGATGATGAATGATGCTACTGTTGTCATAGTAGCTAGGAATTTTCTTATTCCAATGGATGAAATGTTGTTATCAGTGAAGTCTGATGAAGAGGCTATTGATGACTTAATGGCTTCTAGCATTCAAAGTGCTGCTTCTGTTTCTAACATGGCTGATTGTTTGCGTGCTAGAGCAAACGAGGTTCAGGAGTTGACCACTGAAAATTCGTCTCTTCAGAGAATGCTTCATGAGTCTCAACAAGAGGTTGAGAAACTTAAAGAGGAAAATAATGCCTTGTTGAAACTGGTGAGTTCGTACTCCATTGATACGCTGAGAAGGCTAGACATTCTGCAGGTTTCCAATGAAAAAATTCTGGGAGACCACGAGTGGCTCATGGCTAAGCTTAAGAGGCGCCGTCCTCTTCCTTCAAAGGCTTCCAAACATAATATAATTTTATAGATATTGCAGAGCCTACCCTTCCCTGCAAGTGGAAAAAATCTATCTGTTGTATGCCTTCTTTCCTGTTTATAATAATTGCGCAAATTCTTAAACTTGCACATGTGGTTTTTATGTCTTTTCAAAACAATGGTTTGGAACCTTGTGGCTTATAGGTTGAAACAACCACATCAAATATCTCAAATTACATATTTCAATGCATGTGATCCCAGAAATTTTGGCCCGAGCTGAACACGACCTCAGAATTTATTCGCCCTTTTCAAATGGACATGAAATATGAATTAAGTAAAAGCCACGATAATATCGCAATATAGTAGTGAAGAGCATTAACTACTATATACCCACAACTTCAAGTTCGGGATCTCTCATATATTTGGATCCATGGGCTTCCGGCCCAGATACAACAAAATATGTGGGGAGCCTCAATTCATCATTTGAGGTTTATCATGATATTATCCATTTCACGGTGTATTCTTAACAACCAAAATTCACAAAATATATTTCTTCCTTGAGGTGTCGATTATAACATAATCGAACTTTATTAAATTCATCATTTTCTTATGCCAAAGAAATATGTGGCACACCACAATTTGCAATAATAACTCAAGGGTTGTCCATTTAATTGTTGGAACTTCAGGTTTTCAACACTATTAGATTTTGAACTTCAGGCCAAAATCACATATTCCCATGGTGTGGACATTCAATCCCCTTAGATTTTGAACTCCTGGCCAAAATCACATATTCTCATGGTATGGACATTTTTACAATTTTCTATACATATTTCGGGACTTCAAGCCCTTAAATAATTGTCCATATTTTGAGGAACTTCTTCTGGCATCTCATTTAATTCCTCATCCATGAGTTTAAGGAACTGCAGGTTCCCTTTTGTATATAGTGATGGTTGACCCAAAATGGTTTATGTATACATCACTATTCATGTATATGGTACTATTCATCAAGTTATGAATGTATGTCTATTCATGCGTACAGTACATTTGCCAGTACAATTATTATCCATGTGTACGACATATTAACCAGTACAATAATGTTACATCATCAAGGAACTCCAGGTCCTTATTTACTTGTCGAGGATCAAGGATCTTCAAATCCGATCTCTTTTTTACAAGTATAGTACCGAAGAGACTGCCAACTCTTATATCAATATCATCATCAAGGATCTTCAAGTCCTGATGTAGTTGTCTGATGAGGATCAAGGAGCTTTTGGTCCTGATCTGTATACTGTAAAAATTCATCATACCGCACAATTAATCCATAGAATAAATTGCTTGTAAATAAATTGATGATAAATAAATTTACTGGTAAATAAATTGCTGGTATGGACGATAAATCATCACCATACTTTAAATAAAAGTAAATGTGCAATATAGTAAATTGCTTGTTGTATGGGCGTTAATTCCACACCATACAATAATAAAGTAAATGTGCTTGTATGGACACTAATTTTGCTCCATACTTTTAAATAAAAGTAAAGGCAGTTGTGTGGACGATAAACCCGCATCACTCTTTTAAATAAATACTATCATATGGGTAATAAGCCTACATCATACAGCAAATAAATTGTATGGGTAATTAATCTACACCATACAGTAAATAAAATAAATGTAGGGATAAAACCACCACTAAAAAATATAGGAGGTGAAACCGTTCATAGAATTACCATATATATGGATAAAGTAAAGGCAATTATTTGTGGGTTCTTATCAACACCACGATCAAATAATATAATATAATAGTATATTATCATAGCCCATTAAAATTTACGTAGGCCTTATATGAAATAATATGTATGCAATAAAATCATACTATAATAATATTATATGATGGAATTATATAATATATGTAATTATGCGTAAATAAACTAGTGCATGATTATCATGCTCCCCTTTTCCACCTGCCACCAGCACACACCTGCTCTTAATATTGAAATTAAATAATATAGGATAATAATGAAATAATTGAAAAGATGAAGCGAAGCTTATCCTTTCGGTGGGTTTGCTCAACACCAAAGTGAAAAGTACTATCTCTTCTTTCTTCTTCTCCTCTCTCTGCCAGTCTCAAACTAAGGACCTGATCGGTTTTTGACTTGGACCACAAATCCAACAGGCTACTTGAGATCAGTCAATTGCCATGATTGCAAAGTGTTTGATCTTAGAGACCCATCAAGATTTGGAGAAACTAAACTCATTGGTTGCTCTAATGTGCTAGGAGCTGGAGCCGCTGATACAAGCTTGGGTGTCGCCGACATAGGCAAAAGCGCAGCCACCGGAATATTCCTCCCGTTCCCGACCCTCACAGCCCAAACAACATACGGATCAGCAACTATGGTGCTCACTGGCGGCTCGAGCCGGTCCACCAGCTGCTCAAACGGAGCTTCCAACTTGGTGCTCACGGCTTCCACGAACCCAGAAAATTCTTTTGCTCGGACGAGCTCGGAGTAGCGTGGTGTGTCGGATGTTGTCAGGTTTCGGGTCGGATCCGATGAAGCCGTGCCACTTCTTGGTGGCGACGAAGGTGATGAGGAGTGTGTTGTCGGGTTTCTTTGAGGATAGGAGTTTGCAGAGGTTCATCATGGGATTGATGTGGCCTCTGCCGAGATAGGGTAGCGCCACCACGTGACAGACTGAGATCAGTTCATGATGATGATGGGGAAGAAGAAAAGGAATAAGAAATATGGGTTTCATCGGAGAATTCAGCTGGTATATTTGAGAGCGAATTCGTGCTGATAACATGTTATAAAACTAAAGAGATTGTAAAGATAATTGAGGTATAGAGAAAGCATAGAAATCTGATATTTTCATTGAATCTTTCCGTTCTGTTACAAATGGGAAGGGAGCCCCATTTTATAGGCAAAGCTTAGCCCATTAATCAGAGAAGGAAGGTGTAAGTAAATTCCCTTCCAACATGTGGGCTCCACTCTCATCATTTTACAACCTAAGAGTCTTTTTTTCTTTTCTTTTTTTCCCAATATTCCAATCTTTCCATGTAATTTTGAGGGTTCAATATTGACATATATAGGATCACTCGTCAACTCACTCAGCACACCCACAAAACAAGTGTTCACCAAACTATTATTGTGGTTGTGCTGAGTGGTTAATGTAGGGGCATTTTCGTTCCGGCAGCTACTACGAGCCTGAGCTACCGTAAATAGCGAAATGGATGAAATTGCCCATTGAGCCTGAGTTCGAAGATCAAGCCCCAAGAATGCTTCGAAAATATAGAGATGCTTTTTACCTTAGTTACCTTTACCAACAAAAATAACAACAGCTTACAAATAGATTTTCTAGCTTGGCATGAGAGACTTATGGCATAGAAGCAAAATTGACATGAGTTTAGCACTGAAGAGAAAGCTATGCGTTCTTGGGGGGGGAAAAAAGATAAATAGAGCATGAATTTGCTGGGTTTTGCAGGTGAGAGAGGAAGCTTGCTCTCTGGTTGTGGTTGTGGTTGTGGTTGTGGCTAGTGGTGAAGTATTGGCTGTTTTGGGTAATTTTCTAGCAACCTGACAAAAGCTATGTCAGACTCTGAAATGGCTTTCCATAAGAGAAAATTGAAGAAGATAGAGGAATAGGGCACGAAATTGCAGAGTTTCAGATATAAGAGATGAAGCTTGCTTTCTAGATGTGTGTTGTGATGATGGGTAAGAAATGCCTCTTTTTATAGGCGCTGAAAGCTATCATTTTCTAAGAAATCCTAATGGTTTCTATCCAATTTGGTCAAGTCTTTCCCTTCCTTTCTCCCCTCATCCCTTCAATCATCCTATTTTGGTGAAATCCACTCTGCTCATTTGCACAAAATCAAGGATTTTTGGGAGCTCAATGCTCTTTCCCACAGCTGCCTCAGTGGACAACCCCCATTTTCAGCCATCTCTCTTCCTTCTTTTCTCCCCTCTTCTATGGCTAGATCTAATGGGGGAAAAAGAAATGGGTATGTACACTGGTTTGAAGGGTGTTTTGCTCAAGTATCCCTTGGTTTTTTGGATGTTTTTGCTTGAAACTTGTTCCCTCTCATGTGCTGGAGTCTCCCAGCAACTCTGCATAGTGGACCTCTAGACTTCCCTTCGTGGCTTTTTGTTCTCTAGCCAAGTGCTGGGGGCTTTTGCAGCTCTTTATTGTAATTGTATGGGCCTTCTAGGACAATAAGTTGGTTTATCAAGTAAATGGGCTAACTTCACCAATTGTTGGGCTATTTTGGTTGAGTTAATGGGCTACTTTGGTTGAAGTAATGTGTTATTTTTCTCTTTGTGCTCACCCACATATTTGGGCCTAAGAAATGGACTTGATTTCCGAGGAGCCCAAGCAACCCCGGGACTTTCATTTATCGGCCAATCAATGGACCTCATGTCAACTTATTACCATCCAAACCACAATTCACTCAAGCAAGCCTTGGGCATTCGCGTGGCTTGGGCCCACATAAGCTTGCAGCGTGGCATGTTGCTTATTTGCTTGGTGTGGCACGTGTGCAAACGTATATTATGAACTCTTGCGTACCCAAATTGGATTTCTTCCCAAGTTAGGTGTCATACTGGGCCGGGATTTTATTCGGGCCTAACCGTGGATTTTTTAGGTCTCAACAGTTAACTGAGCAGTTTGGTAAGTTCCGGCTATAAATGATAAAAACTCAATCAAACGTCAAATATCAAATACCTAGTGAATCTATACGCAATATTGCCAATTAAAAAACTATAATCCATAAGAAAACCTACTTTCATAGGGAATACAACATATACAAAAGCCAAGCAATATTGTTCCAAAATGAAGGTACCATTGTAATTATGGCCCAAAGATATCGTTTAGCTAATAGACGAATCCTCTATCGTCCAGCAACTGTGGTATTAGACAAGCCATTTACCGATATAATTTGCAACTCCCTTCTACTTATACTTATATCAGACACAATAACATTTCTTATTGCGATGAATGCTGGCCTTGTAGGTAATGGCAATGAAATTGTTTCAGTGGTCAACATAGATACGACGTCAGACATGCAGGGCCGATCAGCTGCATTTTCTTCCACGCATAACAGACCAACATGGAAGCATCTTAACAATTGATCTTCAGTACATGAATCCTTTAGTGTTGGATCCATTATCTCTAGCCCCCTGCCTTCTTTCCATAACTCCCATGCCTGAAAAAATATTGCACTCATTTAATTAAGTTGTTGAAAGATTCATGATATATATGTTCACAACTCAAAAAAGAAAATGTTAATTGTAAATTTGATTTGTAAGACATACATATCCTACTATATTGAGCACGCGATCAGCAATGTAGAAGCTACTATTTCTCCTACCACTCATGATTTCAAGCATTAACACCCCGAAACTATAGACGTCAGATTTAATCGAAAAAATCCCCTCCATAGCGTACTCGGGAGACATGTAACCACTGTATCATACAAAAACCAAATATATTTAGTATATGTTTGTAAGTACAGGTTTAGCAATGTCAAAGTGGTGAAAGGCATAATAATTTATAATGCATGATCTACTTACTATGTTCCAACAATCCTATTAGTACTTGCTTCAAGTTCATTATGTGTAAAAATTCTCGCCAAACCAAAATCAGAAATTTTGGGCTTCATATATTCATCAAGTAGTATGTTACTAGCTTTTAAATCTCTGTGAATTACTCTCATTTCTTGAGTATTTATGCAAGTAAAGCAGTCCTTGAGCGATTCCTTCAATTATGTTGAACCGCTTCGTCCAATCTAGTAGCATCGCTCGGGATCTCACTTTGTTTCTAAGAAGGTGTGGAAGTTCATTTGGTGTTCCCCTCTAACCCCAAAAATCAAAAACTTTTTGTGGCGTGCAGTCAAAGGGTGCCTTCCTACAAGGGCTCTCCTTTTTCGTAGGCATTTGGGCTTATCCCCATTGTGCCCGGTCTGTGAAAATGAGCTGGAAACAATTGAGCATTTACTGTTTTTCTGTAATTGGACCACAAGTGTCTGGTTTGGAAGTGTGCTATGCTATCGGGTTGATAGGCAAAGTATCACCACTATCGATGAGTGGCTGCTTGGAGTGGTTAGTAAGTTGGACAAGGAAAATTTTAATTGGGTGTGGTTTCACATCAGCTTTTTATGCTGGAGTCTATGGAGAAGCAGGTGTGCTTTTGTTTTTGAAGGAAAAAATGTGTGCCCAAAACAAACAATTGCTTGGGGCAGAACTCAAGCAGTAGAACTACTGGAGGTTGTCAAGCTACATAGGCATGGTGCGGAGGAACCTAGCTCGCGGGGGTCCGAATCTATTCAGAGGTGGCTCCCTCCCCCCCAAGCTACTCTTAAGCTAAATGTGGATGCGTCCTGGGACAAGAAGACTTTATTCACAGGTCTTGGAGCGGTCATTCGTGATGAGCATGGTGCTTTTATTAGGGGAGCGGGAAAGTTTAGACTAGCCTCTTCTCCTATTGAAGCTGAAGCTTTTGCAGCTTTACATGGTCTGCAGGTCGCCTCAGATTTGGGTTGTATCCACCTTGAGTGTGAGTCTGATTCAAAGGAGCTGGTTCAAAGTGTTAGTGGTTGTTTTCAAAAAGGTAAATGGACAATCTACCCAATCCGTGCTGCTTTAAGGGAGAAGAGTAGACTGTTTGGCTCTTGCAACTGGAAGTGGATTCCAAGGAATGCAAACAGAGCAGCGGATGCTGCAGCTTTAGTAGCGAAGAGGAAGATGTGCGATGAGGTCTGGATCAGTAGACCCCCATCCTCCCTGGTTTTCGTGCTCCATAACGATGGTCTTCCTTGTCCTCCACAAGTGTAATGTTTTTTTTGTCTAGTTAGGATCTGACGCTTGCCTTCTGGGGTGGCGTCCTAGTGTGTTTGTCCTAGCTGGAAATTAGTGTCTCTTTTTCTGGGTTGGCTGGTTTGGCCTGGTACTTTGCTTTGCTGTTGTTCTTTAGGTCTTTTGTTTGGCTGCTGTGTTTGGTTTGTCCTTTCCCTTTCAATGAAAGTGTGTTTCGACCAAAAAAAAAGAAAGATTAAAGTGATCGAGAATCTCAATTGCCGACCGAATAAAAAGTAGTCCAAACTTTTGTTTGGCATGTAGGCATAGATTAACATCCTCTCTTCCCCATGAATGCAGAAGCCAAAAAGCTGAACGAGGTTTGTATGTTGGAGTTCAGATATGAGTATCAATTCATTCTTAAACTCCAAAGTTCCTTGCCCTGAACATCTTGAAAGCCTCTTCACAAGTTTTCCCTTCATTAATAATCCATAATATAGCACCACGTAATCAGGTTTATATTTTTCAGTTTTTAATACAAAGACACTCATTTTTATTTAAAACATTAATTACCTTATAAACAGGTCCAAAGCCCCCCTGTCCGAGCTTGTTTTCTTCAGAGAAGTTAGTTGTGGCAGCCACGACAGATGCGTAGCTAAACACTGTCAAATTATTTCCCATCTTTCCATCATTTTGAAGCCCATTGACATCGCCAGTGGATCTATCAACCATCAGGTTGATCTCCCCTGTTTAGATTAATGTTGTAAGAAAATCAAAATTTACAATTTCCAAAGCCTTCATAAATGTTTAAAGAGTCTACCTGAAAATAGTTTCCTCCTCAAGATGCAAAGCACCATTACCAATAGAGCAGCGCCAATCCATATCCACTTATGTGCTGCACATAGTAACACAAATGCGAAGAGATAATTCTTCAATATTCATTGTAGACATGTATATATATAAATATACTTATGTAAATGTGCCTGAAATTTATTCTCGTTACACTTTGCCTTTCACGGGTGAAGAGCACATCTGCAAGTGAGCCATTGCTCATGCACTCATACACCAAAAGCTTTTTAGCTCCGACAAGACAATACCCCAGTAAACGGACTAGATTCTTGTGATGGGGTTTCCCAACAACTCTGATCTCAGTCTGAAATTCTGTTTCCCCTTCGGCTGCAACTTTCTTTAGTCTTTTGCAATGTTTTGGAAGGCGAGGCGTAGATGCAAGGCGTTTTTGTCACGATACGTGATGCGTAAGCCTTTCGAACATTAATTTATTTTAATAGGAAAAATTTATAAATAATACAACACAATTAAATTGTACTACTAATTCTTAACAATCTTTTAAATATATAATCAAATATAAGTACTAATTGTCATTTAGGCATCATAATCAATCCCAAAACATAAAATATTTATTCATACCAAAAGGAGAGAATTCTTGAAATTGATGGGAATTATTGAATAAGGGTAGAAATTAGGGTTGTACTATACAATATATATTTATATATAGGTCAATGTGTTAAAATATTAATTTAGAAAGAAAAAAAAAGGGTAAGTAGAATCGAATCTGCAATTGATATATACAATACACAGCATGTATTATTAACTTTATATATTAATTTATAATATATATTAATTTCATTAGAAAAAAAGGAAAGAAACAACACTGAACGTGCGTTTCATTTAAGTAACCTCAGTTTTAAAAAGGCTGAAAGTGAAACGGCGTCGTTTTAAAACCCTAATAAAAAATTTGACGCGGACTCTTCTTCTTTCTCGCGAGCTCTTCTTCTTCTTCCTCGCGCCGCCTCGTCCGTCTGGCCAGGCCTTGCAGCGCTTCATCACGCCTTCCCACGCCTCACCGTGCTAAACGTGCAGCTTGCGGAACAGCCGACCGCCTCAGGCGATCTCTTGCTGCCTCGCTCTGGCTCGCGCCGACGCGCGCGAAGGCATGCCTTTGAAAACACAACTCTTTTGACAGCAACTGGCTTTTGGCTACCCAAAATCAGCCCTTTATAAACTGTTGACGAGGCTCCTCTATCAAGCTCTTCCTTGAAATTATTAGTCATCTTTTCTAGCTCTTCATAAGCATATCGTCGCGGAGCCACACTCTCATTCAATTCAAGGTCACCATTCACAGCACTCATTCTTATACATGCCAATTCAAGGTCACCATTCACCACAACACAATCACGGAAATCAACAACAAAATGGATCAAAGCAGTAAATGAAAGACCAATAATGAGGATGTCAGTTCTACCTTTTTTCTTGCTTCCTGGTTGAACGATTCTAGGATCTGTATCTGGTTTTGTAGGTACACCTACCTTGATGAGAGCTCTGTCTGAAGTTCCATTGTCTCTTCTACCATATCTCAAAGGAAGCCTCTGCTTTCTGCATTTTGTACCGTCAAAAAACACAGCTTCACAGTTACAATCCTCCAGACAGCCTTGTATGCAATCGTCTTCGTCGGATAATCTCAAACTCATATACGAACTATCTTCCCATGTTGTGTTTTCCAGCTTTTCCATGGTGTAAGTGAAATTCTCATTCCTGTTTTTGCAGGCATCCGCAACAAAGTTTCTCTCGCACCCGGATGTCTGATTTCCCGGGTTGACAGATTCGAATCTCGGAAGACATCTACAGTCAGGCTCTAGATCAATTAAGACACAATAGCTATTAAATCCGCATAGGCCTTTAGGAACACACTTATCCTTGGAAGACTCCCACTCAACTGACCAAATTGCATTCTTTTTCAAATCATGTGAATACAAACGAAATATCCCATCTACATCAATTCTCATAAGATAAAGTTTTCCTTCATCAGTAGGAAGACCTCCCTCTGTTATATTCTGAATATTCGTACCATTCCTGTTGAGCAAGTAGAGATGGCCATCAGCACCGAAATAAAGTGTCACGTTCTCTCCCGCGCCATCAGTTAAAGACGAATAATAAGCATAAGCACTGGTGTCTGGAGTATCTACATGGTACTGAACAAGGTTTCCATCATTTTGCATTTTGAGACGGAAAATCCCCGTTGAGTGATCAGCTTCTGATTTCGCAGAGAAAAGTTCGTTTCCTGATAAAAGGCGTTGACCGGGCAAAAGGGTGTCGGTTGGATGATCAAAGCTCTGCCATACTATTTCCCGACCAGAGTTGTACAGCACGAAATTACCCGAATCGAGCATGGAAGCATAAGAAGCAGAGCCAGAAGGACTTACCAAGTAATTTTGGCCTTCTGCTGTTGGCAAGGCAAGGCCGTCACCTGTGAAGAGCAAGGTGGCATTGTTGGAGACTGGTGGATCATCTCGATTCGCAGTCCACACGACTGTCTTTTGGGGAATTCCAGCAAGAAATATCCCAACAGCATAGCCATTGCCTTGCCTGTAAAATCCAAAGGCATATAGACCAGAACGAGACAGCCATGTGGAGTTGGTGGTTGGTGTTAAAGAGGAGCCTTGGCTTATATTCGACTGCATCTGTTGTGCTTCAGCAGCAACAAATGCCAAGGCAAGAAGGCATGCCAAGCAAGCCATTGAAAAATGATCTCAGTGTAACTTGTCTTCCTCTTCCTTTGTTTTTTTTTCCTTCTGCAGCACTCCAGAAAATTGGTTCCCATGCAGTATGAAGTTCTAATTCTGAATTTCTGTTTAATTTAAACCATAAGAAGATTCAAAGGAGAGATACAATAAGTGCCACTCCGGTCAAAAGTGATGGAATACTTGTCATGCGTTGACGTTGACGGAGGCTTTTCAGTCCATGAAATTAACTAGACACAGACTGAGGTTTCTCACGTGAATCAGATTTATCTCGCTCTGGGGAAACAAGTAGGCTCGACTACTACGAAAATCCAATTGAGTCCCCTAGTAATTTACATTATTCCCAAATTTCCACCTGTAAGAATAACACAAACGTATAAAAATCCTCGACATAGACATAATTCAACAACCCAGCAGAGTAATAATCTATTTCGCTACAAATTTCATGGAGAAGTTCATAAAATGATAAGAAATAAAAGTCCTATGAAAATAAAGGTGTATGAAAGCAAGAGCTTAAGTCCTAGAAAATAAATTGTGGTAAAGGAAAGACAAGAAATTAGGTGTCCAAAAGATGCACCTAATTTTCTTTATAGTCAGATTGTTTACTTTCTCCTAAATTTGTCCCTAATGGTAGGTCCCAGAATTTGTGAACTTGACTTTGTGGACTTTTCCAATCAGATGTAAGGAAAACGAGTCAGGTCGTTTTCTTCTTTACATGCAATGAATCGGTCCAAATCAAACCTTTCAAGTGCATTTTTCTTCTTTGATTTTAGGGTTTTTTATGATTTTGCTCGTCAACTATTTGTATGTTGTCAATTTAACTCCTTAACAAATTTTTCGATAAATCAAGGACTCTAATTGTTTTAAAATCACCGGTTGAGGGCTTACCATCAATTTTTTTTAAAGGGTAAATTCGTCATTTAAAAAAATAAAAAATAAAACATAAAAACTTTACCTACCAAAAATTAAGCATTTAAATTTTTTTTAAATTAGCATTTAAAATTTAAAGAAAAGAAATATTTAACATTTAAAATTTTTAAAAAATTAATTTAAAAAAAATCAACTCAACCTCAACCTCCCCCTCCCCTTCCGTCTCCTCTCTCTTCCTCCCCTTCACCTCATTCCCCTTCCGTCTACCCCACCCTCCACTTCCCCTCCTTCCTCTTCCATCTCCCCCACCCCTCCACTTCCCCTGATCCCAATACCAGACCCAGCCGCCCAAATCTCTCCACTCCACTCCACTCCCCGAATTCAGTGGCTTCTATCCAATTCATGGAGAACCCAAAAACCGACGAGGCCTCAAGATTAGTCTAAAGCCAGTTGAAAACGAGCCTTATGCTTTGGATGATGGGTCTATGGAGGCTGCTGGGTTTGAAAATCAAGAAAAGCCAGCGTAAATAAAATCCATTTTTCCTCCATTGTTAACCTTTGTGTTGGGATTAGGCAAGCCAAGAAAGGATTAGATCCAGAATCTCCATTGCTTTTGGCTTTTTCCAAAGTGAAAGCTTTTGTGTGGCTAAAACCTAAGTTACTTCCTTTTTCTTAACCTCTCTTCGACACAACGCAACCCCAGCCCTCATAACACCACTTCTAATTTGGATTAATCTTAATTTTCAGCAAAATTACGAATTTGGCCTTAATCTAACGGAAAAGTGGATGGCGTTCTTAAAAATCTGACTGTAGGTCCTCAATTGGTGATTTTAAAATAGTTGGAGTTCTTAATTTACCGAAAGCTTATTAAGAAACTAAATTGACAATATGAAAATAGTTAAGGGGCAAAACTACAGAAAACCCTTGATTTTATGAAGATGATGCAAACAGATGAGGTACTTTGGAATTGTTCTCTAATTACCACGTAATTTTCACGGAAGAAGATCAACTAAGGCATCATCACAAATGAAACTTTACAATCTCATTCAACATGGCTATTGACCAGTTTAGCCAGTATAAGTCCTTGCTTCGTACCGATGGCTTCTAGTTCCAAAACCATCGCATACATTATACATGCCTCTTCATTTAGATTAAAACAATCTAAACTAGGTGATTTCCATACAATTCTTGTACAAGAAGAATTGTTTGGGCCTAAGAATTCCACACGCCAGCCAAATTGAAAACCGACCCTTAATAGAAAAATAAAAGAATGGGCCTTGACTCCAGAAAACAACCCAATCAACTTTGGAAGCCCATGTCTTGCAAAAGTGGCAGAGGTTTAAAAATACGAAAATAAACAAATAAAATTGCCATGTAATGATAACTTAATACGAAGCAGGTCGAAAACCTCTAACAAATTGGATTAAACCAGCTTCTAAAAAATTCTCACCACTTGATCTCAACTCCAAAAAGCAAGTCAGCAGATCTTTTCTGTAATGAATTTTAACGCCCACACACACTTTCCCCCAACCAAAAAAGGAGTCATTCATTGGTATTTAGGTCTTCCTCTAGTCTTCATTGATTGATTGGTATAAGTTTTCCCCAAGTCTTATAAACACCCACCTTTGTCCCATTCCTTAGAACAAAGGAGGAGGACATGTATTTTCCTTTTTCATTTATGAGCACACGTATATCCTTTTCTGATAAGTCTTCCTCTAGAATTTTCTTCGTCATTTAATATGAAAATTACATGAAGAAAGAACGGAAATTCCATACATTATTTCATTGACTAATCTATCTTCCTTTTTGTTTGTTCCCCCAATACACCATATGAACTCATACACATCAATAACTTCAGACATAATAGAAAATTGACAAACTAGTTAAGGAAAGGCAATGTGCCAAATTTCCACATAAGAAAGAACTAACTGTTAGCGTTTGTTTCATTCAATGAAATAGGATCCTTCACTAAAATACACACCTAAGAACTATGCTTGCAAAATCAATATTACATATTAATACCTCTTTTAACTAATGCTTTTGGTAACAAAAATAGGACTCGAGCAATCTCACTTTCATAGGAGGATTTCTATAATATCATGAACATGCCCTTTATGGAACCAAATGACTCAAGATATTACAATCAAGGCAGACTTTCTGAAATTCAATTCCAACTTATAAGCTCATAGTTACTACCAATAGTACCAAAACAGTGCTCTCAAATGGCAAAAATGCACCTTTCAAGGCCAAACAAAAGGAATGAGCCTAAAAATATCACGATCCATGGAAAAGTATGGAGCTTGAAGATCTTCACGTTCCCCAGTCAGGAAACCTCTTCTAACACAATTTTTATTTTTGGAACTTGATCTCAACTGGTGCCTTGTCGCCTTTTGGGAATCAAACTCATCAGTAAAAGCACTTTCTATATAGATTTCAAACTGCATCTGAGTTCCCATAATTGTTTTTACATCTCAACTCTTCTCAAAAACCTTGACAAACCTATGCGAATAAAATTCATGCAAGGACAGGCGGTGAACTGCAATAATGCATCAATCAGTCAGGGGCTTCCTCATAAGGACAAAGGACCAAGAGCCTCTACCAGGTTGGGATTCTACATGGTTATACCATGCTTTTAACCCATGTGTTAAAATTTTAAAAGGTTTTAAAAATTTAACCGTTTTATTTATTTAATTATTTTGGCTGTTTTATTTTATTTATTGTGGGGTTATAAATATTTAATATTCAGGCTTTATTTCTGGTTGGTGAATGCCTTAATTTTTTGGTTGGTGAACTTTTATGATTGGTGAAGGTTACATGTTTTGGATGCCTATAAAAGGTCACTCCTCCTTCACATTTGATACACACACAAGAACCACAATACACTATCAGAATATCACATACACATTCTAATTCTCTCCTTTTCAACTTTTAAATATATTCTCTACTTTATATTATTATTATTTTGGGCAATAGTTATGTGACTTGGATACCTATATCTGTCTATGAACGTGCTCATAGCGGATCTTGAGTTTGTGTACAAGGAGTCATATCTTGGAGTCTTGTAGACCGTCAGTACCTGCACGTAGGGAGGCTACAAAGGCTTTAGGACAGCGTCTTTGACGTGCTTCACCATACCAAACTCACCTTCTTACCTATTATTTATTTTCCTTTTATTTCCCTATTATTTTGTTTTCTTCAATTTCATTATACCTTCAAAGCTTTTCAATTTGTTTATATGTTATTTATAATATAAATATTTTGTATTTGGCTTTACGGAAAGAGGAAAACTATTATTTTTCACAACAATCTAAAGCCTTTGTATGTTAAAGTTGTTTTCTTCCCGTATTGCTATGCTTTAATATCTTTTAACTCTTCGTCTAAAGCTTTTGCATTTGTATTGGATTTTGAAAATAAAAATTATGATTTATTTTGGGTAGATGCAGTTTGAAGCTTTCATGTTGTCTATACAATTCCACTGCTTTAAACATTGTTGGTACATTTATATTTTATAATTTTGTTGCTAACGTTTGGGAAATTACTGCTAGTGTTTGAAAATAAAAACCTACAGATTAATTTATGTGGTAATATTATTATAGCTCAATGTATTATTATTTTATTTGGGGTATACGTTTTCTACAACAAAAGCTAATTAATGACCTTTGAAATAATTTTTTTTGAAAAAATATATTGAAGTGAGCTATGTTTTTCTAAGTTACTGCTTGTTTTAAATAGCTTGTATTGTTTATTACCGATTACTTAATTATTAATTAGTCATTAATCAATTTACGTTGAAACATTCAATATTGAATGGTTGAAGTGTTTAAAACCGAAACGTTGAAGTGTTTCAAAATCTTTGGTCTATTTTTTTTAATTGAAATTTCAAAGCAAGTATATATATTTGATTTTATTGTGTTGGGCCTTTGTACATTTGCCTTCATTCATTTTGGTTGCCATCAATCTTCCTTTATATAATTGTTTTTTTTAATATCGTTTTATTGTTCTCAATTGCCAAAAAGGTCTGCTTTACTTTTGATAATATATTCTTCGCCGTAAAGTTTATTGTTTGCAATTATAGTTTTTTAATGTTGGGTTTATTGCATTGCATTGCACATTCAATTACGAGATTT